TGTTGTTGTACTGACCAGATTAGCTATCATTACCGCTGTCAGCCAAGAACAGCAATCTACCCTGTACTTTGCACATACAAAAGCTGTAGCTATGTTTTAGATAGATGTTAGAGAGGTTGGGTGGTTCTATAAGCCAGAAAACAGTTCAACATTCCAACGGTTACAATCGAGGTTAGGGTTAGGTGACGTTCCACCAACTTCCAGTTGCAATTTCCAACAAAAAATGTCTGACTACTGAGATATCAATGGCCATTATTCTTGTCTTCAGATCGTAACAACCTGTCAACGTCACAAAAGGTTAATACTGTTTAAAATAATACTTATCCTTTTATTCTTGCTCAGTAAATGTCTGAACATCAGGGTAATCACAATGGGACTGAAACTATGTGAGGCCACGTGTCTTAAGCTGTGAAAACGTGTCTAAAGACAGCCCAGCAACAAGTGACCCGTGGGTCATTATCAAAAGGAGCGCTATAACTAAGACGGGAAGAAGTGAAAAGTAAACAAAAAGGTCTGGCTCAGTAGGTTTCCTCTCCAAAAAGTGGTCAGGCTCTTGAAACAACAATAAGATCATTTCACTTACAAGCTCACTTATATTTACAAGTTTTGTCTCTGTATAGAGCCAAATCCGGCCACGTTATCTCAAGTTACTTCTAAACCAAATTTGCACTAATTAAAATACAATTTAGCCTGATCAAAGCCAATTAAAAAGGTGTTCCAAAGATGGAGAAACCAACAGATTTCACTCAAATGTCTAAGATGTGTTGGAGTTTGGTCATTAAGAGCTTTATGTGTAAAGGAGCAGAAGACAGTGAATGAAGAAAAGTGATAACTTGAGAAATATGAGATGTCCTGTGAGCGCTTTTCAGGATTTTGACCCAGGTAGAGACTTTTAAGATAATCTTTGGGATTGATCAGTTGTAAAGAATGACAGTACTGCAATCTTGACAAAACAAATAAATGCACTAGTTTAAAAACTCGGCATGAACAGCTTCGATCACAATTGCCAGGACAAATCCCAGAATGGGGCAGATAGTTGCTTTACAGGATAAATGCCCAGCCTGTACAGTATGTAGCGTTAAGATGATTAGGAGGAAGACACAGATGAACAGATGGATTGTTAACGTTGTGCATTTTAGTGGACTGTGGGAGGAAACCAGAGTGCAGGTAGAGAACCCATGTACACGGGGAAAACAGACAAACTCCACAACGAGAGTGGGATTCAAACCAGGGAACTGTGGGGCAGTTAGAGAAGTACAGCTACTTTCAAGTGGCCCACTGAGAAAGGATCTTACCTTATATTTTGACAGTTTCAAGTAACTCTTAACCAAGACTCACTTCTCCTGCAAGTATTCCAAAAGCGGTGAGTTCAATGTAAGTGGCAACCACACCCTGAATGAGTTCATTTTTTTACTTCAAGCGTGCCAGGCTGATTTCTTTTACGTTTACTTTCTGATTTAACTTACAGAACATAAAAAGGTCCAGTTGAAATGGTGCTCAGTAGCTTTGGAAACCTGACCAGGCAAGAGGCTGCGTAACATGTAACCAGCAGCCTTCCCAACTTCAAAAAGACAGAATTTGAGAAAAAAAATCCCCAAATAATGATGCTGTTTTATAACTGGGATTCAAACTCCAGCTTTGTGAATTAACTAAGGGCAGGATGTACTGATTGCCGTGGCTTAGTGCCACGGCAATCAGCCCTACCCTTTAATGAAATATATGACTTGGCTCTGATCAGCTCCACACAGGACAAAGGTAAGATGGTTTTGCTATCAGAAAGGAACTCTTGCATTTGCTCTGATTTCAAACTGCCCAACACACAAAAAAACATGATGTTCAACAACTGAGTAAATCCACCGGAGTAGCAGTGATCTCAGATGGGTTTAGTTGTTATGTTTTTTTATTTACATAAAGTACACACCAGCTTATACAGTACCAGTCAAAGCTTTGGACACACTTCTTCACACATTTAGACTGAGTGGATACTTATCAGACTTCATGTGACTCATAACGTGGGAAGTAGCTGAGAGGGGGAGTCCCCAGGCTGGAACCGAACAGCTGCCGGCCATCACCTCTTATTACAAATCACAACCCAGTGTCCAAAAAGCAGAGGAATCTGAGATCACTCGGTATCCAGCTACCGTTAACCTGAGGAGGGCCATAAAAGGACACACACACTTCCTGCCCACTGTCCACAGAGCGAGCATCTGTCTGACCTTCGACACCTTCCACTCCGCTTCCTGTCCCACACGTGCAGCTCGGCTACTTGGAGCTTTTCATCAAAGCTGTTGCCTCCAAACATGGGAAGGCTTCAAACACAAATGACCGCAAGGTCTCACCCAGATTTGTAGACACGCTTTCCCCATTAAAACTGAAACACTCTCCGGCTAAATGTGTCCATCAATATGTGTACTGGATATTAGAGAAAATTGTTTTCTTTCCGCTCAGATCTTTGTAAAACATATAACAGATTAGCAGTGGGTTAAGGCCTTTGACGGCAGCAGAAAAAGTGCTCATGGTAATGCATTGTTTCTATTTAGCCTGTAGTGACTTAATTTCCTGTTCTGGCTTGCTGATAGAAAGGATGGATAATATGGATAATTAATTCAAATATGACTTTATCATCTGTGCATGTCAGTAATACTTTTATCATATTTGTTTTTGTGTATTTTCTTCTCTTTTCTTTATATTTTTTTCCACATTTTCTTTCTTCAAATAACATTTGTGAATTGTGACCTCGGTTGTGACCCCTCTAATCGGCAGGGTTGGGATAAAGCTGTAGACCATCAGTCCTTGTTACCAAAAAGCTTACGAGGAGCTTTACAGCTCACAATGCCAGACTATAATCTCCCAGACACTTCAGGCATATGGCATTGTGAGATCATCCACCTTACTATACTCGCCACCCCCATAAACAGCCACAGTGTGTAAGCGGACATCATGTGTGAGATATCTGTTCACAAACATTCACTTAAATTGATTAATTTAAGTGAAAGGTTAAATGACAATTATTTCAGCAATGATAAAGTTTAATATAAGTCCTGCATCTATTGTCCTGTTTGTGTTTTTGTAAAAATGGAAGTCACACATTTTTAGTAACAGTACATATAAGTTGAAGTCGCCTGGAGAGACCTAAGTGTTGTAGTAGGGACAGCTAGATCGATGGCTAATTCGCGGTATGGCGTCTGGATGTTTTGACATGATACAGATTAGTTACATTTAAAAGAGAAATTTTGTCTCTTTGTGGTGATTTGTTATTTCGTGATGGTAACTTTGGACAATCTGCATCCCTTAAAATTGTCGGCAAAGATGTAGAATGTTACTAGTGTTCCTCTGAGTCTTCAACCCTTCGGACGTGCTGTATTTATACCTCCTGGATCCTCTTTCGTTGTGTCACCATTGCTTGCAGCAATGTGTCGACACAGACATCGCACTTTTTTTTTTTAAACACACTATTTTCAGTCACAACTTCAGAGAAACTCTGGAAGAACAATGACTATCCACAAATCCTGATATATTGACTAAACTGCTGCCAATTACTTTTTGCTAACTTTTTGTAACATGTTAAACTTTTGAATTGGTCATTGTAGTAATAAAAGAACCTGCTGCATTCTGGAGAAGACGCTGTGATGCTGCTGCCTACAGCACTGCTGCAGGCACGAGGTTCTTGAAGTCTCCAACCTTAAGAAAAAACCAGAGCGCTCTTTCTTGAGACCTCGGTTATGAGGTTGAGTCTGGGTCATGTGTCCTCCTCCTTTTCTGCAGATTTACCATGAAGACAGTCTCCAATTACCCTCTCTCGGGTCTCGGCTTGGTCATAGCCAGCGTCACTGAACACTGACAGAGTGGAAGACAGACAGGTGGGGGGGCAGGGTGGGGTCGGGTTGAGGTGAGGGGTGGAGTTGGGATGAGAGGGGGTTGACAAGTTCGCATTGTTTGCAGACAGTGAAAGGCTCAAAAGGAGATGATGATATATGAGGGACAAATAGAAAAATGCCAAAATGACATGACGATGATCTTTGGAATAGACTCCAGCAACAATGAAGTTTGATGGAATGCTTCCTCTGAGAAACGTGACTCCAGGAAGCTAAAAAAATTGTTTATAATTTCATGTGGGTGCGTTAAACAAAAGCCCAGTCTTTAATCTGTGTTCCAAGTCATACGACAAGAAATGTCTCAAGTCTGAGCGAGATCTAATTCGATGAAATAGACAGAGAAGATTCCTGGTTGTCATTTTCTTGAACTGCAGCTGACTGCTGAGGGGGAAATGGAGGAATAAGAAGGCCTGTATGTACGCAGAAGACTCCATTCAGCGACCAGAAGCCAATGGCTGCGTGAGGCGCTTTGGTGCTGTGGGAATTTGCCCCATTTGAGATGCAAATTCCTCAAAGAGCTGAAAGAGATGGAGAAACAGGTGTCCAAGGAAGTGTGCTGCTGGGTGGGTGGGGGGGAGGGGGGGGGGGGGGTACTGAGCGATAACACAGGGTTGATTCAGATGCTGTGTCCTCCCGTCTGTGCTGCCCTTTGTCTGGTTTTTTCATCTTTGATTAAAGTTAGAAACAGCAAAGTTGAATAAGGTGTCAACTTCTATGTTCAGTACATAAAATAATTCAAGTGCCATGAATCAAAAGAGCAGCAAGATCAAAGATAACATTTTAAACACTGATAAAGAACAAAAAACAACTACCAAGGCCTGTTTCCAAGGCCCCGGCTTTATGAACGAGGCCATGTAGAGTTCCGTGACGTCCAGCTGTGAAGTACCAGGGTACAATCCTGGGACCATCCATCCGAGTCGACCATAAAGTCAGAAGGCCGACTCTCAGCCAGCATTTGGTTTGTTCCATTTACGCGACTGACATTTCCCTCTGAGAAGGACACACTTATCAGACCAGATATAGATTGCTCTTTTTAAGCTCCAACCCTACAAATAGATCTTCCTGAGTCCTACCCGCTGGTTTTATATAGAAGTGTTTGCCCTAAAAATAAGCAGTACGCAGGCATGATGGAGTGTGCATCTTTTATTCTCTCCACAACGTTTAACTGAATTGAACTCTTGATACAGAAGAAAAAAGTATTTAGATTATACAATTCCACATTCTTGCTGGTTGATGACCAGTGGCACAATAAACAACTCAGTAAGAATCCCACTGATGTTCTTTATGTTGATGAAACTCAAGTCTGTTGTACGGAAAAACAGAGTTATGAAAATATCATATCAAAAGATTCAGTGTGCTGGGAAATAAATTCAGAGGGCATGGCATCGATAGAAAACAGCTCTGAATTATGGAATACTTCAAAAATAATCTTCTGTGTTTAACAATCAAAACATCTCCCCAACCAATGAGAAACATCGGTGAGAAACTAATCGTTTACGTAGTTCCATCATGTGCAACAACAAATGAAAAAGCTTATTGTACTGTTTCCTGAACAGTTAGAATTAAATCCCAAACCTTTTTATTTTTTAAAATGTTTTAATTAAACCTATATCATCAAAGGTGTATGTTTCCCATGTTTGTTAATTTTTCGTCTGGTTAATAATTTATTATTACTTAATGTTAAAATTTTTCGAGCTAAAATCAACCACTTTGCTTTTTGGTTTAAAATTTAAGAACAATCTCTGGTCAAAGCAACCACAAACGTCTGATTGAGATTGCACAAAAAGAGATTAACATTCCTAAAAATCTATCATTCTTATTCAAATCATAAATATAAAGTATTTGCACTCCAAAACTGGCAACTATCTGTACAACATTTCTTCACTGAATAGATCATTTCTTCACTGAATAGAAATCTTAATCTAAAAAAAAAAAAATGTACTTGAGTGTGACAGCTGGCGTCAGTTGATTATCTTCCCCCTGCTGCTGGAGCCGGAGGCCTGGTTACGGTGTCAGGACGCCCCCGTGTGCTCAGAGACAGCAAACGCACACTTCTTCTATTCTACACAAAAACCTGCAGCCCTTTCCACACAGCGTATTCAAGGCAAGAGCGATGTAGAGTGAAGCCCTATGCAAGTACAGAGGCAGGATGGGAGGCCGGAGCCCACATGTTGATATGTATCAGAGCTGTAAAGAGGTAGTCACATTGTGTGTGAGCGTAAGCCAGCATGGCATAACTGCTGCCACCACCCACCGATTGATTCTGTAACACTAGCTTGAGTTACGGAAAGTGCACACTGACGGGGCGTGGGACTGCACTATGTGCTCTGTGAGATTATCAATGGGGCGGAGAGGCAGGTTAAGTAAGGTGATAAGGTGCAAAGGCTGTGTGAAAAGGGCTCCAACGTCAGCAAATGAGTGTGAAAGGATGAGAATAGAAAAGCAGGATACATAGAAATGTCTGCGTTGACAATGTAGTGACTACTGTTGGCAAAAAGGAAGACTCTGAGGGCCAGGTGTTTCAGACAAAGATCCCATCAATTACAACCACGTCAGAGTTGGTCTAAACAGATTAGCCCTGCTGTGAACAGGTAACTAGCAGCAACGCCTGTTAGGCTGTGTGCATCCCTGAACATTCAGCGTCTCATTCACAAATGAATGAAAATCTCTCTCCACACAAACTCCCTGGAACATACATATATGCGCTTCACCCCATGCTTTACATTCTTGGCTGTATAACTTGGCAAACAAAGGTTCGGGAAACCAGTAATCTCCATGGTTGAACCCACTCTGAAAACTGTCTGCCCAACCGCCTCAGGTTCAGCTGCACAAGCCTCAGGCGTCACGACCGGGATGCTTACTACAGTTCCCCCCGTCACACAAACCGTGACACCTGGCTGATAAGAATGGCGGGTAACACATATCTGAGTGGAATGACTTACTGTAGTAAATAAAAAAGGTTCAAACTCTGCCCTGCTACAGGTAGGTGTCATGCTCCGCGCTGCTCAGGCTCTCCCTGGAGCCCCGTGTGGCCTCGGGCTCCCGGAGTGGCGGCGGGTCACTGACAGGAGCGTAGGGGTTGACCACCTCCAGTGGCGGCAGAGCTCTTCTGTGACCATTTCCCTCTTTAGTCTTTCTAGTTCCCTTGGCCTCCTCTGTTTGCACCCCATCTGTCTTGGACGCCAGGGGAGACTCCACGATGATGGTGGGCCTCTGTTTCAGATCCTGGCGACTGGGTGGCTCGGCGGACATTATGGCCTTGGCGCCGTGCATCCTCGGAGGGGACTTGCATTGTAGATCTCCATGAGTCTCTTTCCAGCGCCGCAGCTGGGTCAGGTGTTCCTTCTCAATGTCTTTCTCTGACACTGGTAACACCAAAACCTAAAACACATCAATTATTGGTGAGAGCCACAACTTAATTTGCAATGTGATGGATTCATCTTTGTTTTTCCACAACCTGAGGACGGTGAAGTCAGGGATTTTCTGCATGCTCACATTAATGGACAGACAGCATAAATAACAGAGCTGGGAATCGCTGTACCTCGTGCACCAGGAAGCTTTCCTGCATGTACTGTGGCTGTATCGTCCGAAGCAGCTCCACTGTCTCATAGAGACCTTGGCAGGTCTTCAGTTTGTCTTGAGTTCCCAGCATGCATTTCAGGAGAACCAGGCCAACTCTGAAGAAGATCTTCACGCCTGAGAGAAACACATGACAACATGAAGCCGAACATAGAACGGAGGCTCGATGTGGTGCAACAATCACACTTATTGATCTGATTCAAATATTTGGCATGATGATGATGACGCGTGCAGCTCAGCCATGAGGACTGAGAACAACAACATTACAGCATCATTTCTATGGCACTGCATGCTCCAAGTATGTACAGATTTTCTTCTTTAATACCAAAACAACAGATGATTAAAAATAAACCTGAATACACGCAGTTATTACAGATTAATTAACGAAACAGGGACAAATATAAAAATTAAATATTGAGTATTCCATTTCACAAATCCCCGCCATGCTTTGGAGCCAAGTTCACATAGTCAAAATGACGTGGTATAGGCGTGTACGGCATCTCACCCTCACAGAGGAACATGTCCCAGACCCGAAGCACCGAGGCCCACGGCAAGGTCCGGGAGAAGGCGCACATGAACCATTCAGTCATGTAGAGGACCGGCTCCAGTTTGTGCTTCTTTACATGGCGGTAGGCCACGGCTGACACCCGCCGCAGCAGAGCCTCCAGGATCTCCCCGTCCAGCTGGATGGCCTCCTGTGCAGACAGCGGCCGTCAGCAGAGGGAGACAACAGACTGCTGTCTTTCCTCTTAATCTGATTGTCTGCTTATCGTGCCCTTGACGCCTGGTCACCACCTCGTGCTACTAGGTCATAAGCATATCAGCGAAAAGCTGCAGACACACTGGACTGACGGGTCTGACACCAGCTCTCGCTGCACTAACAGCCAGCTGAGAGAAAGCGTTGTCTTGACTGAGAGCTCAGGTACAATCACACTTTATTTGAGCCTTGTTTGACCAACTGTTTACCTGTCCATTCAACAAGTTTAAATTCTTATTTAGATTCTGTCCTTTCAACAAGTTTAGATTAATTTACAAAGTTTCCATATAATGTCCAGGCACAGAATAGCTCTTTTAAAAAAAATACATACCAGCCCTGTGCTGTAGTATCCAGGAAGGTATTTCTCACAGATCTGGACCAGAACCCAGAAAGCATCCTATGACAGAAAAAGGGCATAGGTACACCTTAATTTAAGCAAATTGCGGCGAAATTAATCGATTAGATCCATTCCTACATGTTCTAAAGCTTGTCAAAAATCGTAAACAACACAATCCCAGAAGTTACCAAGAAATGTTACATTTGAAAAACAGATTTGGGGACAGCTGACTATTAGGGTGTGTTCACCTCAGCTGGCATGTGCATCAGGAGAACAGCAGCAATGGGAGCCTGAGCCTGGCAGTAGCCCTCTTCCGGTCGATACAAAGAATATGCCTTCAGCACTCGAAACAGGTCTTGCTGCCTGAATGCAAGAGCATAAACTTTAATGGCGCCTTAAACTTTGCTCAGTCCATAAAAGACTAACGTAAATGTGTCCACGCAAGGGAGTGCTTACCCGTGACCTCCTCTTGCAGCAAACATTTCGTGGAAGGGAAACTGCCGATGCAGGTCCCTCTCAATGACATCGACCCATTTTGGATCACCGGATTGGTTGTCCAGCTCCTTAAACACACACAATTTATTTTACAGCTTCTGCTAACATTTTGCAATACACGCTCAACACATATCACGGACATCTTATAATGGAACATATGATCACTATTAGAAGAGCAAGTGGAGTAGAGAAGGGCCCTGTAGTATTGACAGAATTGATCAATTACACTTTACACTTGAACATGCTTGTGTCTGAGAGGGGCGTGTGGTGAAAATGGGGATCGTAAGGCAACACTGACCTCAAACCTGCCCTGGTTTTGCTCCCTTTTCACTTTGGCCCCAGTGAGATAGAGCCAGGCCCGGCCCCGCAGGGATGGAGGGATCCCCTTCTGACAGCGCTCTTTCACCTGTGAGCCAACACACGCACATGACCTCATGAGTCTATGGGGATGGGGAGACAGGGAAACAGCTGACAATAACACAGACATTAAGGAATTGATTGAAAGAAAATTAGAAATAAAAAAACATTAACGGCCTTTTTTTCCCCCCCAGACAGCGGACCTTGTTATGCTTTTTGGCCATCCACTTGTCCCAGCTATTGAGCATCTCCAGCCACTTTGCCTCCCTCTGCCTCAACACCTCAGGGGGAACCTCTTCAGCACTATGCAGAGAGAAGGGGGGGAAAAAAGTGTTCAAACACAGTGACAATGGCTATGCTGTACTCTGTCACTTCCCTGTGCTTATGGCAGGAGGATCCTGTCATCAGAGGGAGGGGAAAGCGGGTCATCAATTCCTTATTACATACAGGAAGTCTCTGTCCGGCAGACAAAGCAGCTGAACATTTGCCATGGGCAGCAAAGTACAAGGAAAACAGGAAGCTGCGAGAGAACTTTCCTGTGATTTAGTTCAACGGAGCCTCCGACACTAAAAGAGCTGTTACAACTGTCTATCTGACACACACACACAGGCATCCCGTGCCATCCTGCAAAACTGCAGACCTGTGTGACTTGGGTGAACAAATGTAAATCTAAATCACCGCGCTTTTGTTCTGCGGCCGTGGTGACAGGTCATTCTGATCACGTCTCCCCAATAGTTCAGACGGCAATTGAAACTTTAAATATAACGAAAACCTTGAAAAAAGAATATCAATAAATCATTAAAAATTATAGAATTTATTGAGTGCGTTTAAAAAAAACTTCCTGTTATATGGCTGAATATTGTTTTGCTGTCACTGGCAAAAATTATGTAAAAGGACTACTTCAGGGTTTGACATTAACTAAGGGCTCCTGAGTTAACTCCTGTGCGTGCTGGTCACTGTCAGTTAAGAACAAATAAGGACCTTCCTAGACTCATGTTTTTCCATTAGTGCTTACTCAGCCCTACACGGTTTAGGTGGTTTTCTATTACAAATGCCGGCCGAACAAAAAGACGGACAGCCAGCAAGAACAAAAATAAATAAATCGAAGCCATGGTGGGAATTATAACCCGACTAAATCTTGGTGTTGGTTTGTGTAATAGGCATTTACGATGTATCTGGCCACATCACCCGTGTGGCTCACTCATTTCTAGGCCAGACTTTCACTTTTTATTGAGTATTTGGTTGAGATGCGTAGAAAAGAAAAGGAATGAATGACTAAGACGAATGGGCCATAGGACAAGGTCAAGAGGGCAGGAGCAACAAAACATTCCCTTTAAAAGGTAAATGATACATTTAAAGAAGGTGAACATTTAATTGAAGATAAACAAAAAGCTACTTTGAGACGCACAACCTTTTTTCTTCCATTCCAATCCTTGAAAATACTTTAGTCAAGGAGACAGTTTGAAATGATAATGTAGCAATATAGGAAAAGACACCTCTTGTTTTTCGCTAAGGGCGAGAAATGTATATCTCAGAGGCAGCCTTTGGGGGAATGAAACAATACCTACAAGCAGCTGCCCGTCTAAATAAAACCTTGGAGGTGTGGAATAGCACTCACAGGTTTCTGGAGTTTTGCTGGGCTCCTCCTGTGAAGCCGTACTTGTCCACCTCCGTCTCTGCGGGGATGGTGCCATTCACCTCTGGGTCGGATCTAGGTGAACTTCCTCTCCCATTATCCGTCAGCTTCTCTGTGCTGTCACGCACGTCGAGTCCATTGCCCTGCTCAGTTTTTGCCATTTAATCAACATTTACCTCAGGAGATGCAGACAGCTTAGGGTTCCCACTAAACTTAAAAAGGACACTTTAGCCCTCCTCAGGCAGACGCCCACTCCTTTAGCTACTCTCAGCTAGTTAGCTTCAGGATCTTTTCCCTAGCAGGAGCTCGCTAATGCTAATATAGTCACTTAAGCGGTTGGTTTATGTGTTGAATTTCCTCAAATTATACACAGAATTAAATATCCGGTTAAAAAATAGGTCCAGCCTGAGTGCCCTCAAAAACCCAATAGCTCCGTCCTCAAAAAACGATAAATTTGGAATAAACGTGCGAGCTAACTGCGAAGTGAACATGCTAGCCTCATACAACTGTCAGCTGACAGACACAGCGAAAAACCTCTGCAGTCAGCAAGAATGTAGGTTAGCTGCTTTATTCGACGGAGATAAAGTGCCTGCCTTGAGTAGCTTTGTAAACAAAACATCCATGGCATCCCGCGACTCCCTTCTGCCACCTACCGCTTAAAACCACACACTCCGATGACCTCCGATGGGAGGTTGCTTGTACCTGTACAGTGACAGCCTAATTCACAACAATCAGGGTTCAATCGATACTTTCCTGTGATCAAACTGCAATGTTTTGCCCAGAATCTGGATCCTTTGTACGTTCAGCAATACTTTTTTAAAATCTAAATTAAAGATAAACAATAACATCTAACAGTGGTTGAAGGGATTTGTCAACATGGCGCCTGATAAATTATAATGTTATGATTATTCTCAAGACTATGATCATGAGCCTAATCTTTAAGTTATTGGTCTTTTTTTCTTCACATAGGTGTTCTTTACATCAGATTTACACAAAATCACAGTCTAAAATACTGAGTAAAACTAACTAAAACTTTGTGTCAGCAGGGAACCTTGTGAGGATAGTTGATATTTTTAGTTTAAGGAAAGATGATTCTACTGTTCATTGATGCACTCCTCTTAAAATCCCTTCCAAGCATGAAACCCCATGTGCCTGGTGCATCAGCTGCATCTGACTAAAAGATAAACATTGGCATCATGAATAACCCGCAAGCAAATTTAGTAGAAATACTAGATTCTTTATTTAAATATTGTACATATTTGAAAACATATTTACATAAATTAGACCTGCATTGTTATGCTGTAGACAGAGGCGTATCTCTCATTCACTTGCTGGAAACACAATCATATCACCACATTGCAGAAGCACCTTTGAGAACGGCGTCGTTGGGAAATGAGACCAAAAAAGAATTCAATAAAATATGGGACGGGACACCTCATTTGCATCAACAGGGAAATACAGCAGACATGAGACAAGCTTGCAATGACAGGAAAGGCCTCTTGATTACAGGTCTATGTTTTAAGGCTGAATCTGTGCTCATCCTCATAATGGAAACGTAAGAAAGAAAATCCAAATCTGAGAAATGAACTGTCAATTGGTGCAAGTAGCTAAGACATCAAACATGCAAACAAAACATTGAATTTATGTAGAAAGAGGACCAGTCCAATCTGAACGCATGTGAAACATGACAATTGTGGAGAAACATCAGATTCTCATTTCGCATCAGAAATAAACTCATTAATCTAAAGCAAAGCGGACACAGAGAACCAGTTGATTCTTTTACAAACCAACCGCATGTTCTATTGCAGCAGATAGATGAACACTGTGGATACTGAAGTCCATAAACAAGGGTCTTATAGAACAGTACCAAAAATTATGATTTAGTTCATGGCTTTCCTTCTTTGGTTACTTGTTGATAACCAGTCATATAGAACATATAACTGAAACCTGGCAGGAATATGATACAACTCTCATTCTTTGACACATCTGAAGCACAGAATCACATTTTAATATTACTGAACATTTCTACTGATGCATCTGGCCATCACACACAATTCTGAGCACAAAGAACTTACAGTATTGCTGTATTTTCTGTGAACAAGTAGAGACAAAACATGTCTTTGGTGCACATTCTTTTAAACTTTGAAGACATTGCCTAAATCACTTGGCAGAAGTGTTAGACAAAGAAACAGACTATCATGAGCTGTATAATTTTTTGTTGTTTATAGGAACGTTGTTTTAAATCCAGCACACAAACGTTAGCGCACGCACACTTCATCTTTTACATATAGATCACTCACATCAAGACATCTGAATTACAAAAACACAAGCAGCCAACAGATGTGAACTGAAATAAGCAGCTGAGGAATTACACACACACACACACAAAGCACAAGTGATTTGTTTTTTAAGAAAGTGTGGGCTTTCAGTCACTTGTCATATTGTGTTACTTTTCAGACAAAATAATGTTAAAAAAATAAATTTTCTTTTAATTTTATCCTGACCTATCATTGCAATAGTAAGCATATCCAGATGCTAGCCTCAGCTTCGAGATAACAAATATTACCGTTAAAGACAGTACACCCCCCCACCCCACCCCCATCAAACACACACACACGTTAACTTTTTTTCTACACACAACTGATATAAGGAAAATCCCAGCAAACATCTTGTTCATTTCAGGAACTGGAAGTGAGGGATTAAAAGGATGAATTCAAGATTTTTAATCTATACAAGAAAACATTTTCATGAACGAGTGCTTTTAACTTCCACACTAGTAATGAAATGACGCTTTGCTTCTTAGACTCAAAATACAACATGATGGCTTGGATACAGCCCTAAAAAACTGAAAAGAATATTTACAACTCATCAGGATGTGTGCGCACAAAAAGTCCCCAACTGTGACCAGACCTGATTAACTTTCATACCAACGCTTCAGCACGCATGTTTTCTCTATACAGTTTTACTTGATTTATTTGTTCACATTTAGAAACCTTTTTCTAAAAGCCAAATCCCACATTTTATTCTCCAACTCTTTTCCCAAGCCCGCACCCTCAGTCTAACCTCTGCGCTCAGTTCAAACACATGTACAACAAGGAGCAAATGAACAACTTAAACACAGGAGATTGACAGCCTGCTTCCATAACCGTCACCGTGAGCTGAAGGACAGCCCAACTCATGGCCTCCGCCTTATCCTGTCATGTGTTTAATACACAAAGACTGCTAGATGTTACAGCCCTCTGCTGACCCAAACTCTCCTGCCCTGTCACAGCACCTAAAAGCTGGTGCCGTGCGGGGTATCGGTCTGCCATTCTCAGGCTCCTTTTGCACCATTGGTCACCGGGATAAAATCCTCACAGTCTCCGGCCCACGACTGTTCCCAACCTACTTCAAACAGTGGACGAAAACTAAATAAATAAAACACCAGTGGATGTCAGCCATGCTGTGCGGAGAGTGAGCGGTGTTGATGGACCTCCCCCTGTCAGCCTGCAGTGCATGTTGGGAGGGCTGCAGGTGGAAGACTCAGGCAGATGGCGAGGAAGGGTCAGCCCCAGAGAAGCACACTCACACATACGCACACTTTTAGTCTGTATATTCAGCCACAATAGAAAGCAGCACCGTAATATCATCTGGTTTCCCTCCTGTAGAAAAAAACAAAAAAAACAAAAAATGACATATCGGAACAACAAGACAAGCATTTTCCCCCCATAACTTAAAGAAATAAATACCTCCACTGATTAATAAAAAAGTCAATATCCTCACCTCTTACATTCAGCCCGTTATCACAGGCAAACTGTGCAAAAGGGGACATATAATTGGGATCGTAGGCCAGGTCATGAGCTTGCTTTGCAATACTCTGCGCAGTCTGCAGAATGCTGTCATAGTTTGTAGTCTGACGGGCAAGAAAGTGCAGAAAAGTGTTACAGTGTGACAAAAATGCAGTGATTTTAATCACCTGCTCAAAAAAGATGCGACCCAAATGAGATACCTTGAGTTTTTTAAGCTCTTGTAGAATCATGTAGTCTGGCATGTTGTCAAATAGTCCGTCGGTGGCTGTTAAGATGATGTCACCCAGTTGCACATCAAAAGAGGAGCTGTCAGCTGCTTCGGGACTGGAAAAGAAAAAAGGGGGCAGCCAAATCAGTCATGTGAAAAGTGAAATCTGAGCTTGGAGCACCCTGAGCTGCTGGCAACAGTTTCCTATGTGGAATTAAGGTAAGAAGTCACAGCCAGATCTTTAAGGTACATTTGGAGCAGGAGTTTAATCTGGAAGCTGACCTAAAAGCAGCCTGCCCCAAGTGTCCCTGCCAGAAACAATTAGGCCCCGTTTACTTACACCATGACCAAGACTCAAGTTTTATTTCCCAGGAACTCTGATCTCCTGCTACTGTAGATCTTGGGTTAACTTTTACTGCGAAGTTATAAATGTAACATAAAGGAAACGTCCAATGAGCTGATCTGGCATGCTATAATGCTCCACATAGGACATGGCAAAATAATCAGGAATTGTTTTTTCTGTGTCAAAATCAAGCAGCGACACCATTTGAGTAGCGAGAAAACCCTGAGACACTTTCCACATTTATCCTTTTTAAATGAAAAGTTGAGCTTCAGTTCAGAATGGAGAGTTCTGTTGCATTATCTTCTCTCGTTATAATCTTACATACCTCTATGGACCTAAACCAAATGGTTTCTTGATATTATCTTTTGCGAGTTGAAGCGTGAACCTCACCTGTCCTCACATGATCTCAAGGGACATTTCATCAGGTTTTATTGATATGAATGTGCTGTGTTTATCTTTACAAATCACATATATCTTAACCAAAACATCTAGCGATGAAAAGACTGGGAAGGGATTTTCCATGTGGGCTGTGGATGAAAATGTTAAGTTTAGGTGGCCATTGACGACCTCAGAGTAGATCTGCTCTCTCTTTAGGAGTCGTTTATCTAGCAAACACTGACTCAAATGCCTTATTGTACCCCCTATTAGCTTTTTAAAAGAAAAAAAATTAGTTGTGTCTAGTTTAATCATATGTTTAACATTTCTTTGGATACACAAATCAGGTGGATGTGTATGTAAATGTACAAGTATACAAACCCTACTGTGACAACTGCTGAGGCTCTGAGCTGAAACAGAAGATCAGCTATATATTGAATTCTTTATCATTTTATAGGGATGATTTCTCAAGTGCGTTTTAAAGCTGCCACCTGGCTACAGTCCACAATATAAGCCAGACAAGTCCTAGTTTCATTTCTAAAACTGCCCTCCTGTGTAAGGATTTTTTTAACTCTGAGAAACTAACCTGTCACTGAGCACCACTCCTTCAGCTCCTGGAGGAGCGATGGACAGCTGGAAGGGTGTGTTAAAATAGTGCTGCTGCTCATCCGAACGATGGACGACTTCTCCACCTCGTACTACTAAGAATCCAGAGTCGCCAAGGTTACACGTGTGAAGCCGGTGACTCCTTCGATCCAGAACCACAATACAGGCTGTGCTGCTCCCTATAAACAGGCAAGAGTAAAAACATGCACAAGGTTACATGCCCGTAAAAGAGTTCATTAGAGGACATCACAGAAAACAACATCACAAAATTATGCAGGACCGTCCAGGACACAATTTCAGTCTTGGATTAGAATTAATTTAAGATGACAAAAAAATCCATCCATGTGAAATGAATGCTTTGGTAATAGGCATCATACTTTTTCTACCGTTAGATAGTTCCCTGACAGTGGAAAGAACAACAAACACGTAGTTGCTTTCTGTTGCTTGTCCCAAATCCCCACTGACTGCAGTTTTCAACAGCCCCTGTAACCTTGAGCTGCTACGGTCAGGTACTGACCTTGTCACAGCTTCCCAAAATATAATTAGGGCCTTTGGCAAATGTTACAACAGCCATTGGGCGTCTGCACTGGCTCTTGCCCAGAGACACTGAGCCTCGGAAGAAATGTGACCTAGGTCACATATTTGGCAGGACCCTGCTTTAAAAACTGTAACAACCTACCTGTAGTATCACTTCCAGATTGCTTCTAAACCTTTTGGCAAAACGAGCAATCTTTTAAACAACAACTTTGCTAAGCTTACAGAGATCAGACTAGCAAGATTAGCCTAGAACAAATTGATTTCTTACCTTTTAGGCACTGATTGGGTTGGAGATTAAATTAAAAAAAAAAAAAAAAAAAAAAACACACTGTAGAAAAAAAAAAAAAAAAAAATAAAAAGAACCACTAAATTAGTTCTGCTCATCTAAAAATTGTATAATTGTATTTAGGTTCTCCTTTTTATATTCTTTCAAATGTTTAGCTTTTTTCAAAAATCTTAGAATAAAAGGAATGCAGATAAATCCAACCACCAGTGATAATGTAATGTTATGCATCTCTCTGGACATCACTTGGACAGTCTGACTCATACTGCAGCTATGTTTATGCTGTTGGGCCCAACTCACCCCACCACTTACCACAGTAGCCTGGTGTATTGTCTGTGCACATACTTGATTTCCATCAATGTCTGCTCACCTAGAAGTGGAACTTTGTTCTGTAGGAGCTCATAGTAGCCGGAGGTCAGAATGCCCACTGGATTACTGGGAGTGAAGCGGCCCTCCTTTACTAGTCTCTCGCAAGTCCTCATTAAGGTGGCAGAGAACTGAGACGGGTCAACGCCATAATCACGCCAACCTCCTACACCATCTGCCACACCTGGTGGGGAAAATGGACATTAGAGACAACAAAAACAAACAGATCAGCCCAATTGGAAACAAAAAACATGCTGACAATACTTTATCTAAAATCCCACCAGTGCATTAGGTTGTTTTAAAATTGGAAGGAATTTCCAAAGACTTTAGACACTATCACAAATGCTAATAAAAAAAGAGAGAAAACAACAGATTTGACCTCAGGAACCTACAGAAATCTGCTTAACATAAATAGGGGGGACTGTTAAGTGGAAAACAACAAATGATAATAACTGATGCACAAAAGATTTTCCTTCAAAGGATTTCTTTTGTCAAATGATATTAAGCTTAAGAGAAGTGTTCAATGCAGCAAACCTAAAAATGCAGCATTTACTGCAAGAGGAGGGGGGGATGGTAGATGAGACATACATTTTACTGCAAATATTGAATACATCTTCAATGCCAGAGATTACAGGAGAGTATTAAACAACAACAGGGGGATGTTTCTACTTCTGAATACAGATTGCAAAAACACATGGTAGTGGTGCATAAGAAAGAAACTGAAACCACCAACTGTGTCGTGAGGTTTCCCAGAGATTCACATGTACAAGTGAAAAACTACTTTAGAACAATAGGATAGGCCACAGTCGAGGACTTGATTTCCCCTAATAACACAACAAACCTTAGAAAAACGTGTTACTCTGCCACGCAGTTTCTATTTGCCATGTGTGACACGTGAAGTTCTGGGGGCAATTTGATCCGGACTATTTTTATTCCATTTCAACAGTTCGCACACGGGAGTCTGGACATGGCTTGTAAACTATAAAACACATAGGTGCCGAGGGAGCCATGTGGCTTGCTAGGTATTTGGCTGTGTTTATAATGCCTAAAGCCGGCTGAGCGTGAGGACAAAGCACTGTGCTAAAAGCTAGCAGGTTACCGTTAGCAACATGGCTGCCTCCACGCTCAACCATTCTGACCTTTGCAAGACATTGTAGAGTTCAGTCCAGCAATTTTAGCACGTTATTTTTTTAGTCACATTCGTCATTAACAATATTCATTTATAACCTAGGCATAAAATAAACCGTGTTTTCGCCATGCAACCCTACTACGATGTATGTAGGTGAAAGGTCATTGGGCGTTTCTATGCAAAACCTGTAAACGATAAATAACCGGCTCTTGCATTAAAATTAAGTGACAACACGTGCCTTTGCGTGCAACAGTATTTTACTACATCTAACTCAAATCAACAGGAAGAACGCAAGTCTTCCTTAACGACAGCACAGAGAAAGTTAGAGCTGTGTTTTCGAGGGGGAGGGGGCTGCTGTGTTTTCATCCGTGTGGTCGGTACACGTGCAGGCTAGATCATGAAGGTCAATCGAGCAGGCAGGAGCCAACAGGCACCCAGCAGCCCGTGACAGTCATTCCCATCCACGAAGTCTTACCCAAAACGTCCGCAGTTCTATTCCGCGCAATGAAGCAGGCGTCGTCGCCGTAGCACATCCCTTTCTTCAGGATCCCCTTACGAAAGTCTTTACCGAAGCCATAACTGGCGGTGATCAGACTGTAGTCCCGACCGTCAGTCTGAGAGAGTCCGCCCAGGACAGCCCTGGCAACCAGTCTTCCATAAGACAGTACGGATAACATCCCCTAGCAAGGAGAAACCCCGTCTCGATTAGAGTCCGAACAAACCGCCCCCCCTCCTTCTTTCTCCCCCTCGAACCGGCTCTGCCACCTGCCTGCGCGTCTCCGGATAAAGCCCCGTCTGGCTGTCTGCTTTTATCCGTCCATTCGGCTCCGCGCGGCCTGCTGCGGTAAAAAGTAGCGGAGCTCCAGCGGTTTCTTTAAAACTTGCCCCACTGTTCGTCGTGTCTGCTCGTCGCGCCTTTTAAGTCTCAAGTGTGCATTTTACGAACCCTCCAGTACTTCCACTCGGCTCTCTCCTCACCGACATGTTGTCACCGGACACAAAGCTGCGAGTACATACGGGTGTTTGACCGTTTACAACCATTACGTCACAGCCGCGTGCGTGCACATGGCTCCTCCCAGAGTGGAGGCTCGAGGGAGGAGGGGACATAGGAGGGGAGATGTAGCAGCTTGCTACCTAAACTTTCGCACTCGTTGACTTCTTATTTCACGGGAGGACCGGTCTTTGACCGAAAATTTGCACAGTACATTTAAATGGCCTCCAGAGGCATTAACTCGGCTATATTTGAACCTTTAATATCGAAAATAGGAAACATTGTTGGAAATATAATCACATGCTAAAATATGCCATAGTAAAAAAAAAAGAGGAAAAGTCGTTTCTCAAAAAGGATTTTTGTCTGTATTCAAGACTAAATGTATACTCGCAAATGGCACCATTTCTGACCTGTGTCCGTTCATAAATGTATTTGTGACATCTAATGAGAATAAATGAGACCTTTACTTTCCACTTCCGCTGGTCATTATTGATTACAAATTAAACAGTTATCTTAGCGGATGGTAATTTTTTAAAAGGAAACTTAAAGCAGTTATCTACTACACTCTGTTTTCCTATATAGATATATTGTATAGTAACTTATGAGGAGATAAAAACACAAAAACTATATCAGTGTCTAATCTAATGAAATTATAATAATAATACAAACTGTTTTTTTTTTTAAAAAGTTCTACAATCTGTCTTCAAATATGTATCCGGTTTTGTATTTTATTCTTGCTTTTTTGTTGTTGTTTTCTTTAAAATATTTTAATATTAATTTACTAAAGTGAATTTAAAGCCAGTTAACGTTTATTCATTTGTAACATATTCTGCAGTTTCCAAAATATTTAGTTTATAAAGTATACGAGACCTAAATCTTTCTTTATTTTGTATGTCACGATTTTTCATGTATTTGAAATAAGAAATAAATCAAATAAGACAGTGGAAGAAATGAGCATCGGTCTTTTTAGTTTTTTTTCCAGAGAGCTCTGCGCCACTGATGTGATCATATGTGCGCTGCGACTGTCACCGGAAGTAGGTTTTGTCTCGAGGTGCACTTGTTCTATGTACCCAGACCTAACAAGTGTAGAGACAAGCACCAGGAAGAAACACTAATGTAATACAAGAGAGAGATAATCTATTTAGCCTGTTAATGGAATTTCATCTGATTTAACAGAAAAAGCAACCTTCTAAAATATACTCATCCTTTGGCCTTCCATGGTTGTTAAACATTACATACCTGAAACGTATCGGCATCACGACACAGAAAGATCAACGTTAAGATAGCATCTGATCATGCGTATGCTTTTGTGGTGTCAGCAACTAAAACCTACGTAATAACCAAGCTTAGAATAAACTATAGAAAAAAACATCCATGGTTTTAGACGTTGATTTTGGTCACTCAGCGGTAGCAACGAATAGTCCCCGCTCTTCTCTGTGCTCAACGGCATTTCTAGGTAATAAAATCGAACGCAGCCTGATCTGTTAAACCCACTGAGTTAGAGGGGCGAGAGAGGGTAAACAACAAACGGATTTTTTAACCGAAATACCACCGAGATCGGCAGCACACTTTTTGTTCAATGGTAAGAATGGCAATCCGATGTATCTATATTAAACGTTAGTTTATTAACAAGCGAGAAACGCTTTCCCGTTATAATAAATAGCTTTGGGTTGTTACGGAAACGGGCAGCACGATTACTATGCAGTGATCGTTCGTCCATGATAACGGGTGCCTAGCTTAGAGAGATGGGATGATTCTGTAGCATGGATGGCTCTTTAGCAAAAATCTGAGAAAATAACCAGAGTAGCCTGCTTCAGTATAATTGAAACTTGATATTTAACATTCTGAAACGGGCTGAGATCATGGACTTACAGAAGGCCAACACGGGTTTATTCAAAGAAATCGTTTTAAAGAGGTCTAATCTTGCGTGTGAATGATCAGCGAAAGAGAAAGTAATAATGCACTTCAGTGTTACGTCCTGCTGCGCACCCAAAAAAACAAAGATAAATAAAAGAGCAAGGATAACGGTATTTGTTTTGTTGTCTGATACTTTACTGCTTTATATTTTTTCTCAAAGGCCAAGATGTGGAGACTGTATGAGATGGGTCTTTTGTCCCTTCTTATTATGTCCATCTTGATCCCTGAAATGACATGTATCAGGAAGAGCAGTAGCAACAAGAAGACATCCTCAACAAGCAGTAAAGGTGGGACACAATCAAAGCCGTCCAGCACTCAGCCAGGAAACTATCCTCGACAACCACAGACTCCCAATCGTAACCCCAATCCATATCCAGCTGGTGGAAGTTACCCTAACCCAGGAAGAGGCAACACCAATCCAGGAGGATATCCACAACAAAATCCAGCGAGGTACCCAGGAGCTGGAAGCAACCCAAACCAAAATCCTGGTGGTTATCCAGCAGGTGGCAATCCAGCAGGTGGTTATCCAGCAGGTGGCAATCCAGCAGGTGGTTATCCAGCAGCAGGTGGATACCCTGCCGGAGGAGGTTATCCTAATCAATACCCAGGTAGAGGGAATTATCCCAATCAGAATCCCCCTGCCGGAGGCTATCCAGCAGCAGGTGGATACCCAGCTGGAGGAGGGTATCCTAACCAATACCCAGGTAGAGGGAATTACCCAAATCAAAACCCCCCCGCTGGAGGCTATCCAGCTGGAGGAGGTTATCCAAACCAAAATCCTGGAAGGAATTACCCTAACCAATATCCAGGGGCAGGGGGATACCCAGCTGCAGGTGGATATCCTAACCAATATCCAGGTGGGTACCCCGGAGGTGGCTACCCAGTCAGAGGGGGAAATACAGGACAGGGTTGGGGTGTGCCTGGGGGAAATCCAGGGGGCTACCCCGGTGGAGCAGGAGGCGGTTACCCCAACTGGAACCCAAACAATAAGATCCTCAGTCCCAGGTTTGGAGGAGGAGGCTATGGCTACGGTGGTCACGGAATGGGGGGGTCTCCTTTCTCTCATTCCGTACAAAACATGGGGTACCAGCCCAAGTCCACAAATTTTGCTAAAAAAGCCATGTTGGCCGCTGGTGTCGGGGCTGTTGCCGGAATGGCCGTTGGATATGGACTGGGACGTTTCCCTCGACCCCATTTTAATTTCCGCAACCCTGAAGAAGAACAATATTACAACAATTACATGTACCGTCGTTACGGAACCCAGTCAACTGATCAGAAAGACTATGGCCGCGATTATGTCTACAAGCCTCCTCCCAGGGCGGAGTCTTACGAAAGCTTCATGAGTCGCTGCATGAATAGCAGCGAGCCTCTTAAAGAGAAAGGCAGCAGCCCCTCCCCTTCCAACACTGGAGCAAATGAGGATGATGACACCGTCAGTATTGAGGAAATCGGCTATCCAGCCCTAATTGAGCAGGTGAAGTCCCGGCGCTGTGTGGAGCAGTACATGATCTACTCTGAGCGCTTTCTGCAGGAACGGAAATTTGAGCAACAAATTCAGCACAGCCACGGCAGTCCTCTGAATTATGGGGTGATGCAACTCCTCACTTCCTGCCTCATGCTGTTGTCCAGCATGCTCCTGCTCCAGTGAAGAAAGATAAAGGCATTCCATCTCAAGTGGATTTCCACCGTCCCCATTTAAACTGCATGTTCAGTACTTGCATAAGTACCTCCATAGCATAAATCATAGCTGTATACATGTATGGTTTAATATTTATGAGGAGAACTAAAAAAACCTGAATGCACTATCTAAAGCAGTCTGATCTAAGAGGCAGCATTTTAAAGTACTATTTAAATCTTTGGTTTTACGTTCACAAGATACATAGTTTTATTTCACTGAACATTTTTGTTTGCAAAAATTGCATAGCTTTTTTTTAGCAATGAATGTATAAAAGACAGGGAAGTTTCTTAGTTTTGTAAAAGCTGACAATGAAAAAGGATGAACGTGTTAAGTCTTCAGTGTGGTTTGACACCATCTTGCTAAGCTAATGGATCTGATGACATTATGTGGTGAGTCATCCGAGGGGAGGGATCAGGTTTGAGTTATGTGGATGGATGGGGATGTACCTCAGTAGACATGACCATTTTATAGCCGCAACATGGAACAGATTGGCACTTTGGTGCAAACCTGTGCCCATAATGGCGTCTCCAGACAAGCTTTCGATGTCACCCGGTGAATCTAATACCATAATCAATTTTTAAACGGAACTCTTTGGCAAAAAGGGTTGGAGAAATCTACCTCCTCTCAACCTTTAGGAATTGGTTTGAAGTAAAGCAATTTGTCTGGGTGAGAAACAACATAGTGTTTTACTCCCCTTTAAATTTAACAGACATAGCAACAAAACAATTTTTTTTCTTTCATCAAGAATAAAGTTGGTGCTCAACGGATCCCACTGCAAGTGCAATGGTAAAGATATAAACTGGAAATATAAAATGTAAACATTGTGCATGGTTTCAAAAGCTAAATATTAATGAAGAGAAACGTTGTCCTTTTATTCTTTTACAGCACAGCTTCAGATTAATTTATGGTTAAACCATTTAAAGAAAATAACATTGTTTGATTCTTTGTTAGACATTTTTAAAATCCAAATTATTTAAAAGTGATTAAAAAAAGGCAGGGCAAGAAATGTAAATTAAACACTTAATTTCAATATGAACAGCTAAACTTTGTAAAGAATAACCTTATTTCTCTGTAAATTCTCTGTAAAATCCTGGCTCCTGATAGACATGCTGAAATCCGATGAGGTCATATGTGCTGTTGCCATCTTACTCCATCTGTGTAATAACATACAGCTTTTTGTTATATTCAGATTGACAGGAATAAGCCCCTAATATTGAAACTTGACAACACTCTGATATGTACCTGAATAATATGGATTATTGCCGTGTAAATTTCTGAGGTTCTCATGTATACTCTAAAGTTTCATGAGACACAAACACCCCTGGTTGTTTGGTCACCGGTTTTTGTGAACATCTGTTTTCCTCTAATGGCCTGCACCTTCCTGCAAAACAAGTGAGATAGTCATTGACTAGGGTTTGTTTGCCCTGTATATACATGTTTGATTTTTACTCTAGCCTTCTATAGCTGTCACGATGTACATACAGTAACACGGATTCTTACTCTTCAGCAAGCTTTTCTCTCTTACTTACCTTTTGAGGAAAATTACATTTGCAGACTATCTGACATTTTAAAGGGACTTTAAATGAAAAAACACACACTGAAGAATTAGTTATTGTTCCCTCTGCATCCTTTGTACAATAATGGTCTCTGCTTTTTCACGTAGCTGGTCTCACATTTAATATTTTAATTATTTTTCTCTATTCCTCAGTTAAGAGGCTGACTTTATTTTATTGTGGCTTGTTAAGTTGATTTGAAATGACATGTTTGCTGTATTATACAATGTTGTCTGTAGAATATCTGTAAAGTGCACTTATTCCCTTTAGATCTGGATATTCTGTGAGCATACTGAAGGTGTTGATGTCAGGGATAAGCTCACTTTTTTGACTTGCACTCATAAAAAAAGAATCCCTGTGTTCCTCATTAAATCCTAACATGGTATGTCATGGATGTGTATGTGTTTAATAAAATACCATTGGAAACAAGTTTTTCGAGTAAAGGCTATAATTTCCCATTCTTATTCCCCATTTGTTGTTTTATTTCCCCCTATTGCTGACTGGATTTTATAAACACTCTGTATGAGCAGAAAAAAACCATGCCAGAATAATTTGTTATACATTTTCAGAGGTAAAATAAATTCACTTACTTTGATGAAGTCATTCATGATAACTTGATTTTTTTCTATAATTAATAATAACATCCCCCCGCGACCCCATTAGGGAATAAGATAATGGATGAATGGTTAATAATAACTTATCCATGAGTGTTCACAATGACTTTGTTAGAAATAAATCATATCAAGAAGTAAACATCATGAATAATCCTTTTTATCAAAGCTTTAATGAAATTGTTAGTTTGATAGTTTTCTTCGCAATTAGACATTGGATCAAATGTCTCTTATCCACACCGCGGTAAGAAACGGCACCACGTGTCCGAGGGTGTGGAAGGCGGTGTTCAGCGAGGCAGGGGCAGCCCCTTTAACAAAAGCTCTCCAGAGAGACTGGTTGCTGTGTCTTTGAGATTCCTGGTAATAGGGCTGCTGTTTCTGCTCTGAAGAGCCACCTTTATGGTTCCCAGACCCATGTTTTGGCCTTCCAAGAAAGCCCAGCCCGTAGCCAATGCCCGTCCCGCCCAGCATGCCGGCAGCGGTTCCGGCCCACTTCAGGCCCTGTTTGGAGAAACCTTGCCCCCGGGACGGAGGCGCTTTGTCCCCATCGCCTTTACCGCGGCCCCTGAAGCCGCCTCCTCGTTTACTGTACACATGCTGGGCGCCAGGGCACAGGGTGGCCATTATCAACAGCAAAATCCATAAAGAGGAGAGCCTCTGCTGGTTGGCCATCTCAGGAGAGCTGAAAGCACACAGAAGAAATGGCGTGGACAGAACGTTACGATTTTCAACCCCAGGCATTCACACAGCGGTTAGGAGAGCAATATTGTCTGATGTTTAGATACTACAGTTAGGAACCTGATCTACAGCGTTTCAAAAACAGTGTTGGCAGCCTGTCAACCTGGCTTTGAATTTACTGTCACTGCACTAACAAAGTCCCACGCCCGCCACCACTAACACAACAGACATCCAGAATGATCCACATGCTCTGTAAACACTGGGATTAGCTGAGTATCATGTGATGCAGATTTCTGCTGTTGACTCGCTGCACCTTGCCGCATTTATTCACCCTGTGGCTGATCAGCAATGTTTGTCCAGGTTTTAGGCTAAAAGCACACCAGGCGTTTACATCAGTGTGTATGCTACTCTGTGTAGGACTTTGTAATACACAAAAAAAAAAGTGCTTGAAAAGGTGACTGACACTGCTAAAAATCAATTCACGTCACTACTTTTAAATAAACACAGCAAAGGTTTTTTTTTTGTGCATAGCCGTAGACTAAAACATGACACCTACCTTTCTGATGGGTCACTCAGAGATGTATTGCCGGAAAGGCTGAACCTTTTCAAACAATAACTCTCACCCTGGAGCACCACAACATGCTGGTTATCATTTCCATACTATCATCCACCATCCAGCAGAGCCCCTCCCTCAAACAAACGCAGCTCTGCCATTGGTTCTGGATCAACAATACACAACATATTCTGTGTGTTTTGCTGATGGTTGTGTTTTCTGTGTGGTTTCTCTCTTTATTCAGTAAATGGAAAAGCTGATGCAAAAACAGGTGACTGCATGCATCAAGCCCCCCCCCCCAAAGTTTTGTTATAGCTGCTTTTATTTGGTGGCCATGTACATGTTTGTGACTTAAAGGTTGTGCGCAAAACACCCAGTTTTGCTCTGTTACAGACAGCAATCAAAATTTTTTCATGAGCCTTCGTCATCTCAGACTACACAATGAAAGTTTAAATTTGAAAGATCTCAGCTTTTGAGAACATTTTTTCCAATGCTATTTTTAAAACAAACTGCCACAGTTTGAATGCATGCGAAGAGATGAACATATAATTTGCAACAAAGGAATAAAAAAGAGAGGAAACTCTTCAAGAGGGTTAAAATTGAGAAACATTCCAAAGGCAAGTGAAGAGCAGCTTTGTGTCTGTGGTTTATGGGACCATCTTGAGGTCCATGTTGAACAGTAGGAGCTTTGTTGGGGTTTGCGTGTACAAGGGCTTTGAATGGATATACACGAAACAATTATGCAGCAAGTTGCTTAAAACTTTTATTGCTTTTGCATCTTCACAGTTGCACAATCATAAACTACAATACAAGAAGTTTGATATGATCAAATTTAAATGCTAGATATCACAATTTGCATAGGGAAGATATCATATTCATCACATATTTAATGTATCATCTGACATCCCACAGTGGATATCATCCAGAATACAATCAGAATAAAGATATGTACACAAATCTCTTTAAAACATAACTTCAGGGATGCAGCACAATAATAAGGGGGTGCTAAGTTTACACAAACATTAAAAAGTAAGGACCAAATTATTTTCATCACAGCATGAGAGAGTAACAAGTATTCTCACTTCCCCAACTTTAATAAGCTAACCACAAAAAACAGTTTTTTGTGTGTCAAAGTGGTTCACATCACATGCTTTTTAACGTCAGAGAAACACTCACACAATCACATGCTAATCTGGAACTGATCTTTTTTTTCAGGTTTCCCAGAAAAAAAGTAAAACATTCATGCAAAAAGAAAAAAAATCCTTTTCAAGTGATGAGGTGGATCCTAAATTTCTCCTCATGGAGCAGGCTGTCTGGAAATGCAGGATTATGTGCCATTTTTTATTATTTGTGTCCAGCATCTCTTTTTGAGGATGAATGACATTGCAGATGCTCTGAAGATTGTGGGTGGAAACTCTGGGCAGCATTACTGGTCCACATTTCTCAGCAGAAATTAAATTACATTCTCAAAGAGCTGCATAGAAGCCATTATATTTTCATCCTGTTGAGAAAGACATAAACTTTGTTAACCCCATCATTGACTATAAGCTGGATGTGTTGAATTGTGAGATTTACCTTTTGGCAGGTCTCTATGAATTCATCTATCGTCACAACTCCATCCCTGTTTCGATCCATTTTCTGATAAATAATGGAATGACTTTAATATTTCAGCACATCAGAAACATCAGGATGTGGATTAATGTAATGATCCCCTGAGACAATAACTTAATTTTAATATTTTGTATCCTTCTTCTCAAATCTCAAAAAAAGTATATAAGTAGGTAATTACAAGAAGGTAATTTTACATTTTACTCATCAGCTTTTGCTAAACCAAATGTAAATACTTTTCTGCAGTTAAAAAACAGAGCAAAAGATAAACAACAATAACAGGAACATTAAGATGGTGGATGAGCAAACCTGGAAAAACTTCTCCACATGATCAAAGGGAGAATCATCTCGTAAGCTGGGTGAAGTATACCTGCCCATCATGTCATAAATGGAGGTCATTATTGCCAGCATTTCCTGCAGGGAAAGGAGGGCAAACATCTAAACTGTGACATTTGAACTGTTATGAGATTGTAATTCCTCTGTGGAAATTGTTTTACAGCCTCTACCTCCTTTGTGATGTAGCCGTCCTTGTTTATGTCATACAGGTTGAAAGCCCAGCGAAGTTTCTCGGTCACAGAACCTCTGAGCAAGACGGACAAACCTAACACAAAGTCCTGTAAATGCGATGTAAAGGTTACATGTCAGCTTTCTTACAGCAAATATCACTGGCCTTGAACGTATTGACATCTTCAAACACGTAGCCGCTGAGGATCTCACCTCAAATCGGATGGAACCACTTCTGTCCATGTCAAACGCATTGAATAAGAAATGTGCGTATGTAGTTGCATCTGAGAACAGATTACAGATAAAGGATTGGAATGTAACTCTTAATGAAGAAGACTTATTTATCTCTGCTCTCAATACCTGTGCATCTCTCAATATTTGAATTTAATCAGAAAAATCAGCTTTACTTCTGCAGTTTTAGTGATGGGGCTGAAAACCAATAGCATCTGGATAATACTATCTGCAAATGTATGATATTTCATTAACCTTCTATATGTTTAGAATCTCTGAGTCAGTTTAATGATTTACCTCCTTGAGGGAAAAACTGTGAGTAGATTGTTTTGAATGTTTCTTCGTCCACCAAGCCACTGGGACATTCCTGTTGACAGGAAAAGATTTCAAAGAATATAATTTGATCAAAGCAGCTCAGTTTAAGCACAGATGTGAATGGCACAATGGATATGTGTAAATGTAGGATACATTTCAGTAGAAATCTAAAGTTTAAACCAATCTAGGTATATAGAATTATATACAAAACTGGTTGGGATCTCCAGAGCATCACTTACAGATACACAAGAGTAAAAAGCCTGGAGTCTGGATGGTTTTGGATGTTGAAAGATTTTAGGAAGCAATCCTGAAAAGTTGCTCAGTGCTTTTTGCATGTGCTGTGAGGGACTTGTGGAATAAGAGAGGCAGCAAAGAGCCAGTCAAAGCAGGTTATCCATGGACTTTGATAGCTGTCTGTCAGTGAATAATACTTAACAAATCTGAAGAACAGATATGCATTTTAAGGGAAAAGAAGGAGAGCTTTAACATGGGCAAAGAGAGCACAGCAACCAAGAAAGAAGAAAACTGCTTTGAAAAAATACTGATATAATATAATAATATAATAGCTGGCAGCATCAGATTTTTTTTCATTTTCAAATCCTTTTTCCACTCAACCAGAGATGGTCCCATTGCCTGAAATCAAATGTGGCTAGTTTGGTTTCGATAGCAGCAATTAAAAAATAAGACAAACATAATAAGTTTAAACCTCAAATCTTTAAGAAATGATAGGCTTAGGTGGTGAGGCGCAGCTCCAACATTTTCTAGTTACAACCAAAGCTGCAAAAAACACCTTTGTTATCCCTGACAGTTTGAAAAGCTCAAATGAATCTGATATCATGAATTGGTGGCTCTGGTAATATTAGAGGTGGATCATGAAAGGTGCCAGCAGCCACAACCACTGTTATTAATGACAACTTTAATATCTTTTGTAAACGAGATATTAACAGCAGATATGATGTTAAAGTCTTCATTACAGATCGGTTTACTCTGGGCACAGCTCTATTATCACATCTATAACATTGCCGCAATCTCATAAAGGGTTAGCTAGCCCCTTTGTTTACGTGAGCTGGCAGTCTTCTCTGTCTCCTCTGTAATGGAGGGTTCCCTCCTTTAATGGGACGAGAGAGCCACTGAGTGTCGATATGTATTAGCCACAGCTGGACTTTCACTGTCATGCTCAGCACTGCATTTTTCCTGAAAATATACTCTGCATTTTTATGTTCAAATAGTTGAATTCTTACATTAAACTGATACACAAAATAACCTTACTGATGATGCCAGTTTTGTAATCTGTGTCTGTAATTCATCCCACACCCTAATTGTCACCATCATAATAAACATTTCTGGAGAAGAATCTGACCCCAACAATGAGGACTGGAACCAAATCCCTGAAATCGGGCTTCAACACAGCTATTTTTGCTCTTGCTGCTACCAGGAGGCTGTTATAAAAATGGGAACGACAGTGGTTTTGAAATAAGACACCCAATGCTATACTTGTTGGGAACTGTTTAAAAGGAGGACAGACTCATTTGAACAGGACATGTCTCTGACTTTTCCGATTGCGTTCATACATTTTTGAAGCCTCTGTAAAGGGACTGCAGCTCTTTCCTGGTGAACTGGGTTTGGGCTTGGAGCTGCTCGAGGCCTTCTGGTTGGTGACGCACCATGGAGAGTTCCAGGTCACTGTCGATGGTGTCTGTCTCATTAAAACAGAGAGAACGGGAAAGGGTTGGGAGGGGGAGAAAAGAAAGAGGACGGAAACACCAGTAAGGCAAGGACAAAGGAGAAAAGAAAGGGAAGACCAACCCAAGTCACTCACAGAAGGAAGGAAGGGCAAGAGAGAGGGAGGGAGAAAGGAAGGAAAGTAACAAACAAAGACACCAACAAAACACTCACCATCTTTACGAGAACAAAATGGATCACAATCAACAAAAATCACAATGGAGACATTAGAGAAGGAAAGAAAGGGACAAGAAGATGGGTGGGGGGGAACAGTGACACAAGAAGAACAGCTTCAGACAAGAACATGGCTTTGAAAAAACAAAACGTAAAGTTTTACGTGGGAGTATAAAATGAAAAACAATTAAAGCAAAGAAAAGTTTGCCATGGACCAAATGTCTCCTTCACTGTGGACACATTGGGAAATACTCCTGAATTTTTCCTTCCATTAACAAATGGTTTACTCTATGGTGAGTAAATTCTCAAACATCATTGACAAAAAGTTGTGGTAATGAATAAATGATCACACATGAATGCTATCTCTTTTTCAAATTTAGATAAACATTGTCCAGTGTTAAAAATCTGACATTTACACAAAGTCGGAGCAAAAAATGATCAGCTAAGGCTGATATGACATGAGCCCAAAACCCTACAAAACCCTACTAAGTCATCTCCACATCCTACCAGCATCGAGCGATGATCGACATCTGTCTTTGACAGATAAATGTCCAAAGTGATAGAAAGTTTGGTTCTATAGCCTTTAAGGAGCAAATATAAGGGAACACTCAATTTTCAGAAACACTCACCATCTTTACAACAACAGACAACAAATAATTATTTGAAAAAGACAAAGGAGAGATTGAGAGGAGGTGGTGGAGGAATGAGAGGGTAGGACATTTAGACATAGTTAATTTTTTTCAGTTTGACACAAGTCTCACACAGTGAGTACATTTTTAAAGCATAAATTATAGCTTAAACTGTATGAATATACTCTCTAATGTTTAAGAGTTTTCTTCCTATTAGCCATAAACACAAAAAAAACACTTTGTTTCCTGTACAATTAATAGGTGTGTGTAAAGTGACTGTGTTAAAACAACTTTAAACAAAAGAAGTGATCTAATAGAAAATAACACAAAAACAATTATTATGTTGACAAATTCTTTTTTAAAAAGGAAAAAAAAAACAGCCATGAAAACTAAAACTTTCTATTTGATCAATCTCTTTAACATGTAATGGAAAACTTTCCTCACCATGCATAATATCTTTTTTTTTGTAATTTTGGAAATGTGCTCAGATGCCAACATTTTTTGGTATGGGCAAAGATATCGTTAAAGAAATACAATGATCGGCGCCAAAAGCACAAATAGCAGTACAATATCATTCACATGGTTGGAACTTTGACTTTTGTCACATACATAGACCATTTAGAAGACATCATGGACCTTTACAATATGATGCATCCATTTAAAACTGGATTAAAATATTTTAGCAAAAAAAGCAGATTCAGCAATATAAGGCTTGCTTATTCAGCAATACGACAAAAAAAAACATAATTCAGCATGTATTTGCAACAACATAGCTCTGCTGTAAAAAGGGATTTGGTGTGAATCTGCCCTAATCCAGACTACTCAAAACATTTGGTGCTCTATCAAAGAAAAATGACAAAGAACATAACTATGACTAAAATGATTAAATCAAAGGCGAACAAAGAACATATGCTTTTAACTTTTGCTTTCATATCATTGTTCACAACTCATTTCAAATAAGAAGAATATGCAGTAGCTGTGCACACACCTAAGTCTCACTCTACTCTTACCTTCCAGCGATGAAGGCTCGCAAATCCCAAATTGTCTCAGCACAACAATAAATAATCCAACAACAACTGCGATGGCAATCATTTCCATGCCCTCTAGACCCATTGTTGGCTGTCATTAGATATCACCTCAGAAAAAAACCCAAAACGAAACACTCACGAGGCTGACCGAGCAGCTTGCATCTAAAAACATCACCTGCTGCCTTTCATCTCCCTCATCCAGCCACCTCCTTATATTTATCAGAGCTGTTGTACTAGCATCAGCAGATATTGCTCGACTTAAGCCACTGACCAGCTAGGAAAAAAGATAATAGCCTGGCTGCGTAGCATCCTCCTTTAAGAGAACAGGTCCAAAGTCCATAAAGTGCAAGAGAGAAAAAAAAGAACTGTGGTCACAGATTCTAAGATCCTCCATTTTATCCAAAGCATTTTCCTCTGGCAAATGACCCATTCATGACTTTTCTCAAAACCTTTTCACACCCTGGTTTATTTTAGAATGAACTCGGGGCTCGCTTCCACTGTGTCTCCTGAGTGGCCTGTGTGCAGGAACACGTGTGCCTCAGGAAGCTATCATTCGAGGAATTCACAGGAGGAATATCTTCATCTACACTCTTTAACTGACCGTCAAATCTGTCTTTGTCTGCCTCGTCATTTAAGCAACACAAAACTGTAAAAACAAGCACCGATCCCCATCTGCTGATGGGCACCAGCAGCACTTAGAGTAAAAGAGCCTGCCCTGCCCCACGTGGCGCTGCTTGCGTCTACAGAGGTGCTCAGTCATATTTATGCACAGGAACTTCGATTGTTCCCCTTAGATAAAACTAACTGGAAGACTGATGAGATTTTAAAAAAAGAGTGATTCATGGCAGTTTGAGCCACTTCTGCTAAACTTTCTCACATACGTGTTACGAGAGCGTAAGCAGATTTGCTCAGAAATCTGTCGAGTCGTATATGAACGCATGCTATAGGAGAACAATGAGTGTAAAGGAGGAATGTGAGTATAATTCACAACTGATGAGTCTGCAGCGGATAATGGACTAATAGGGAGGGGAGCGGTTGGAGAGAAAATCAATTGTTAAGAGTTGAAATATTGGTCTGTGGAAAGGCAGAGAAAGTGGGTCATGTGAGCATTATGATTGCGAGGGGTTTCTGCAGGTTAGAAAGTCCAGATGGAATGATCAGTCAGGCTGCCACTGAAATAATTAACATACCTTTTTCCATGGAATTAACAAAGCAGGTTAGAATTAGGTTCTCTATAGCTGCCTTTGCAGGATAGCTGGTGTGTCAGAAACACACCACAGTGTTACACAAATATGACATGAGATGATGAACAACGTTCAGCGTCAACTCAGGAGGATGTTTCTTTTTGCGTTTGAATAATTTTCAGTCCTCATAGCTGTCTTTTGTTGTCCTGATTTTCAAAATCTTTTTCCAAAAATCACATTTCAGAGGAGGCCTTGTAACTAAATGTGATATACTTTTGTGAAAATTTGTCAGGCTTTAAAAGACCAGCTGACTATGTAAAACAATATCAACGACAAGATTCTAACTTTTCTTATGATTGTCAGCCATATGGTAATTATTCCTCTTAATTATTAGTTATTCAAAGATGGCTTAATCTGTCTTTGATCCATATATACATGTTAAAGTGTGCATCTATTGCATATGGAGCAGGAGACAGTTAGGTGTCGTACTGTCAACACACCACTAGATGGTGATGACATTTCTATAAATTGTATATAATGTAGAAATCATTAATTCAGGCATCAATTTAACTGAATGAACAAAGTTCTAATGTATTAAAAAGTCAGAGAATGACATAGAATGAATTAATAGGAGGATGCTGTGGTTTAATGCTTTCTGTCCTGCAGAAGTGCTTATAAATAAAACATAACCAGAGTTGCCGTACATTCTATGGATGGCATAGCCTATATTGTTTCGAGGCAAAGTGCTTTAGTGCAATGTTTTGTCAGCCATCAAATGATTAGTCCTGCTCTTGTTTCCCTGCCCAAACACAAGACCATCTGTCAGTTGGCAGAAAGACAAGTCAGCAGCCAGTGTGAGCTGGAGATGTCAGCAAGTCAGCAGGACACACTCTGTCATCCTCTTATAATTCATATTATTTTATCTTATACAAAGAGGGGTGAATAAAGACAGGGTATGCTTGGTAAGAAAAGTCTGTGTCTGCAAGTTTAAAAGTAAGAGGAGACAGTCAGTGGAAGACTGGCCTTCATCTAGAAGAGGAGAATAACTTGTGCCAGCATGGATTTTGTTATTGCATATAGACAACTGAGAAGATATATACTGTGTGTATGGCCAAGAGGAGGGAAAGGTTTTCCATCCTCTGAAAGAGTAACTGGTGAAGGTAAGTGATATTTGGTGCCAGCAGACAGATGCTATCGCTGTAAACATTACAGGAAAGAAACACATCCAACTGTATAAGATTTTGAATGTAGATTTTAAAAAAAACATTGATGCAGAATTCATGTATTCTGAGGCACATGAGCCTGAGGGCATGCGGGGCTTTTCTGTTAATCCTACTCTGCTCTTCCACCGCCCCTGCTGTCAGGCACAGGCGTCCAGATACTCTCTGTCTCATGCTGTTGCTCAGCACTCTGGTGGAATGTCCAGTCTTGTGCCTCTACCTGGCCCCTGTTGTGTCGTGCTGGCGATTATCCACTTGACAAGACAGCACTTCATCAGCGATTTCCGCGAGAGCCGTGGTTTCTGCCACTTTGAGCCCTCTGCCTGTCCACCTGGGTTCGGATCTTTGCCGTTGGCATCGGGCAGCACATCGCCGTCCACTTCCTTCTTGTCTGCCTGAGGGAGACAGGGAGAAACCGTCTTAAAGAATACGCCTTGATGACTCCAGAAATACATAAAGGGGCTTTTAAACCGTCAACCACATTCTAGACCAGGAGAGAAAAACAATATGCCCTTTCCAGAAAAGGAGACACACATCTCATCTGTGGCATCCAGATGGAGAAGTCTCTCAACATATTGTGTCTCTTTTTTTTCACAATTTAATATTTGATTTGAGTTCTAAATGAATCTTGGTTGGTTTTCAGGAAGGGGAATGGACATCCTGAAACAGGAAACCTGGATGAAATTATCACCCAGCTCTCACCAGAAAGCCAAGAAGGTGTTCGGGGGTGTTTTAAAGCTTGTTATTTAATATCTGTTATTATCTCTGAATGAACCTGCATTTGTAATTTAAGTACAGAAGTTGACATTTGATTATGTCTGATCTGATACTATGAATGAAACCACTACCAAGAGTTCATGCCAAACCTTTTTTCAACTGGTTTATGAGATGTTTCTCATTTGATACAGGCTTCTCACATTTTTAGGGACTGTTAAATAAAACAAAAACTGGTTTGTCAGGAAGATACCAGCTTACTGTGGTCAGGCTGGTTTTGTTTGGTGTTTGCAGAGATGGCATGAGCTGACGTTACTTTCAAGTAATAATGAGGCAAAAACTGAGAAGAAATTTGCTTTGCCAAATGAATGTGCACAGGCTTGAACAGACGTTACATCTCTGTCCTTGTATGACATGACAGAGTATTGCTGCACTCGCAGCAACATCTGTATGTAGTGCTTCATCTTTGTGAAACCCAGACAGGACCCAACAGAGAGCATAGATCAATACCTGTAGTTGACACTTTCACACTCAGATTTCTGCTCAGTTGTTATGCATGTCCGGCAGGCTGGTTCATTGTAAGTTGTTTTGGACGAATGCTTCTTCTAAATGCATAAATACATATTTCACTTCAACTAAGAACAGATTTGGGGGGGCAAAAAAACAGAAAGAGACCTTTTCTATTAGTTTTTCTGGGAAATTGGACATGCAAGATCTCATATTTCCAGTTATTTTCACCACCACTTAAAATATACATTCTATATCTTCTATATTTGGATATGCTTCAAAGATTTTATACTGTAAAACTGCTTCATAATTCTACTTTTACTAATATTTCTATTATACTTATAGTTTCTACTCATATTTCTACTTACTTCCCTCTATCTTATTCAGAAACAATGCTCAGTCTTTCTCGCAGATTTACAAATTGTCTTGTAGTTATTTTCTTTGGCTGATATTGTTCGGGTTCTATGTCATTTTTTTCTTTATTCTCTTGAACATTGCTTCTCTTTTACCTGTGACAGTGTATTATCAAAATAAAACAGTGTCCTGGATTTTGAAGAACTAATGCATGGAGCTTGTAGGGAGCTCCTCAGTCCCCTCGGTTCCCTATTTAAATATGAAGCACGTAGCATCCAGAATGTCGCTCAATAATTCACACTCCTTAAAACCATATAAATAAAAGATCAGAGTTACAGCTGCCATCCCCAGGAGCATGATGACCTCGACTTTGTGAATGTTGACTAAGGATGGTATTTGATAAACCTTTAGAAGGCAAATGAACGCTAACAGACCTGTACGCATACAATCACACTTCCAAGTGACACAGACACTTCTAAAAATGTACGAGTACACACTGAAGAGCATAGAGAAGTCTCATACATGCAGCATATATTTATGTCTATAAAAAGGTTTTTCCATATCTGTTTATCAGATACCTTATTTTTAGCTCACCAAATTGACATGGTCTCAACAATATCTCATGTTTGATTTGTGTGTTTATCGAACCACAACATGGTCTGAGATTCATCACATGTTCTGCAAACACAGAGGTGTCTTAAGGTTCAGAAGAGAAGATGAACTGGAGATGCCGCATTGTTTAAAGGCAAAGGCACATGTAGGCTGTGGGATGAGGTCTCCCTGTAATAATCAAAGTCACAGATGTTCTTTTTGTGCTCATGGTATTCGTAATGGTCGCTGTCCATTCATCCTCTGCTCATATTCCATTTTTGTTCTCATATAGCTTCATCGTCAAGCATTTATTTCTGTTTTCCCAATTCTTTTTCCAAGTCATAGATATAACCCAAATGTATTGTTATTAGTATTATGATTTGCTTTTGGGTGGTTTGAGGTACTGCTGTTCAAAACGTTTGAGTATTTCACTGGGACGATAACATTTCCCCCTCTGAACCATCTGAACCATCATATTTGATTGTCACTTTTTAAGTGACAAAAAAAGGTCAGAATAAGCACATCAACAACATCAAAAATGGTATCACCACCGAAAACAACAATACTACTGCTGCTTCTGATAGTAATCAGAATTATGATTATCATAATCATTGCTATCATGAAAAGAAGTACACGATGACAAATCTTAAAGTGGAATCTAAAGTGCAAAATATGAGATACACATCAAATGACCGATTCATCTTTAACTTTGACGTGTTAAATAAATTCTCATAACACAAGACAAAATGCAGTCTGTCTGACGGATAAAAAAAGGTCCACGCGCATCTGCAGTCTGCCTGGATGTAATTTGCCTATAATCAAATGAGAGCATGAAGTGATAAAAGATAACTTTACCTGCATTGCGCCTGTATTTGAGTCTCTGAAGGAAAGTCGCAGCGCAGTCCTCCTCCTGCGCCCCCAAAGCGCCCCTCAGTCAGCAGCCTGCTCTGATCCACAGGAGCAGGAGGAGAGGAGCTGCTCAGTGTCCCGCCGTCTCACGCGGAGCTGGGATAAACACCACTAAACTATGACTGCCACGGGCCGAGGCACGCTCCGGGCTGCAGAGAGATGAGCGCGTCCGGGATCTGCAGGAGAGCCGTGATCTACGGCAGACTCCGAAAAGTGGCCGAGCTGTGTCTCAACAAGTGAAACGGGGGGGGAGGCAAACAATTTATAGAGCGGCAGATGGGTTGGGAGGGGGGGGAGGCGTGGGTGAGGCGTTCACTTCGTGAGCTGCGTTATTAGAAGCACCTGACACATTGTGGCCAGGGACGCGCGCCTGAGTCCAGACTCAGACAGAGAGAGTCTCCGAGGAAATTAACCTGCGTGGCTGTTGTGTGCGCCATCATAAGCAGAGTAATATCATATCAGCACCAGCAATATTACTGTGCTGCATCCCTGCAGGCACGCCTGTGGAAAGGTCTGGTTTCAGTGATCTCTGGTGGGGTCACACAGCTTTTCGAGGTCAAAATCCCCCTGAATTATGTCAACCTCATGTTTTTCTGTAGTGGTTATGAGTTACATTCTCGCCTCTCTAAAAAAAAAAAACTAGGCCATTTCTCTTTTGTTGGTTATTGTTTACTGTGTTATTTTCAGGTTTGCATGGTGAGAGGTGTTCTGTTTTTAGTATTGCTGTTGTGTCCTGGGTCCCAGCTCTCTTTGTTTCAGCGTCCTGACAGATTTTTCAGGTTTTTAGCAACAAATCCTTGTTCTTGATGTGTCACAAACTGATCCCTTAAAAGTAATTTGAGTCAGTTTGAGTCAGTTTTCTAAACCCCATATGATCCTTTGCTTCTAGAGGGATGAGTCATCGACCGTTAACAGCGGCTTGCCAGTGGTGTTTTCCTAATTCCTGTGTGGTCTCCCCTCATTTAATTGCACTAGACATGAGAAACTGTCTACTTGACCATTCAAAGCACTTAGACAGTACAAGCCATGCTTCTCAAACCGCTTTTTAGTCAGCGCTGGGCTGTCTTCATCACACCTTCACACACTGATGAACCCATCTTGGTGACTTCAGCATGTGATTTGGGAAAGCTGGAATTGGAACACCAGACTTTGGTTGAAAACCACCCTTCCTGGGAAAGTCAAAGTGATACTTTTGGGCTTCTCCGTGAGAGTATAACTGATTCAAGAAGCGCCTGATGAAGCATAAAGTAAAGAGTTGGAACAGAGGACAGATAAATGGTCAGTTTTGGGCTTTTGCTGCCCTGGAATGCTGTTAGCTAAAATGTTTAGTTTAATGAGATGTTGTAAATGTTGTGCTTTCTTAAACCTCTAACCTCAAGGCCATTGTACAAACAATAGAGGATAAAACATAAAAAAAACAGACTACTCTGTGTCTGGAGAAGAAACCTTTATCCGGTAACGTTCCTTTATTTTGACTTTGAAATTTGAAATTCCATCCTTGCACCGTGCATCTGCCTGTGGTTTCACATTAGCTTGAGTGGAAAAACCGAATACGAGAGCAGGAAGCTTCCCAAAATATTCACTGACATTGCATCTTTTGCCGTTAAAGTGCGCTCTCACGCAGCGGGAGGAGACTTTATTTCTGACTCTGAGCATAAACGGATGAAAGGAGACAAGCTGACCAGCATGATGTGAGAGAAAGCAAAACAGATTAAGGGATTAAATTAATCTTTTTCAACATTCCTGCGTGCAAACAAGGATTATTGCTTGTATGTAACATGAGAGTTTTATTTGTGGAAAAATGTCTCCCGCTGTCTTTTTCTGTCTTTTTAAAACAAATACAAGGGTTGAAAACTGCTGACAAAGGTTTGGCATAACTTTAGTGCCACTATTGGTCAACCAAACGTGCTATTGTTGAAAAATAGATTCTGGTTTTAGCACAATTTCAAATCGATGACAGGATTCCATAGTAAAATTCTCCAAGAAAAATTGATTTTCTTTTAGATTAGACTGAAATTAAACATCTGTATGTTTTGAATTCCCCCAATGGGGATAAAAACTGTCCAGCATCCTGTTAGAATGTCCGTTTCTTTATTTCTTAAAATGCTGGAGATGCTTGTTAGAATACATGTGTCTTATCACTGCTGTCTACAATCAGGAACCTGGAAAAATCCAATACTTTGATGTTGTTTGTCCTCGTGTCTCTTAACCTCCTGCAGACTTGTCTCACTCCTTTAGACACTGGAGTTATTTTTAGCCTCCACAGTTCTAAAGAGCCACCTGCTTCCTCGGTGCTTTTCACACGAGCTGTAGGTTTAATTGAAGGCGTGTGTTGTTCAGCACAAATGTGCTCATTGTGTGTGTGTGTGTGTGTCTGCGTGCGCGTGCGTGTCTGTGTCTCTGATGGGAGTGTCTTCAAAAACATTTTTTTCTATATCCTCTCTTTATTCATAAATGTTGCATTTCTTCAGAGTTTGCCACCAACACTCATATGCATGGCTGCGCACACACACACACTCAGACGAACACACACCTTCTTGTACGTGCCTCAGACACACACACACACACATGTTCACACTGCTGCTTCTCCGGTTGTGTTGGGGGAGATGGGCAGAGTTTTTACAGTGTTCCTGGCAGCACACATAAAGCCTGTGCTCTAATTATGTTTGCATTTGATGCAGTTCAGGCTGCAAAGCTTTCTCACTTGTCTCTGCTCAAAGGGTAAACACAATGAAACCCCCTTTCAAATCTTTATTTCATGAAATCACTCACTTTTATGGAAGGTTGTGTTCTTATTATCTTCTCAGTGTCTGCCATGGGATCTTGCCCATGCTGGATACCTTACACTGATCCACTGATTTCTGTTTCCTTATCCTTATTGTCTTTCTTTTCTGCCCTACAGCCAACCTTATGTTGCGTGGCTCTATTTCTTGCCGGCAGCTGTTTCATTTGAGCTGGAATGAAAGGATAAAAGCTTTTGAGATGTGAATCAACTGTATGAGCACCTGAGGAAAACATTGGGGCTCAGCGTGAACTTTTTTCCCCTAAAACTAAATCAGATCGAATAGAGCGAAGCCTTTTCATTTACCCTCGGTGCCCCCACCTCAATTTGTTTCCCCCAAAAGGTTGACGGGAATCAGAAAGTCAAGGTGTTTTAACAATGTTATTAACTCAGCGACCTTAATCCCTCCCCTGTGTTTGCAACCGGTAGGCTGCTTTGAGGATGTTGCTCGTGGTCGTTTTAATTAGGGGCCATGGAAGTTACAGGTTAATTACACTGTGCACCAGCGCTCACTAACTCCCCACTGAAAAACCCAGCTCTTAGATAAAACTTTCATATCCTACAGACCATCATCTTTTTCTAGTCCTTGCACATCATAACTAATGAAACGCTCATCCCACATGCGACCTGAATTTTTTTAGACTTACTCCTTTATTAATTATTGCAGTGAAAAGTTGTTCACATCTTAATTGTTGGACCTTTTTCGTAACTTTTTCATGACTAACTGTCAGTCTTTGCTTCAAATGGAAAATAGGAGCCAAACCATACAAGTAAAATGTCGTTACACAGTATAACAGACAGATTATGTCCCCTCCCATTACTCTGGGGATCAGAGGTTCAGCTTTTCCTTTTATCTGCCACTGATCTTTGTTCAGTATCCAGGAGTGTCCACCCCCGTTGAGAGCCAACCTCTTATCCTGTGGACACTTGAGTGGGAAGGTATGACCACCTGTCTGATTAAGCACACGTCATTCCTTATTTCAAACTTATCACTGTCTCTGCCAGGTTAACGTTTTTCAAATAGCTCTTATGTTGCTGGGTTTGATTACAACTTTTTCATTTTATGACTTGCTCATCTGATATGTCATGATATGATATGATAATGTTTGTATTTTCACATGTGGCAGTAGTGCCAAATGTGTTTTGCCTAAAATCTCCCATCTTATGTTTGTTTAATCAGTCATTGCTGTTTATTTGTTTAATAATTAATGGCATTATCACTGAAGTGTGGTCTCCTCCGATGCAGCTCCCACTGACAAAGTTTCCAAGGGTAGAAAAAGAAGCAATACAGCAGATCAGTATTGTTTTTTGGAATTTAAAGCATGAATCATCAGTTGATGTATTTTAATTTATGTGATTTTCGAAAGGGATGTTTGTTTTCCTTTCTGTTTATTTTTTTCAACTAAATGTTTACCACTTTTCTTTTAAGCTATTAAGTTTTTTTAAAGTAAAATGAAATAAAAGACTACAAATCTGTACCTCTTCTCATCAAATTTCTCAGGAGTTGCATGATAAATGATGCCTGTACTTTTCCGTTTGAACTCCAGAGGTCCCTATTGTTTACAGCAGACTTTAGATATGTGGATGCCATCATTTTCTATTGAGAAATCAGATAGAGAACTATAATAATGAGCAATTGTCAGTTTCTACCCCGCTCAAGGTGTTGCCTTCATCCAGTACACGTCACTGTTTTATAAGAATAAAAATCTAACCGCTGACTTTTTCTTCTTTTCTGCTCTCTTTCTCGTTTCCACTCATTCACAACTTAAGAGCTTCTCCAGCTAAGTTAAAACATCATTAAAAGATTCCACACCTAAGAACAACACTGAAGTTCTCTGAAGTTACTGGATTTTCCCACCCTGACTCCTGTTGATAAGCACTGGGCCTGGCCTTATCGGTATGTTATGAAATTCACATACAATCAGTGTTTGAGCAGTTATGTATGTAAGCTACTATCCAGCTGTTTTTAAGGTCCTGAGGGAGCAACTTGTATCTATAGTAATGACCACACTGGGGACATGAGTTTACTGAATGCCTTGTATTATTTGTCAGTGGCAGAGCATTCCTCTTCCACTACGTATTCTCTTGGTGTGTAAATCTGTTAATGCTCTTGTTTACTCTTAGGTGGTAACTGAGCAAAGGGCACAGTCACCCAAAGCAGCAGTTAATCTTTTATCTTTTTCTACCCAGTTGATTTGCTGCTGCTCTCTGTCTAAAAACTCACCAACGTTCGAGCACACAGTCCCTCACACAGTCACATTCCGCGGATTTGCATTTTTCTGCAGCTATTCCACAGCAGATTAAGAGTTTACCGAAGCATGACTTTTGGCACACTTCATGAATCAAATGTGCCACGAAAAAGGATATTCATGGTCCGCCTTCCTTTCTGGAGTATGTGACGTCTTAGGGGAAAAGAGGGGGGGGGGGCACTGAGAGCCCCTCACTATCTGATGTGGAGGCTGAGGCTACTTCTGAGCCACTCCCTTAATTTCCCCACAGTCAACAGGAAGACTGGAGGCCAAAGAGAGCAGCCACACGCTGCAGGAAAGGGAGGACGTAGAGGTCCAGCTGCGGCAGTCGGAACAAAGGGAAAGGCGAAGGAATGAGCATGAATCAGAACGAAGTGAAAAAAGTACAGTCAGTGTATCTGCAGAACTTGGAAAAGCTTAACAAAGGGACAAAGCAAGAGAAAAAGAGCTGGAAACCAAAAGAAGGACAATTTGCTGTGCAGATAGCAATGGAAAAGCTGCGGCAGCCTCCCACAGCGGCACAAGTTGCCAAAAGCTCAGCCAACAGAATCAGCAGAGACCTGACCTGCTCCATCTGTCTGGATCTCTTCAAGCAGCCCGTGTCTTTGCCCTGCGATCACACGTTCTGCCACGGCTGCATCGAGGGTTACTGGGCAGGGCCCCGTGGCTCCGTGCAGGGGGGCACCGGCTCCTGCCCCCAGTGCAGGAAGGTGTACCCCGGACAGAGCTACAGACCCAACCGGATTGTGGCCAACATAGTGGAGAGCTACTGCCACGGCCTGGAGGAGAGCGGGAGCGGGGCCTGCCTGGCGGACGTGGGGCTGGCGGAGCGGGCCCCGGCGCCGGTGCCCCGCTGCAGCAGGCACAGGGAAGAGCTGAAGCTGTACTGTGAGGAGGACCAGGAGCTGGTGTGTTTGGTGTGTGGCGTGTCCCAAGAGCACAGGAATCATTCCTTGGTGTGTGTCCAGGAGGCTGAGCAGAAGTACAGGGTGAGTGCTGATTATTGTTTTTTTTTTGCTTGCAGGAAGTGTTCCAGGATCATTTGGTGATCAAATCTATATAATTTTTGTTCATTTTCATTATTACCCAATGAGCTGTGTATGCAGACTTCATTTTTAGCACTTAATTACATCATCGGCAATTTGTGTGTGATGGTAATCTGTTAGTTTTACTCTTCAGTGTGTTTGGCTCTATGACAGATTGTAAACAATATAGAATTCTTTGTTGCTCTTTCACGACAACAACAGATTAAAGTGAGTCACCGGCCAATGACGTGTTTCTCTGCTGACAGGCTTCTCTGAACAGCTCAATGGATTCCCTAAAAGCCGAGCTCAACACCGCTCTGCAGTGTGACAGGGAGGCTGAGGATGAGGTTAAAAAGCTCAAGGTGAGACTGAGCACATCTGTGCAACACTGACGTGTCGGACCAAGCCTGAAGGCGTTCGCTTTCCAGTTTCTCACGTCCATCATCTCCAACCTGACCAGGATCACACAGCTGACCTGAAGCTGCGCATCGAGGCCCAGTTCAGCGACCTGCACCAGTTCCTGTACCAGGAGGAGAAGCTGCTGCAGGTGAAGCTGAAGACGGAGGAGCGCCGGGAGCTGATCCGCCTGGACGAGCACAAGGCCCTGCTGTGCGTGGAGATCTCCCGTCTGCAGAGGGCCGTCCACGAGATAGAAGACAAACTGAGAGAGCAAGATCCCTTCACTCTCCTCCGGGTGAGTACAATGATGCAGTTAATCTGGAAAGTATTAACAGAATGGTGAGTCAGCTATGGGAATGATTACAGAGGAAAAACGCTGAGCTCTAAGTTTCAGATGTGTTTGTGTCTCAAACTATTTTTCTGCTAAAAACAGAGGAAGAAGAATGAAAACAGAAAAACATTTGTTATTCCGCTCATAGTGGGACCTCTTTTCTGGACCAACATGGTTGACAGGTTCGGGCATCCAAATTTAAGACACAGCAAAGCACTGGGTGTTCGCTTTGAGAAGTTATCGAACTTTAATGGAGGACACAAACATACTGTTTGTGTCAGTATGAGTGCTTTTCACAATGCTAACATCTGGCTACCTCAACACTGATGATTATTTTCACTTACAAAAAGCTCTTCCTGTGGCTGAGCTCAGACAGGATAAAGGCCAGTAATCTCAGTTTCTCATCTGGAGAGTAAGGAGTTTAGCTCAGGCACCGGGCCATGCTCTCTCTGGCTGTAGACGCGGGACTTTCCCGCAGCCAGAGGGAGATCCCACAGGGTGGGAAAGCGTGAGCTCAGACGTTGATGTAATGTGGAAACAGACTTCTCCTCTTTCAGATACAACAAGACTAATTACCAGTATCCTTGTCTCTTTTCCTGTTTGTTCTTTTGTTTAATTTCAGAGCATCAAAGTCCTGCTCCAGAGGTGAGTGTCACAAAGGTCCCGCTGCCTTATCCCTGTTTTTATTCCGTCTCATTGTTGGGCTTTATTTTTGTTGGCAGGCCTTCGCTGAAGTTCGAGAAACCTGTGTTCACACCACATAGTCTGTGTGAGGGTCGCTTTGCAGGGCCTCTCCAGTACAGAGTGTGGAAATCCATGAAGGGAAGCATTTATCCAGGTAATTAATAGCAATCCTATGGTTCAGGGATGACTTGATCCACACAGAAACAAAAATCTGTACAGTCCACATACACATGATGATTTATTAAAGAACCTCCCTCGTTTCAGTTCCAGCTGCCATCACATTTAACTCCAGCACAGCCAACCCTTGGCTCAGCCTGACCTCTTCCCTTACCTGTGTCCGCTACCAGACCTTTAACCACACTGTGCAGGACAACCCCAACAGGTTCAACGCTGCCCTATCCTTACTTGGAAGTCAAGGCTTCACCCACGGCCGCCACTACTGGGAGATTGAAGTCTACAGCAGCACGGTCTGGACGGTGGGGGTGGCACGGGAATCGGTGCCCAGGAAGGGAGTCATCAAAGCTCTCCCAGCGAACGGCTTCTGGACCCTCTCCCTCTCGTACGGGATACAGTATATGGCGGGCACATCCCCTCCAACCGTTCTGTCTCTGGAGGAGCCGCTGGCCAGGATTGGCGTGTACCTAGACTACAAGAGGGGTCTGGTGTCCTTTTACAACGCGGAGAGCATGACGCACCTTTACACGTTCAGGGAGGCCTTCACAGAGACTTTGTACCCATACTTCAACTTGGGCTTCCTGGATAAAGTGCATGAAAATGAACCTCTCAAAGTTTTCCTACCAAAGATTTAAAGACCCCCAAGGGGAAACTGAAATTCAAAACAAATAAACTTGGAATACTAAAAAAAGAAACAAAAAATATTCACATGTATAAACACACAATTTGTATATATCTAAAGCACAATGACTGTTTCATATATGTATACGATATATCATCATCCCATGGACTATGACTGTGTACTGCCTCTGCTGCATTTGCTTCAGTGAAGAATGGTGGTCAGACCAAATCGACAATATTTACAGGTTCATAATCAATGTTTGTTGGTAAAAATCGCAGAATGTGACAAAGACCTCTGTATTTTTTAGAGGCATGCCAACCTGTCCATGAAGCACTTATCATGTAAAAGTGTTGTGTGCTGATGCAGAAGCAAATGAAGGGAAGTCTGGACCCTAAACAAGTCATCTCAGATGGGAGCTTGATTTGACATGGACAATATGTTTGGTTTTTTGTTTAGTGGATTTTTTCATTATCTGATGATGTTGTCCTTCCAAGCACCATGGAAAGCGTATATTTTCCATTCATTTTTTTCTAAGTCTAAGAGTAACTTTTTTGGTCATTTTTTAAACACAAATCAGACTTTTCAAAGTCTTTGTTTCTTCTAATGATGGATGAATGTATAAATATGTTAATTCAAGTTCGAAACCTTGAACTTGAATTCAATACTAGACAAATTTACAACGTAGAAAAACATGTTTTTCCACATTTTCCATTGTTTGCAACGTAAATGTATAAAGATATCTTCAACAATAACATGGGGAATTGTTTTCTTTGAATTTGAATAGACATCCATAAGTTGTGGACCTGCATCTCAATCAACCTCTCAGGTAGATTGATTTGATCGTAATCTAATATTTTCAGAGCAAAATCTTCCGATGTACCTTTAAAACTTATCAAAGATGGAACAAATATCAATTACCGGGCTACATCAAAGCCCTGATGCACTCACATTTTACAATGCAACAATCTTGAGCCCTTACACAGTTTCCACTTTTACTGTTAAATATAGGTTGACTGAGAAAGCAGCTGTCCGAACTAGAAATAAACCTTGAGAGGGAAGATGGCCGTGAGGAACACCTACAGGTCATCTTCATCTTCTTTATGTTGACCTCCGGAAATATTACATCTTAAAACTTGCCAGGCATTATAAGACCCTTTTTTTTTCTCAGCTCAGACCAGAAACAACTGGATAGTCATATATTTAAACATTTATCAGGTCAGACTTCCTTCATAGTTGTCAAATCTCCACTAACACGCATGACGTTGTCTTAAAAAATTGGTTAAAATCTCCCCACACAAACATTTTTGGCATATTGGTGGAATAAAAACAAACAAACAACAAAACACTCTTCACCCTTGCTTATTATAACATCTTTTGGAAGCAACCTCTGAGAGAGCAGTTTCAGATCTGGCCATTGTGAAGTGTTACAGGTTGTGAGATCATGTTTTTTTCATGTAGTATAAGACCGTTAATATGAAAAATTCAAGCATTGAAAGTTGTGTTTGCGTTATTGCAGGATAGAATTATCACACGTCTATCCTATGGTAAAAGAACCATAGGAGCTACATGCTTATGCATATGGACTCTTATTGTGTCTGCTGCTCATATACTGCTGGGCTATTTCAAACAGCTGGCAAGGTTCCTGAACAGAATAGTGTTTTCCCAGAACTTGTGTTCTATCTGTAGATGGTGTCACTTCATAACATCTTCAAACAAACCTTTAGAAAAAAAGGAATCAATGACATGGTCAGTAAAAAAAACTTGAGTCAATAACTACAAGCATTTCTTCAAGTTTTCCATAATTATGTGTGTATTTGTCAGTTGATATAACACATCAGACTGCATTAGCAGTGATCCATCATCCAGTCGTACAAAAACAATGGATATGATTCAAAATCAAAGCACACTATATCCCAATATATACATATTACATCTTAACACAGGTCTTACTCAATAACAGCTCATTTCAGGTGGCATAACTGAATCTACTTGTATAATTCACTCTACTTTGTTTACCAAATGCCTCTACATATGAGGACAACTAAAGACGTGACTTCTCTGCTTGGTTTTGCTCTGTCTGACAAATGTAAAGTATGCGGGCTGCCATTTGTGGTGTCAACCCATGCATTTATTCCTCGCCTGAAAATGGGTGTGACTAACCAAATGTAAGAATTCGAGTCTCAGTTGAAGTTGGGAGTCACTTGCTTGTGTGCAGTGTGTCTTGGAACTTTGTACTTGTGTAGCGTGCATGAAAGCCTTTTTTACTGATGCTGTCATCAGAGTGAAATTTTAAAACAATTGCATCTCCAGCTGAGTAGACTTCCTCTGGAGCCTGGAAGAAAAGAGATAGATAAACAAAAAAGGCAGTTTTAAGTATGTTTGGAACCCATATTTACTGCGCACCCTTTTGCAATCCTACAAGTCTTACCCCAGATCCGCAGTATCGTCCCAGCCTGGGAGACTTGATGTCAGCGCCGTCATACAACTCCACGTAATCGTACCCGCAGTCTGTCTCCTCCTCGATCTCAAACACTTGAAAGATCATCTCCACTCCGTAACCCTTCTCAGCGGTGACCACCCACAGGCAGTCGGAGCCTCCTGGGTAGTTGTTATCTCCGAACTGCGCATGGGAGTAAAGGTCTTTTGTCTTGACCTCAGCTTTAAGGTTTCCTCCACATTCTGGGAATTCACAACCACAAAATTAGAGGGTCAGAAGGAGGAGCTCATAAAAGTAAAGAAAGAAAGCAGCTTTATAGGAACAGCAAAAAACAAACTTGCACTCGAAATGACACATTTTGTGGATTTTTATTCTTTCTGTAATACACCATTTGGGTCCTATTTTGGTCTTCGTCAGTAGTGCAGCTTTACGGTTTCTTTACCCACCTGCCGTGTATGAGGCCTCAAACCCTCTCTTCTGCACCGAGTTGTCAGAGAAAAAGCGCAGGAAGACTCTGTTGCCACTGGAGATGATTGGAGATGGCTTTTTGGTGCCACAAAAGCACCCCAGGGTTGGAGCGCGAGCATCCTTCCCATCAAAGATCTCTAGGTGGTCATAAGCGCACTCCAGATGAGCCTCCATGTCCACCTCGTTAAAAACCTGCAAGTCATTAGTGCAGTATAAAGAGAAAGAAATGTGGAAAAAGATTTCACTGGAGCTCTCGGTCTGGGTCTCGACGTACCAGTTTGATTCGATGGCCCGGGGTCGTGGACAGAGACCAGGTGCAGGCCTTCTTGCTGGGGTACTTGTCTGGCCAGTTGGGGCTGCTGATGGTGCCGGACGCACTGCTTATGACATGATCACAGCCCGCTGAAGGAAATTGAAAAAAATATGTATCAGGGGAAAAGGATGAAAGTTCTATCCGGTCATTTCCTCCCTTTCAGAAATAGTGAGAAAATAGATCATGCTGGCTTCCCACTAAAAACAGGAAAAACTAAAGCAGAAGCGAAGCTTTTCTTAACGACGTTAACACGGATTTTTGGCTGGAGACGTATCATTCTTTCTCTGTGCACACACAGCTGGATCATTTAAACTTTGGATAGTGTTGTGTTAAAGGCTATCCGACTGTTGCAGTGGGCGATTTGTACCTTCCTTGCAGTCATGTTTGTTATCATGCAGCATGAATCCGCTGCGGCACTGACAGCTGTAGCTCCCGAAGGTGTTCACACACTCGTGCTGGCAGCCTCCATTAGCTTTGGAGCACTCGTCTATGTCTGTGGAGGCATTCAAGGGATCTCAGTTAGACTGGTCTTGGATGCGGAAAACAATATCACTTGAGGACGTATGGAGTCCAGATGTTCATCACATTGTTAAATAAGCTGTGAGACAAATCGCGTATGGAAGATGTAAGAAGCAATTGGGCAATTTTTTTTTTTTTTACAATCGGTATTGTGTTTTTAAGAAAGTACACACCTGTTAGAATTTACTGTTTCAGAAATAATAGTTATCCAGTTTTGCAACTGAAGATTTCTTGGATTTCTGGTTTAGGAATAACAAATTAAGAATAAGAACCAGGAATACATATTTGACTAATCATTGTAAATTAGACAGTAGAAAACATTGTTAGATGTTAATCAACTACTTTGTTGTGAATGCAGACATCCTCAGTTTATATTTTCCATCTTTTTGTTTCAGGAAAAGAAAACAGATGCCTATTATTTCTCTGCTGTGATGTTTTGCTCCATGTGAGTTCCGAACGTTTACAGGAAACATTTCCTGAATGAATCAATCACTTACCAGAGAAGAAGTGAGCCTTGAAGCCCCTTTTGGACACTGTGTTGTCGGACTTAAATTCAATCCTCATGTTGTTGTGAAGGGAAGTGATGACATCAGGTTTCTCGGCCCCGCAGAACCTCCCATGAAGCTTTGAGTCTGAGCTCAGCCCACTGCGCACCTCCACATAGTCGTACTTGCACACCTGATGCGAAATGAAAGGCACTTCTGAATAGTGAGGATAAAAGGCAGTCATGTCACTAACAAATCACCTAAAACGTACGTCATTGCCTTCAGTCTCAAACCCGTCAAACACCAGGGTGATGCGGTACTGAATGGGGGCCACCAGCTGCCACACACAGTTCTTGTTGTGTGGGTATTCCTTGGGCCAGCCCGGGCTGATGAGGGAGCCGTTCAGACTGGAGATGAAGCCGCCACAGGCAGCTGCTGGTGGACGAACATTAGAGAAAAGTATTTTAGTTGGAAAGGTCACAACTCATTATCTTTTCTTAAATCAAATGTTAATACTTCTGACAAACACGATATGTGTCAGCTGAAATTCTAAGAAAAAAATATTTAAATACATCAGTATGAGGTTTCTGTGCCATTCCAAACTTCAGAGAGCTAGAACACTGCCCTCTTGTGGTGAAAATTAGAAGTTCTGTAAACTTAACTCTGTGTCTTTACGCCTTGGATTCAAGTGTGAGTTTAATTTTTAGCTATCAGATTATTAGAATATTTCTTGCTGTAAATCTGTGATGGTTTTATCAAAGTCAGGGATTAGATATATTGTCTGCTGTGATGAAAAGAATACACCACATGGTCCATGGTCTGATGATGTGGAGAGACTTCACACTCACTCTCGCAGCTGCGTCTGTCAGCTGCCAGCTCATATCCGGGGTCACAGGCACACCTGTAGCTGCCCAGCGTGTTCAGACAACGCTGCTCGCAATGCCCTTTGTCGGGTTTAGCGCACTCGTCCATCTCTAACCAGAGAAATGCTTTTCAGAAAATATTCCCTTTTTGAATCACAGTCTTTTTGTTTCTGCCAGTGGCTTCACTTTCTCTCTCACCTTTAAAGAAGCTGGCTGCGAACCCCGCTTTGTTGACTGACCCATCGGATACAAACTTGAGCCAGAGATGGTTAGAGTTGCTTTTGATGCTTTCTGGTTTCTCGTAGCCGCAGAAGCGGCCGAGCAGCGGGCTGCTCTCTGAGCCGCCATCCCTCACCTCCACGTAGTCGTAGGCACAGCTGTCATGTCTCTCAATCTGCAGTCATACAGAGAAAAATCAGGACAACTAACAGACAGATTGAGTACGGCCATCGACGCTTCAGTGCTTTCATCCACCTCCTTTGGGCTTTAAAACTTTTTTGAATGCTATCTATATAACATTACTGTCTGTTTTTAGTTGACAAAGACTTACAAAAAAAGAGCTACATTGAGCAATCTTTATATTTGTATTCACACTTAGCAAATGCAGAACTAAGTGTAGAAGTCACAGTCCACTATTTAATGTTAATGTCGCCATAATATGATGCCATTTTACCTCAAAAGATTGAAAGGAGATCCCGACATCGAAGCCTTCTGCTACGGTGATCTTCCACACACACATTTTGTTTGAATGGTAGTCATCAGGATAATTGGGCGACTGAATCTGGCCACTGTCCCTTTTTACATGCCCCCCACACACAGCTGCACAGGAGGTAATAAGTGAGAATAATGGCAATTTATTAACAGATAGAATTTTCAACAAGTTTTATGTTGCTTATATATGCATATAACAGATTGTACAGTTTTATCAACAGTCATTCTTACTTCATAAATAAGACAAGGGTCTCGGTCATTGTGTTTTTAATTTAATAGTACAGCAAATAGATTTAGTGGCAGACAGATGCGGGCTCCATAAAGGCCAGTTCAATCACAAAGGCTCTTTTACTGTGGTCTAGCAGATTGATAGAACATGTAATATAACTAATTTGCAAGTTTAACAAGTTCTTCAAAGTTTTATTGTTTGTTTTTGGACAGTGAAAAAAAGAGAGGAAAATGCATCAGATATATCAGCATGTTGTCATCGTGGTACCTTCATAAACAGCAGAGAAGCCTTTGCCCACCCAGGTGCTGCTGCTTCTGAATTCAATCCACAGCTGACTGTCAGTTGAGACAATTGAATCTGGAAGTTTGTCCCCACAGAAACGGCCTACCGAGGAACAGTGATGATGAAAACGTTCCCCGACAGTGAACACAGCGTTAAGTACGACACAGACCTTTGAGGGGGGCTTTTCTCCAGAAGCCATCTCTGACCTCCACATGGTCGTACCAGCACAGATGACTCCTGAAGAGGTCCATGGAGGTGAAATTAAGAATAATCTATGACACAAAGAAGATAAAGCAGAGCTTATCAGGGACAATTAGGTCTAGTCAAAATTACACATCAAGATAACACATCTGTCCATATTTTTACGATTTCCAAGATTTGAGAATATTGGAACGGAAGTAACACAACAGTGTTTCAGCTGAGAGCAACACAGTTCTAAATAACTGCAAATGACTCAACCATATTAGTCCTTTTAAAAAAAAAAAACTTATTTATCACCCTGTTTTCAACATGCAGAGTTTATAATTTCAAAACAGAAGCAAGACGTTGATTTCGAAAATTTGATTTCCTGAACTGGTTTGATGTTTTGTCACCTTTTCACCAGGAGTGACAGAAATCCTCCAAACGCAGTGGGCGTACGCTGAATACCCGTTGGGGAAACCAGGAGAGGAGAAGTTTCCAGCGCTCTCCTGCAGGCTGTCCCCACATCCTGTCACAAAATCACACACCAAAACATCAGCAGAGTTCTACAGAAAAAGCTGAAAAAAGGCTTTTAATTCATGTGATGGAAAGCTCTCTTAAATGCCTTTTTTTTTAGTTATTTTAATGACGTTTTTGTAATCATGAAAATGCTAAAAAATCCCAATATGCATGATTTGATTATATCCTCCATGTGTCTTACTTGCACACTTGTAGAGCTTGCGGGCTTGTGCAATGTCCCCCTTGCTAAGACTCGTCCTCTGGCCAATGGAAGGCCTGCCTCCACTGACATCATAACGGGGCAAAATTGTGTCTAAGAAGATGCTTCTGTACAAAAAATCCAAATGACATAATTGTTCAAAAGTCAACTACAACACAAAAGGCCGATGAGATATCTATTTTATTTTACATCATTTCCTACCCATGTCCATAACAATTACATTTTGAGAGGTTCAAATGGGAAGACCTGAGTGGGTTTTTTTTTTTCCAGAAATGCCCCATGCCCTAACACTTTGATACTTATATTTATTGTGATAATCTCTCGCTGTGTTCGGCGATCCCTCTCTCATGCAGTTCCCATGGTGATGAACCCATGAATGACTGGCATGTGCAAACAGAGCGCTCTGAATGGGGCCTTGCGCTGGTGCCAGCCGGCTCAGTGGAGCCCGCTCCTGAATGCCAGAGAAAAAGGCCACTCCAGCCCAAATTGTTCAACAAAGCCTAAACTGCCAGGCCTTTATTTAGCTTGGCTCGGCCCCATGACCCAGACGTGTGAAGCACTTATGGGGGGTAAAAAACCAGAGTGCAAAGAAAAAGCGAGGGGCAACAACATGCACAAGACAGAAATAGAAAGAATACCGGGGTGGAAACCATTTCTGCCACTGCTTCTGAACAAATGCCGAACAAGGGGGCCAATATGGTGACAAAAGTGTTGTGACAGAACATTACGTCTCACAAAGGTAACCAGTCAGCGCTCCAAATAAAGATTTGTTGGAACAGTTTTTTCCCTTATTCAGGTTTCCAGAAGCAATCAAAGTTTAAGGCGGCCTCCAAAAGACAGAGCGAATCACCTATTGAACTTTGTAATTGCTCATTTAGTATTTACAAAGTTTAAGGGGATAAAATGACATGTCCCAACCTGGAAAATGTGTTCCTGGCATAATGCATGATGCTGCCAAAGTCGTACACCTCGCCCAGGGAGTCCACCTCGCCCGGTTCCATCTTCAGGAAGTTGTACTCCTGTCCTTTTGGTGAAGAGTGGAGAAACATCTGGAGTATCGCTTCGCAAACACACGCTACCACAGAGGTGCGCTTCCAGCCGCACTACCTGGTTGGATGTTGTCTCTGACGATGCTGACGTGCTCGTCGCGGTCCGGCCGCGTGTGCTCGTGCCAGAAGCCGATCACGTGGCCGAGTTCGTGAACCACAATGCCGAACTTATCACAGTTCTTCCCGATGGAGATGGCCTGAGGGCCTCCGCCTCTCCTCCCCACGTAGGAGCAACACCTGTGGAGCGGCAGCACGTTCACAGACATATTCTGGGGGCCACACTCTCCGTGTCACATTAGAAGTCTCTGAAATCATTCTTTGGGAATTAAGCTCCGCTCTTTGTTGAAACATTGACTCAGTTCATAGGTTGGTGGCCATTGTTTTGTTGCATGCCTCAATGTCACCCAGCCTTATAATGTCACGCGGTTGGCCTCACATTTGTCTGTAGAACACTTTGCTTTACAGAATAGTTAATGGTTAAGCCAGTGTGTCTTTGATTTTTTTTTCCATGCACAGAACTTTGCGTTATGGTCACGTATTTGAATGTTTCAGAAGACATTGTGGTTTGTTTAGATGCCACTTAGCAAACCTAAGCTGTGCTGTCCATAAGATAAGGGACACTTTATTTTAGAATTATATTGCTATGAACTTCACCTTTTAACATCAACCGTGAGATGTTGCCCTTTTTATTGTCAGGGAAGTCCACACTGGTGTGTGTGAATAATGATTCTCTTTGTAGCATAAAGACCCACGATGCAACATGTTATTTATTGTTGTTCATATGAGGTTGTATTGATCCTGTTTAAATGCTTTTTTCAACATGTAACATAAACACTATTTCTCTTCCAGACAGTTGATAAAATGCAAGTTATGATATATCTAATATTCAAGCAGAGTTTTAGTTCCTAAAAAGAAAGAATTTGTCTAACCAGTGAGTTAAGCCATTAAGTTATTAAAAGAAACTGAATGTAAATGTTACTCACCCACAAGGCCTGTAAGTAAAAACAATGTAGCTCTCTTCGGTGGTCCTCTCTATGAAGGTCACGCATGTGTACTTCTCCCAGTGACGCATTGCTTGACGGAAAATGGCTCTCTGACTGCCTGAAAAGAGACTTTGAATTAGAGTTGAATCCTTTCAGTTTTTCTGAGCTGCACTACTGCAAAACAGCTGGATGATTTAGTTTAATAGACCGACCACTGAAATTCCCACTGATCACATAGGGGATGATGCCATCGGGCCACACTCGCTCAGGCCTGGAGGTGGCTGCTCTTTTCTGGCGAGGCAGACTCTCACGGCCTGCAGCTGTCTTGACGTTTTCATTGGAAGCTGAACCGATGGCTGCAAAATGCACATAAGAACGTTGTCAGTGCAATTAATCAGTTAGAATTCAGGTAGATCCGAAAGTGTTTTAATATCTGCTTTGAAACCTGAGTTTGTGTGGTCTTTGTTTTGTGATTCACCATTGCTGTGCGACTCTTTGAACATGGAGAGGTCCTCTTCATCCAGAGCAATGTCTCCCAGAAAGGCCGCTGAGGAAACAGTTAAACAAACAGACAAGCAGCAAGTATAGTGGAATGAATGCCTTTTCAGTACATTTTGATTTTAGATGAAAACTAGCATAATAAACAGCCTCAAGGATTAAATAACTATAATGAATACATTTTTGTATGATTTGTATAACACGTATGTTTTGCATTCAATCAGGATAGACTTTAATGTGTTTGCAGCTTATTGTTATCCTCAGCCTTGGTATAACTGTAAGGAATGGACAGGAAGGGCTGAGTGGTGGAACATGGCAGTACTGTTAGCCTCACTGTTACCTTATTAAGTTGAACAAACCGTCCATTTACTGCCACTATGCATAAACCTATCTTTCAATTAAAAATTTCTATCAGAAAAATTGTTTTATATTTCTAATGGAAGTCCTTTTTATGTTAAAAAAGTTACATGGAGATGGAAAAGGCATATACTAAAACTTCCAAGACCTCCAGCTGACACAAGTGCATGTTAGATTTGTTTTTTTGTCCTTCTCTGAGGGATTAATATTTAGCCTCTGATTTACCTAATATACTTACTAAGCAGAACAATTAACCACAAGCAGCCCCTTTGAATACCTCCTTCAGCCATGTGGTGTAACAACCTTCAAAAGAACAAATGAGAGGATGGAGCGGGCCCTGTTTTGGCCTCTGAAGTCAACTCACTCATGCAGAGGGTGACTGTAAAAGACTGTCACCCCTGCAGTGTGTACTCCATGCCCCGCGGCCAGAGGGATTTCTCCAGCCCAGGACTGTGCTGGCATGGCCTCAGTGACCTTCAGTCTCCAGGCAACTGCCTCTGAGTGGAGGAGTGGTGTGTTGTGAAAGCTCCCAAAGTCACAAGAAAAAAGGAAACCCAACCTGCCGGAGGCCCCCGATTACCCATGAAAATTGTTTGGCTTGTCAGAAAATGAAAGGGGGAGAAATATTTAACTTAACTTCTTCAAGGGTTTGTTATCAAGACTTGATTAATCGAGTCAAACAGACTTAGATGCCAATGTTTGTGTTTACAATGACTGTTTTCTGATTATTTAATATTGAAAATGTTCTTAATTTATTTTACAAGTACAACATGACTAATGGCTTGTTTCTATTTCAAAGCAGATAGCAGATCAAGTTACCATTGTTAAGTAAAACTAGCTTTAAACATTAATCCCTTCACAGAATATTTAACTAAAATTCAACATTTGGATTCTGCTAATGTGTAAACCCAATAGCAAAAGTAAAGTAAACTCCGTCATGTAAATTAAAACCCAAGTAAACAGTAGCATGCCACTATATAATAAGAATTACTTTACAGTAAACAAAACTGGATTACCAAAGAAGAAACTAAAATTGCCCCAATACGCCTTTTAAGTTTAGAAAGAGAAGAAAGAACACGTTTCACTCTGAAACATGGAATGATTTCACAGTATCAACCCATGCAGTGCAAAACATAATTTACATAATCAGAATCCGTTAGCTTCATATCAGTTTAATCTGATTTTATCAACTATAATCTAAAGGAAGCATTCACACTTCAGACAATATTTCCCCTCCAAGTTACTTTACAATAGTTTACATCACTTTACTTTTGAGTTGCTTTATATTCTTTTCTGACAGTCTTCATGCTCAAACTAAACTACTTTCCATAGATCACAAAATATATAGTTAAATTGTGATTTAAGGGTTATATAGATTGCTTCCTGTATAGAGAATTTAAGTTTCTTCTAAACTTGTTTGTAACAACTTCTGTTCCTTCGGTCTCCACATCTACACGCCTGCGCTTGCACTTGTAACAAGGTGTTATCTAACCGGTCCAGCAGCCAGTGTTTGGAGGTTTTTCTCACTGGACCAAAACAGATAAGTCATGTAGACAAACAAAAAGCAATTTCATAGGACGTTAAAAAAAAAGCACGCTACCGGCTTTACAGGGATCCTTGTAATCGATTGCATCCTCAAGGTGAGCAAAAGCTGAGTCCCCATCAGCCGCCACACACACGCTCACACAGCACAGCAGGAGCCAGTTGGTGACAGCGACGTCCATCGCTTCCATGATTTCTGATCAAATGTCAGAAGGAGGAAAAAAATGATGATGAGCGCGAAGTGTCGGGGAAGAAGTCAAGACCGCCAAAAACAAAAAAACTAAAAAAGACAGGGAAAGAACTAAGAAAGAAAAAGAGGAAGCTGAAATAGTTCCTTGACAGCGGTGGTGCGATTTTATAAACACAACGTCTCCATGCTGCTGCAGTGGCTCCCTGACATGCAGGAGAGAGCAGCGCGCACGCAGCCAGACGCGTCCAGGCATCACGCGTGTGAGCCCACAGGGCTCCTCACACGCTCCCATGCTTAAACCTCCACCAGTATTTCACATTTCAACACCTGGAAGTTTGATGTCACAGATAACTTATTTCTGATTTTAACCAGAGTAAACTTTTGCTGCTTTGGTTGCTTTTTTAAAAGTTTATACTTGACTTGTTACACCACCTGCAGGCAGCAGGGTCCAACCCACTCACATATCTATTGTTATACGTGGAAAGACTGACTCATCACCCAGAGCAGGATCTGATTAAAGAGCAGAGATCCCGTAAAGAACATTTTAAGACTGAAAGCCAAAAAAAAAAAAGGAGCCACTTACTGTGAGCGTGAGGAGACAAACATCCTCGGAAAAGGCCTCAGGACACATCCTCACGCTGCCTCATTTGGAGTGAAATGTCATATATAGGGCTGATTTATCCTCTGCGGCTGACATGCTCGTTGGCATAAATAATGTCATACTGATAGTGGCGAGCAGCCTCCTCTGGGCAGCTTTTGATGGCTCAGACAAACGGAGGAACCGCCGCTGTGATATTTGGAGAGTGAAAAGCAAACCGTCAGCCCAGTTTAGCCAGCTGGTTGTCACTGGATATGAATGAAACAGCAGGCACTCTTGATCTGGGAATTTTTAAACTGTTTTAATGGCTCTTGGAAATCGTTTTTCCCAGTCTCGTGTGTATCGGGAACGGCCTAACCGTTAAAGATATTTTGTATTGTGAATGTTATGAGCTGCATGGTGGTGTGGTGGTTATCACTGTCACAGCTAGAGGTTTCCTGGTTTGAGTTTCTTTGTGAAGTTATATTGGACCTTCTAAAAACATGCTTGTTAGGTGAAATGGTGACCTTAAATGGACCATATTGACTCTATGGGGTAAACCGACTCCTGCCCAATTATTGTTACAGGTTACAGTCCCATCAAAACCCAGAGCTGGAGCCAGAAATGGTACAGAAAACGGATAGATGAGTGTTATAAAACATCTCTCACCGTCTGGAAATGAGATGATGAGGGGGCGAGAAGGAGGGCGACAAAGTCAAATTCAAATAACAATGACGGCCAGCCAGCCAGACGGAATATGAAAAATTGGCAGATAACATGCAAATGTCAAGAGAATCAGAAGGAGCGGATATTCAAGCTAAAAGATGGAAAACTGAATGCAGGGCGGGGGTAGGGTGATCAGCTAACTCAGAACAGATTTTAAACAGAAGAGTACAAAGAGGAATGCACACATGGAGAAGTCTTTTCTGAATATAAACAGAAAGTGTGTGTCACACTGAGTGGGGTGACAGATAAAGATATTAAAATAATCAGAATGGAAGCGTAAAGCTATGTTGCCAATAACGATGATGCCAATAATGATGTTGATAAGTTGTCCTCTATGAAGTTTGCACAGCAAACAGTACTTTCTCAGCAGAGCTTTAGCAGAGTGCTGGGCAGCCAATGGGCTGCCAGACAGACGTAGCTGACCGATCATGTCTCTGTCCTCTCTTACCAACTTTTTTAACTACCTATTTAGCTTTTGTTAATTTCATTGGTGCTTCTTAAGGCTAAAGGATGCCACATCATAAAGTCTTACTGGAGAATTTTCCAATCTAAAAGTCTTTTCAATCGACAAAGTCCGTCATTTGGTTGAATTTAAAGCATTCCTCCGCATGGCCTTCTGCAGGAGTCTCAAACTCTGGTCCTTGAGGGCAGCAGTGCTGCAGGTTTCAACACACTTAATTCAGATTGAATAAATTTCTTTAAAAGATTGTGAAGCTCTTCACAAGTCTGCCGATGGATCACTGATTTGAATCAGGTTTGCTGAAAAGTTGAGTGTCCAGTTAAAAATGTTAGGCAATCTACCAATCATATCAGTTGATTTTTTGTTTTGTGTGTGTCTGTTTCTGTGGCACCATGTGCATTACAAATGTAAGGGGGAGGATTCTTTCTTATAAATCCAACTCGTAAGTACCCATTATATCAAGAAAGTTGGTATTGACTTGACTTTTAGAGGTAATTTGGCTAATTTCTATGTGGAAGATCACCAGTGTTGTGTGACTTCAATAGAAAAGATGAAAGCCATCTTTGAAGCTCACAAGCTCACATTAAATGAGTCTTTATGAAGAAAATTCATGCAAAAGACATTTGACTGATTTAAGTGAGAAGTTGAATACTTTACAAGTCCACTTATGTGTCATTCAAGACAGCCCACAATCATACGGAAATCAAAATGCTGATATTAGAGAAATAATCTTCACAGAACATGTGGTTCAAGAAAATTCCTTTTCACAGTGAAAACAAATTATCTTGATTTATTGTTTAAACCAAACTCATTGCCCTCTGCTGGTATTTCATTTTCTTGAAAGCTCATTTTTTCGTAAACAGAAACTTGACTATGATTCCCACTTAGATAACAAGGAAGTGTTACTCTGGTACTCTGGTTAAACTCTGCAGTTTGGAGTGTAACTCAATATGTTTGATGTATACATTCTGTTTATATGGTGATTTGTTTACTTACATTTTTCTTAATCAAGTACATTCATGCTTTTAAAGAAACATGCCTATAACTCTAGTTTCCACACAGGTCCAGTTTAGTTTTTTTCTTGGTTCTTCATAGTGCCTGAACTGGAGAACAGTTGACTCTGAGCAGAGTTTTGTGTGGTGCATGTGTTTACCACTAAGTGGCACTAATGGGCAAGGTGTGGAACCACCTCCTCAGGGACTGACAGAAGAAAACAAAGAAAAGCATGAACAAGATTGAGAGTCTCACAAAAGCCACGGGGCTGTCCGGAGAGACAGAGGAAAGAAGCTGCTAATCAACCACAAATGCATGTCCGTCTGCTTTGTTTGTGTGTGCACGTTCATGGGGCTAAGCTGAATGAGTGTGAAGAGAGAGGGAGCCCGAGACTCAGTCCCACCAGCCTCCCTCCGCCTCTGCCAGCACACATCTGCTGCTGAGGAGATGGGACTGTAATCCAGAGAGAGGAACTTTATGCCTTGGAGATCAGGCTTCACGGCATGGCGTGCCACATCAGAGCCCTTTGGTAGAGGAGGCGAGACGAACCTTTCAGCTGGAGAATACTCATATTTACCATCGCACAGCCCGAGATTTGCCTTCAATTTGGGGCCATGTCCCAGCTCTGGTGCAGGCAGGCCCTGCTCCGTGTGGAAGTAGGCATCCTGGTGGCGTTCCTGGTGGCCGTTGGCGCCGCACAGATCTATGAGAGGAGGGAAGCGGGGTCATCCTGCTATGGAGGCTTTGACCTGTACTTTGTTCTGGACAAGTGAGTGGTTGCACTTTTTCAGTCTTTCAGTGTTTTCTGCATGACTCGTCCGAGTTTGTTTTGATGTCACAGGTGAGAAGATCCTTTAAGTTGTGTTCCTAAGAACTTGGTGGGCAGCTACTAATAATAATACATTGTTGTATGCAAGATAAGGCGACCAGGACTTAAAACTGACAAAACTATGCTTAGAAAAAATAGCAGGCATTCGTGTAAAAAGTACAGATTTGTTTTGGCAGGTAAAAGCTCAAAGGGCCATGTTGGTTTAAAAAAAGCCATAAATCTCAACCAATAAATCTGCATATAGTTTAGTTTGAGCTTTTCTTTTGTGTATATTTCATAACACTTAATCGACCCTTCAGCGTCTGAAACTTTAAACTGTTTTCCTTTAATAATAAACTAATCGACTGGGATTGTTTTCTGTGGTAAACTTACAGCTTACCAAAATCAACTGGTCACAGTTTGAGCTCTGGCCAAATACAAATGAATCCCTTTGCATGTCCCATCGTTATAAAATTGCTGAATATTAACCTATAAAAGTATGTTAATGCATTTGTGGAAAAGTACGTTATTTCTTGAAACTCTCATTCTATTATTTTGCCATTTTATTCAGCAAACACAGGGGCATATTTTTACAAACCCAAATTCTTGTAAGAGCTGACACACGGCTTAAATTATACTCTTCATTAAACTGTCAGGATGAAGGCCCTTTAGGGTTCACATATGGCGCTTCATACTCTCTCTCAGAAGCTTTGTGAGGATTGTTTACCCAGTGACATCTTCATTTGAAATGCGCTCATGCGTCCTCTCAGACCATAAAGTGCACAACAGGGATGTGCACTGCAAACTGCGGCCACACTTTACTGTCAGCAGCAGCCCACATCTTTGTCTCAGTCCCAGCTCTCCCTGCACTTCGGGCCGCAGAACCCTTTCTCCATTAGAGCCAGATGTTCCAAAGATCCCCAGTTTCTGGCGGTGTCTCTCTGCTGAGGCTCACATCCCTGGATAAATGAAAACATACGGGGGGAGGGAGGAGAGGCGCAGCACAGTGTGAGAGGAGAGGGGAAGTTGTCTCCGTCCCAGTTCTGGCTTCCGTGTCAGAAACTGGAGTTCTCCAGGTGATTGTTTTGTTGAGTTCTGCACCTGCTGCAGAGTCTGTGCCAGAAGGAAGCCATGAAGCAAACCTATGATCCCCCAGCCTTTGTCTGGCACCTTAAAAGTGAGCACACACTGTTAGCATAGCATTCAGGAAGAGGCTGACATCTCAATGATAAAATGAGAACAAAAGAGCAATGTTCAGAAATGTGATATCCAATTTATTTCTTATCAGGGCGGCACGGTGTTGTGATGATTACTATCATCATCATTAGCATGAGCACCATCGCCTCACAGCTAGAGTGTTCTGGGTTCGGGTCCCTGGGGGAACGAGGACCTTTTTGGGTGGAGTTTGCCTGTTCTCCCTGTGTCTGCGTGGGTTCTCCGGCTTCTTCCCAGCATCCAAAAACCTGCATGTTTGGTCCAAATTGCCCTTAGGAGTGAGTGTGAGGGTGTGTGGTTGTTTGTCTCTGTGTGTCTCTGTGTGACCCATCCAGGGTGTACCCCGCCTCTCGCCCACTGACTACTGGGATAGGCTCCAGTCCCCCCACGAACTCATTAGGGAATAAGCGGTTACGATAATGGATGGATGGATTAAAGCAGTTAACTAATGCGTTTTTCCGTTCTCCTGCACCTCCTATTCTGCAAATAAATCTGAAAAGTTTCGGCGTCAATAAAACATTATCAGGACACTGCCACTGCCATTGTAAAAAATGTTGTTTTTGTCTTTTACACGCGTATGTTTTAGTTCAGTCTTCTTTAAATAGGGATTTATTTGTACTTACTGAAGCACTCAAGAGCTCCATAAATCTGAAGAGGCTTCGGAGCTTTTACAATAATGATGAAGGAGAAAAGGAAAGAAATGCAATACCTCTATTTTTTTACCCTTGTTGCTGATTGCAGTCAGGTTCATACCTGCTATTATCAGAATCAATCCAACATATCTGTACTTATCTGTAAGTACAGATTTTTTCCTGACTTGCAAAACAGGAAAACATAGAAAAACTATAGAACACAAAAGCTAGAGAACCACGTTTTTGCATACAAAGATTTATCTAATGCAAATGTAATATTAAATAACCCAAGAAGTATTTAAAGCATGAAGTGTATTGTTTTATTTAATCCAATATCATTAAATTGAACTAATCCTACCATATGACTACTGTATGAAACTGTTGTTTGGAACTGTCTTTCTCAGGTCTGGCAGCGTAATTCATTACTGGAATGAGATATATTACTTTGTGGACCATTTGGCTCATAAGTTTCTCAGGTACATTCACACACAAAAAGTTAAACAAAGAGAAGGTTGAGTAGCAACTTGTTAAAGGTGGCATCGCCTCTTTTTTTTCTAGTCCTCAGCTGCGGATGTCTTTTATCGTATTTTCAACAGAAGGAAGGACTCTAATGGCTCTAACAGAGGACAGGTGGCGCACACAAAAAACACTCCTGTCTCTCTTTACTATTTTATTTTGCGTTTTTAATTTGTATTGTTGTCATTACGTGTGTGGTTTTGTTATCTGACCGATCAGAGATCAGATCCGAGCAGGGCTGGAGGAGCTGAGCATGGTGCAGCCGGGTGGAGACACCTTCATGCACAGAGGCTTTCAAAGAGTAAGTCATCTGTTAAATGACTGTAAAACTGGTCCCAACAATATGGTTTTTACTCTCTGAATTTATTGCCTCTGACGCCTCAAATCTTCTCCCCCAGGCCAGTGAGCAAATATATTACGCTACTGGAGACGGTGAGCAAAACACCCTCAAAATTAAATCACAATCAATTATTAACGCTCGACGCTTTGCTCATTTCAGCAGGTGGAAAAACAGCTGGTATCTTCATCACAATAATGTTCAAATGATCTTTCCTGATGAATGCCCTCGATTCTAATTTTGAAAACCATTCCTGATTTTAAAATGTTATGAATAAAAAACCAAAGATGTTATAATTGATGTTCTTTAGGTTACAGGACAGCCAGTGTCATCATCGCCCTGACCGACGGGGAACTGAGAGAGAATCAGTTTGACCTGGCTCAAAGAGAGGTGAAAGAAGTGGCGCTTTTCTAAAGCAGGGATTTAAAACTGTGGTCCTCGTGATTCAGATGTTTCCCAGCTTCTACACACCTGATTCTGATGGAATGGGTCTTGTCTTTAAGATTGTTAAGTCCCAGAGAAGACATGCTGATGTTGTATTAAACTGAATCAGTTGTGTTGAAGCAGGAAATCGTCTACATTCTCTTTGACAGCGGCCCTACTGGACAAGAGATTGAGACCCCTGATGTAAAGAGTGCTTGAATAATAATCTATGGGGTCATTTTGGTAACAATCAGGTAATAACATGTTATACTGGATATGTTCCTCGGAGCTTCTCGTGCTTGTGGTCATGTCAGTGGTGGCAGATGTTTCTCAGCAGATGCTGGTGACCCGATGTTAGCAGTGACAGCATGGATGAAATCTTCCTCTAGTGAGCGCCCCACATTTAACTAATTCAATATTTGCCTTGTCTTCAATTAGGCTGGCCGAGCTCGTCAGTTGGGGGCCACTGTGTACTGTGTTGGAGTCAAAGACTTCAACGAAACACAGGTGATTATGGTAGCTGATAAACAGGCTAATGAATCAATAAGCTCAACATTGAACATCACACTTAGGCGCTTTCATTGACAGCTCTCCACTATAGCTGACAGTAAGGATCACGTCTTCCCTGTGAACGATGGATTTCAAGCTCTGCAGGGGGTCATTGGTTCGGTAAGAGACAAGAAATGCATTGTCCTAATCAAAGCAATAATGGAGCCTTATCCCCTTCCTTATGTGTACTTTGTTACAAGATTATTTTCTGTTTTAGATCTTGAAGAGGTCATGCATTGAGATCTTGGCTGTGGAGCCCTCTAGTATCTGTGAAGGAGGTAATGACTTATGCGCATTCATTGTTATACAGCTATAATACACTGTTTATAGACTTGACTTATTTCAATTTGATAATTTATGTCTACCAAATGTATAGTTATGCACAATTTAATCCTGCTTCAGAAAACTTCCAGGTGGTTGTCAGGGGAAATGGCTTCTTTCACGCTCGAGATGTTCAGAAAGTTCTCTGCAGCTTCCGCATCAATGACACTGTTACTTTAAGTAAGTATTCTACTCCTTTGGCATGTTTGTTCATGGAATTCTGAACAGGACAAGCATAAGTAGTCATTACGTTACATTTCACTTGACATTTTAGAGTTTGTTTCTGTGGTTTGGACAGAAGTGGAAAAGAGGGTTTGTGTTATGTAGTACGTCAACATGTCAATCCCAATAGGAAATACAGAGTCACTACAATACCAAAACAATGGGTAGTAATGAAGAATTAGCAGTTCGGATTATTTTCTTTAAATTTTAAACATTTAAAAAAACTTCACATTTAAATCAGTGTGATTTTAAATGTATTAGTTCCTCCTAAAACATCAGGTTGGCAGACATCTATGTGCAGACATCAAAGCCACAGGTACAACAGTTTGATTCATAAATATACAGCTGTTTTGGTACTGAATAACAATCAAAACTTGGATGACTTAAGAATCTGTGTGCGATGTCTCATGATCAATGAGGTGAGGTCATTTAGGAGGAGGGACTCTTTACACGGAGGGTGAATAACAGATGGACAAAGTCAGTGGATCAATCCAAAGAATAATATGAAAGCATATGTGAATAATCAGACAAATAATTAGCCATCTCTCACATTGCATACTGAGCACTCTGCAGCCGCTTGCGTCATTGTGGTGAGTTTATTTTGGCTGTGTGAATGTGGATGGGTGGGGGACAGCAGCTCTTTGTGGGCCACGATGATCTGAAACCTCACCCTCCTTATAAACCATCAGGCCCATCGTTCCCTGCTTCAAATCAGCTGGTAGAACGCTCAACACTTCTCAGATGTCTTAAGTGGAATGTGGATCTCATCAGGGACAACTGCTGTCTTTGCATAAGCTAGACACTCACTCAGCCAGGCTAAATAAACCACAGCCCTCCCTCATTTGCTTTACTTTCCATAAGGAGAGGAAGTCCAGGAATTTAATAACTAAAAAAAAACCTATTTTGAGGGTTTAAGCTTCAGAAGTTTTGAGATCGAAAAGAGGCAAACTTTTCCTTTGTATCACCCACTTATCCTGCGATTTTCCCTTACTGAATACAAGCTTGAATAAACATTTTTATGCTAATTGTTTCCCCACAGTGAAAAGACCTTTGGTGGTGAGAGATACATACCTTCTGTGCCCAGCGCCTGTTCTGGAAAAATTTGGAACGTAAGTGATTACTGTTGACAGACAAGGGCACTGGGTTTAACTAGTAGTTTGGATGGACTTCATCATTAATTTGAAGTAAATGACATGCCAATAAACATCACAGTTGCTCCTCAGAAGACAGGGAATAATCAGAATTGTTCTCAACTTACTACACTTACATCACATAAACTTTCAAATTAAAACAGAAATGGTGGATAATATTTCCATCTGTAATTACAGTCGATACGTGTAGGATTCCTGAATACACTGCTACCTAAAGTAGGCCCAGGAGCACAAAACCGAAATTGATGAAGTATGCATAAAACACTTTAAGTGTTTCAAATATAGTCCCTGTAATTATTCAAATAATAGTTTCTCGTTTTTTTGCGGGTCTGGCAGAAAAGACGTAACCAGCGTGTGGTTTCCTAAAACCCGTCTTATTGAATATGTATCCGTTATTGTCTCACCATGCCCACAGGTCAGCCACTCTCCATGTCAGCATGAACAATGGTCTCAGCTTCATATCGAGCTCAGTCACAATTACTGCAGTCACTTGCGTAAGTACAGAGGAAAAACTATAAAACTGCCTTCACATTACCTCACAGCAACTGGAATTGATATTGGACTGTGTTTTTCAAAACTCCATTAACAGCTCTTTTGTTCTTGTGTGAGCTTTTTATTCTTTTTTTCTTCACCTTAGCTTACACTTCTGCTAGTGTTGAACTTTTAAGAATGTAGATTCATTCCACCAGTGTGTACCTCTGTCCCGTAGTCGGACGGGACCTTTGTGGCCATTGCGCTGCTCATCCTGCTGCTCCTGCTGACCATTGCTCTGCTGTGGTGGTTCTGGCCTCTCTGCTGCACTGTGGTATGACAGTTATTCTATCATTCAAACACATTAGCTACATGCTCCCTTGGTGTTCTCCAGAATTAATAAATCAAATCTAAAATAGGAAATAAAATAATAAATATATAATGATATATAATACATAATATATAATAATAATATATTTATTCTTGATGCAATAATTGCTTTTGTTTCTTTTATATCCTGCAGGTCATTCATGATCCACCACCTCCAGTTATGGAGGACGTCTCTGTATGTCCTACTTTTACGGAGATTGGGTTAAGTTTCAGATTTTGTAAAGTATTTAATAGATATTCAGTTTGTACCATATGTCTGTTTTCTTAAGGATGATGAGGATGGTTTTCCAAAGAAGAGGTGGCCCACTGTAGATGCATCATACTATGGAGGTCGTGGGGTTGGGGGCATCAAGAGAATGGAGGTAACCTAGAGGAAAAATAGCTAATATTCATTTGATAAAGAACCAATCCTCAAAACGTATCTGTTTAGCATGATAATGCTCACATTTCACTGGTTACCAGGACGTAACATTAACGTGGATGTGTCATGTTTGGCCAGTGAATGGGGACACAGGCCAAATGTGGCTGAATGCTTGCAAAAATAGAAACAAAATAATTTCACATCTCATAGATAATTTATGATACTCAGAATTGACAATTCACATTGATCACTGACAATAAGAACTCAAAGGACTTTTTTCCCCCGAATAATGACAAAAAGATCTAAACTACATCCAACTAGTTGATCGTCTGCAGACTTGTGCTGCCCAACCAAATTATATTTAGGCCTAAGTTTTTATGAAGACCTTGGGGAGACCAAGGAAAAACACACACATTTTTTGGGGCACAACCAAATCACAGAGAGACTTTGAACTGTTGGAGGTCACAGACACTGGAAAACTAAAAAAAAGCCACAGACAGACAATGTGCACTCCACATAAGAAGAGCCAAACCTTTTTTCTTTTCTGAGGTGGCTGTGCCAACACATGCATCTCTTTAAATAATAGAATCTCTAAAATATTCCAATTAAATCAGACATTTGAGGTTCTAGCGCTTGGTTTCAGACTCACAGAGTAAGTGTATGAGAGCAAGACTTCAACCTTCAGCCAGTGAAAGTAAATGGTGAATGGTGGGAATGAGATCAAACAGAAGTGGAGCAGGACTGCTGAAAAAAAGCAGCAACTCATTTCTCAAAAGTCACGAGCACTCAAGTCCACACCGTACAGGAATGAGTCACTTTGTTGTTGTGACTAGCTCTGGCAGCCAGAGAGAGTTAAGACGAGGACATCTGGACAGTAAACTGCCCACAAGGCAGAAATGCTCGGAGGACTCGAAGAGCAGAGTGGTTTTAGGGGCCTGACCTGGTGTGATTTATCTGTTGCTGTCACACAGCAGTTCAGCGCCTAAGATTAAGCAGTTTTATGTTAGAGAGACAAATAGTGGGAGCAGAACGTTGTGACGGGCTGTCATTGATTCCCTGTGGGATACCTCTGAGCAGGAGGTGACCAACAGACCAACAGAAATCACACAAAGACATCCCAGGATCCAGAGGGACCAGATGTGTGCCTCATCTGGGAGAGTGTTGTCAAGGAAACAGACGTCATTGTGACTGTGTGAAGTTCTCGACAGAGTCTAGAGTGTCTGAGCTTGAAGTTGCCAAATACACACATAATCCCAAATACTCCTTTGGAAAGTATGCACAGCTTCATTTATGTGATTTTTCTGCCACGTTTAAGCCTTTGTGGTTTGTGAATGGTAGCCGACAGGGAGTGGAGTTGAATAATGAACTTCCAAGGTTGCTCTGACATTTTGGGTTTTACTCTTGACGTGTTGGATCACTAAAGAGACTTTAGCCTATTTAGTGGTTCTCCCAGTATTGGAGTATTTGCGCTAGAAAGAGAAAATGTTAACATAGAGAGAAAGGAAAAAAGAAACTAATCTATTTTTGGTCAGTCTTTTTTTATGTAAATGCTCTACATTGTTTGGAAAGCTCAGGAAGAATTCAAAATCTGAAAAGCTAGCGCATGAAGGACCACAAAAAAACAGGCACAAGAGCCAACATTGGTTCTCTGTTGTGGATTTTAGCAGACTGGTTTTAATTAAGACCATGCAGACACGCAACAACACAAATGAACACAGAAAATTTAAAGAACTGGAGTTTTTTTCTTTCTGCAGTTGCAGAGGTACTAGTAAAATTGTGTCACTAGGTGTGGTCTACATCTTTATCAGAGGTCAAGCAGCACATGCGAACTTGGCCGTACTGAAATTTATTTTACGATAAGCATGTAAGCATATGACTCTTATTATTTATATCAGTATGTCTTTTATAACGTATAACGTACTAAATTAAAATAAACTGTTCAATCAGTCTTTGTGAAATATGCACACGCATCCCTGATTTCCATTCCTATTTTTTACTAAACCACAATTAAAAGTAGACACTTTTAAAAAGGCAAATTTACTGTAGGCTACAATAAAAAAGAAACACAGTTAGACCAAATATAAAACTGTTTTTTTGGTCGTTTTTTGTGTGTGTGTGGGGGTGTAAAGAAGTGAAAGCTCTGTAAATTCAGAGCACTGTTAGAGACGGTGCGGTCAGAGCTGAACTTAGGATGTGGAAAAAGATGTGCATTGGCTTCAGTTTCCCATAATAATTGTGAGGCTCATTAATGTATGATTCATGAAGTTATCTTTTTTTTTTCATACTACATGAGCTCTTCTCCGTTTTAACCACAGTTCACCGTTGATAGCTTCTCTCTCTGTTCAGGTTCGCTGGGGAGATAAAGGTTCAACTGAAGAAGGAGCCAAACTGGAAAAAGCGAAAAATGCCCGTGTTGTGATGCCCGCCGAGGAGTACGACCCCTCTCCACCACGGCCGTACTATAACATGCACAAGTCCACCCGTCCCCAGAAGTGGTACTCTCCAATCAAGGTGCACCAGCTGTTCACCTCTATTCAAATCAATAATCAGTTCGTTCTGTAATTGGAGAGATATTTTAATTCATGTTTTTTTTCATTGGGAAATCCACTATACACCTTTTTGAAATACCAAATATATAGGGTCCCTCTTCAGACAGAAAAATGAGGGCTTAGAGCACTCTGGCTGCTCTTTTCCTGTACTTCTGAACAAAGGAGGGCCTGTCATCTGTCAGAGAGATGTATTACTGCTATAAAATGTATTCTTGGGGATGGATCGCATGTGTAAAGGATGCTATGTATGGAGAATGTATTTCCAGATGCTGTGAAATAACTTTCGACATGTGGGTCTCTTCCTTACATTTGTTTCTGTCAACCATAGCTGAGAAAATATTTGATTTCCTGCTTTTTGCATGAATGATGAGTTACCAGGAAAGAGTTAATAAAATCTGCTTCCTCACATATTAGTCAGCTAGATGGATGATAATAAGAACCAGACATGGACTGAGCTAACCCCTGAGTATGGAATCTTTTGAGCTGGTTTTATTTCTAACCAATTACATTCTTTGTTTATCAACCTCTTTTCTATGCATCTGGAGCTAAATCACTACAAAAGCACTGCAGGTACAGACAGAACCACATTGGAACATAGGATCTCTTTTTTGATTTCTACTGTGCTTGCTTGTTTTTTCGAGACTTATTTGTAAATGCACGCAAAGGAAAGTGTAGGTGTTTTAAGGCCATATGTAAGGGGTGGAAATGTCTTCACAGGGAAAACTGGACGCTCTGTGTGTGTTCCTGAGAAAAGGCTACGACAGAGTTTCTGTAATGAGACCATATCCTGGAGACAAGGTGAGACAGATATGCACTTTTTACTGCTGTGCGAAAATGGAAATCATTTAAATTAATTTAAAAAATCCATAAGCTTATGAACCAACTAGTTCATTCTGTGGCTAGGAGAAGTTTAAGAGTTTTGTGATTTATGTGTAATCTACTGAAATGAGCACGGGGAAGATTGGAGCAAATTCTTCTGGTTTAAGATCAAAGAACAAAGTAGAAAGAAACAAGGCTGGAATCTTATCTTCTCTGGGTATTTTCTTGAATTAAACAGTTTTAAAGTCAAATAACAAGAGATTAGATCTCTCCAGTTGCATGGGGAAAAGACAAAGGCAAAGAGAAAGGGCAGTATTGTCTGAAGGAATGCTTTTGCCTGCAGAAGTCATTATGACTAGATGCCGTCTGCCTTCTTCTGCTCCCAGCGTCAGCACGACTCAGCTGGCAGCAGAACTGTTTTCTTCCATGACACTCACTAAAAAAAGGAATTTCCTTTTTCCATCTGTTGGGAACTGTGCCCCCCGCCCCTCTCAGTTTTGCCAGTTTGTGGATTTGCTGTGCCCCGTTTCTTAAGATTTGATTAACAACTGGATTTTCGCATTCGGAGTGTGAACATTTATTTGATGTGACACTGAGCAGTGCGTTTTTTCTGTCTCATCACAGGGCAGGTGCATAAACTTCACCCGCAGCCAGCCCTACCCTTCTCCTCGCTACCCCATCTACAACCACCCCTCCACACCTGTCTACACGTTGCCCCACGCGTACCAGCGTTCTCCATCAGAGGGCAGCCAGCTCCTCCATTTCCCCCCGTCCCCGACGTCCACCCTGCCCCCTCTGCCGTCCACTCCTCCCCCGTCCTGCAGCAGCTCTCCCACCTACACGCCGCCTCCCAACAGAGCCCTGCCCCACGCCGGCCCAAACCCAGTCTCTGCGCCCCCCTCCCCGACCGTCTCTCTGCCACCCCCCCCTCAGGGCCCTCCTCCGTGCAGGGCGCCTCCTCCCTCACGCCCTCCTCCACGCCCAAACCAGGAGATCCAAGAAGATTAAGAGCAAAGGTTTTGTGTGGTCCAACGACGAAATGGAAAGACGTTGTCTTAAGTTATGTGCAAACAGAAACAGAATTACAGAGACTCACGCTCATGACTTGTGCCCATGATGTGCCATGAACTGCCACTTTTTGTTCTGATTATACATGGAAAATGCGCACAGCTTGGCTATTGCTTGCTTTTAGAGTCAAACATCTTAATGAGGTAGCGCAAGCGTTTCTTAAAGTTTTACTTTTCTTCGCAAATTGCTACATCGAAAGGGTTAAAAAGACCATTTCAAAGAATGGATCAATATATAAGTAAACTCTTTGATGTAAGTCCTTAAAAGTCCCTAGAAGGGAATCTTTAAAGCTGTCAGAGAGTACTTCAGCAAAATGTTAATCAGGTTGTTAAGTTCTCTTAGTGGAAAGATTCTGGAAATTCACCTTGTGAATGATGTGGCACAAGATTTGACTCTTGTGATCTGATTGCGTCACAGCAAAATTATGTGCAATAAATCAGTAAGAAATGTCTCTCTTTTTCTTGCTAAAGTCGTGCCTCATCTGCACCCCGGCTTCTTCAAACTGCCTAAAAAGCTCCAACTCTCTCAACCCTGGATTGTATAAAACGTGTTTGGAAAATGGGTGGATTGATAGATATCTACAATTCCAACAACTCAAGGGTCATCAGTCCGTCACCAAAATGTCAATAAACTACAGCAGGAAGTGCACTGTGTTATAAAAACACAGACACAGTCCAACATCTGGTGAAGTCAGATAGTGCTTAAAGGCGGCCTTCAGTACTCCAAGAGGCATTTTAAGAATTATTCTAGGTTACAGAACAGAGGAAGACTTAACTGCCTGTGAGATGGTGTAAAACATTTGCTAGTCATCAGAATAATAACAAAAAATGGATCCAAACAAATTTAACCGCTGCTGACTTAAACATTGTAGAAATGTTAAGTTTTTCTGTGAGTTTATACTGAACCAGGTTAAAGTCAAAGAAAACCTCTTCCTTACTGACTCTGGCTTGCTGTGCCCTGAAGCAAATGCTCTCACACAGATGCAGATCAGTTTTCATCTTGGGTCTATAAGAAAAAAGCAAAGGAATGTGACCATAACTTGGCATTTTCTAACAGGCCACAATGTCAGCTGGGTTTTATTCCACTAAGATCTCCTAAAATAAGCCCTAGTATACCTTTTCCACATTGTTTTATTCAGATTTTTTCTTATTTGGAAATGCTTTTGCAGATGTATGCAGTCAGACTTGCAGTTCGTTGGGCGGCGATGATCTCACAGAGGCGTGTCTGAGAAAACCTCAAGGAGCAGGGGCAGGCAATAGGTTTAAAGGCAGACAACTGAAGAAACAAACAGAGAACTCAGCTTTGAGGCCACAAAGATGTGGAAAGAAGTGTTTACACAGCCTAACACTTTGACAGAGCCCACCAGAAAGAACTGAAGATAGAAAGTCAACCATCCCCAGCTACGTTTGACTGTGCTGGGAAACCCAGTTAATAGTTTTTTTCTTCACCATTATGATCAGTTAATCTCCCTTTCTTGACTTCCCTTTGAAATAATTATGGAAAAGGAATAAACTCGTACTGTATTGTGTAACATCATAAAAATCAACTCACAGCTCATGAATGTGTTTCGCTGGAGATTATTGAAGTATGCTTTGCAGTGGCCTCATCGTCCCATCTTGGCCCAGACTCTGTCTACCTTGGCAGCACAAACAATGGCAATCACTGACTCCACACGGCTAATCAGCTCCACATAACTGCGTCTCTGTGAAGCATGCTGTAGAGGCAGAAAAGCAGCATTGATCTAATTTATTCAAAGCTTCTATCGTTTATCTATTTCCACTCAACCCAACATGTTTACTGTGACAAAATGTACTCATGAGCTCTTTTCACATTTTCCAAAGGCTCTCTTGAAAAAGATAGATCTGACAAAACCTCAACTCAGATGACATTATTGTCTAATCCTGATAAAAAAAACAAGTGGCTCATCTTTCACAGAGACTTTGTCCTTTAAAAGATTTCAGCAGATTTATGCAGGATTTCAAAAAGTCATAAGTGAGGTTATTGCAATCTTTTTTTCCTTTCAGTAGTCAAGAGAAGGACCATCCAAAAACGCTGAATGGAAATGGAAAATACCTCATGTCCTAACACCACTTTATATAGTTTTATGGAGGCAAGGTGGTAACGACTTCAAAATCCTGCAGCTGTCCGCTCACATAAAGAGGACAAAAGAAATCTTTAAACTTTTCTATTTAAACAAAACAATTCATTTCATTTTATGCTATTCATGCAAAAAAAAAGATAAGAGCTTTATTGATCTCACAGTGGAGAAATTCACTGGTCACATATCGGTTAGGGTACAAAAGGAGGAAAAGGTGCATAAAGTACATCAAAAAGCAAGCAAATATACAAAGAAAGAAACACAGCGTATAGATTTGGGTGATTAAAATATATACAATCATTGAGGGCTCACACACAGTACACATATTATACAGGTCAATAAATATAACACAATTGCACAGCAGTTGTTAAAGTGCAGAGTTGTACACTCTGGTAGCAGCAGGAATAAAAGACCTGCGGTATCTCTCTTTTTTGCACACAGGGTGTCTGAGTCTTTTACTAAAGGAGCTGCTCAGCTCCTCTACAGTCCGATGCAGGGGGTGAGAGGTGTTGTCCATAATAGATCTTAGTTTGGACAACACTCTCCTCTCAGCCACTTCCTCCACTGAGTCCAGAGGGCAGCCCAGGACAGAAGTGGCCAAAAACACATAGCGTAGGTGCTCTCGCACGATTCCTCTGGTCTGAAGGGGTTAAAGACCCTGCAGTGTACTCATGTTGATTACATAACTGCTGCTCATTTGAACAGGAGGTAGCCGCAGACAATTGGACTCCCCGATGTGCATCCCATTGGCAATCATGCAGTAGAAATAGGATCAACTGGGAGTTAGAACTTGGTTTATACAGTTACTGCTATTTTTGACAAAGTTCACCATAAAGACTTTCCAAAGTTTCTATTCATTACCTTTTGCTTACTCGTCTTTTGGTTCCCTATACTTTCTCTTTCTTTGAAATACTCTTAACACATAAATTAATGTTTAATCAGTTAGTAATGATGAATTTATGATAAGGTGTGGGCTGTCCACCAACAGGTTGGCAGCTTGACTCAGTCAGGAGCCCGGAAGAGGGCTGTCAGCTTAACTGATTCACAGATTCATTCATAATTCCCTATAATTAATCATCCTCCTGCTTGTCCCACATGATAAATAACTGTTTACCGTATACTCCTCAGAACAAGGAGTGGGCAGAGCAGCAGCACTGACTGAGAGCCGATCTCTGCAGAGACATCTGACATCCATTTGTCTTCGCTTTGTTCCAGATCCTCATCATTGTTGTCATGTTGTCTCCTGACACATCGTTTTCGTTGGATAATTTGCCACCGCATTGTGATTTTTAACATTTTTATTAGGCTTAATACCCGCCTGCCTCCTGCACACCACAGCTGACGCCACCACGGATGAAATGTAGAAGTTTCCGATCAAAAATATGTGAAAGGAAAACTAATTCCCCTGTGAGTGAATAAACAACAGCAAACAAAAGTTAAGATTAAAAGACAGACAGAGGGTTTGCACACAGGAACTGGTAGGGACAGGAGGCACAGAGTCAAACAAGGACTTTATTTGAATCTTTGCAATGTGAAAATTAAGTTCTTCTTTAAGAAAAAAATATATATATACGAGAGGGAAAACTATGGGGCTGATGAGAACGCAGTCACATTCAGTTGCTTCATTTACTGAAATCTGAAATACACATGTGGAGAAAGGAGAAGCATAGATTACACTGATAAAAAATCTATGTATGAGCAGAATAATATCAGCAAAGGCAGCAGTTTACTAAAAGTCCTGCTAGCACTCATGAGCGCCAAATTACAAAGTGATTTAGAGACGTGTTTTGAAAGCGTGTCACCTCACAGGAGAGGAAGGCCGCGTGTCCTCAGATGAAAAACATCGCTCACAGGTGCTAATCTCCGGTACAAGTAAACTGATTTTGATCAAAATGGCAGATTTCTGATAGTGTACAGCTCTCTAGTGACCGGCCGCTTGAGATTTCTGGAAAACATGAAAATAAATGGTGCTTCTCAGCATGGACTGGAAATATTTTCCCTCCTTTGTCTGTGGAAAAATGTTAAACACAGATTTCTTTGGAAACAGCTAAATAGAACCTGTAATAGCATTGACTGATTACAAGAGGCCCTACAACCATGTTAGAAATGGACTACACTGACAGTAAAGGCACAATCTTTTATCAAAATGTAAACAGCTGCGGACTTAAAGCGTGACCCAACGGGAAGTCACTTCAAAATGACGCACTGGTGCGTTATGGGTAAGGGCCAGCACATAACTCAGATGGTCAACTAGTACCAGGTTTGACCTTCAAATAAATGAAAATAAAGATAAGTGTAAATATGCCTTCAATATTCAGAAATTGATGAGAAACCTACTGGTGTTAAAGTTCAAACTTTTTTGGTGCTGATATCAAAGTAGAGCACAGGACTGAGGTAGAACCTTAACTTAACAACTTAACTGCAGTATTATAGTTTTAAAAAAGTAATACTGCCACTGAGCAATGCTTTGGGTCCAGTCTACTTGGCATAAAAAGCTCTGACTTGGCATAAAAAAAAACTAAACAAAAAGATGATTATCTGATCAGGGTTTCTCCTGAGAACACCTTGGCTGAAAAGGGGCAGAGGTGAAGGGGTCATCCAGAGATTTTCCTCCTATGGTCCAGGAATGCAGAGGCCCCACGGCCACAGAGCCCACGGCGGCCTGCTGACCGATCCTGGACACCACCCGGTGCACGGCCACGGGCTGCTGGAGCGCAGGCGCCTCCGCTCCCAAACTGTATCGCTGCAGGGCCGGAGGAGGCCAGGCCTTGACCGAGTGGCCCTGCCGGCTGTTTTGGATGAGCTGTGCGCTCGGCTTTATTACGGGAGCGTTTGTAGGGGCAGCGGGAGCGGTTTCCCGTCTCTTTCCGAACGGTGCTTGGAGGAAAACGTCGGACGCCTCGGCTGGTTTATGAGATGAGGAGAAGGAGGCGCTCCTGAATGCCATCCTGTTTAGTTTCTCCGGCGTTTTAAAGGGTGCCAGCTGGAAGACATCAGACGCAATTGGGCTGTTTGGGGGCAGCGACTGGGACTCTTTGTTAACCGGTGTGAAATGAAAGCGGGAGCAAGCCGTCTGTGCTGGGTGGTGGAGCATGGCCTGCGCGCCTGGCGACAACATGTGTTTATCAGAGACACACGCACTGGTCTTCTGCTGGATCCCGGGCCTTTGTTTGTCTTCAGCAACGAGCACCGGGGATGCTCCGAGCTCCCTCTGCAGGTCTGTGAGTGGAAGAGATGGGAAACGGTCAGATTTAGAGAAAAACTGTTGGATGCCCACGTGACATTAGCCTGAATTTGTTGCGCTTTAAGTGACGTTGAATAGAAAGTTGGATCTTTCACTGACAAATTCAAGCAGACAGGAATCTGCGTGCCAGAAAAAAAAAAAGCCTGTTTACCTTTGGTGACCAAACCATTGTGACACAAGTCTTCTTTATAATCTTTAAATAGTAAGATTTTATCTTCATCTGTAAATACAAATTCTGAATAATCAGGCAACATTGGCCTTTGGCTTAAATTCAAGCTGAAACAGATATCTGCACAGAGGGATATTTGCACACTAAATGTGCCTGTCTATTATCTCTGGTCAACAAATCAACAGGAGGAACAATAGAAAGAGAGAGATGACATTATCAAATAATTTAGCCCCATGGTAATCCTTTTCTTTAACATATTCAAAAGCATGAACGCCTCTCTCTGATGCGCCTTCATTCCCAGTTTTTTTCACTGATGCACTGAAAATTGATGCAATTAGTAGGTGGATTTTTTTTTGTGGATGGCAGATACTCAGCTTTGAAGCTTAAGCTTTGAAGTACAGGTCCTCTTGCAGAACTTTCCACACATCTCTGGTCACAAACAGTTTATTATGGATCAGACTGCCTGCATGAAAAGTTCTTTAAAAAGTGGAATGTATCATTCAATATAAATTCATACGAGTCATATGTTTTTTTCTTTACAATAAAAAAAAAAGACTTGAACTCAAATCCGTTTGAAACTTTTAACTGAAAATAAACTCAGAATCAATACGCAACACGTTGACATTCACATTTGTACTTTATTTGCCATCCCTTTATAATTCTTAAGTTATCTCACAAAAATAGAAGGAGCACACAATGTCACAGCTCTGACGTAGGTTTGGGCAATAAAGACAGGAGGCGTCTCAATACACTAGATACTATCAGATAGATTCGCTTTGATTTTTGGCAAAACAACAAAGAAAACGAGGGGTTTCTGTTTTACATGAGTTAATCGTCTTGCTTGGCTTTACTGATCACAACAGCACGCTGGCGGTTACAGGGAGAAAACTTGTGAGTTGCATAGGTTCAAACAGTGACTGCAAACGACTACGCTGCTCGGTGGAAGGACCAGAAACTGGATGAGCCTTCAGTTTGCGCATGCAGCAGCTGCAGTAAATACACACCAAAGAGGCTTTGAAAGATGGCTTCCTCTAGATTTTTATTCTGGACAATAAGATTTTCACATTCAAAATTTAGGTTGTGTCCGATTTTCTAAAAACAAAAACAAACACTCAACACTGGGGCAGATAAGTGGTGCTGAAACTAAATGAAAGTAAATTTGGTAATTACTGTGAAGTAACTGGAATAGATTATCAATTGTAATCCTTTTTTTCCCCATCAGATTTTACCTATATTTTCAGTGTGTTTTGCAACCTTGACCCAATCTTTATTAAACACACTGAGCTCTCTGCACTCTCTGAAAATAAAAACTATACCTCAACATATCCCAAAATGTCCAATTGAGTGTTTTCAGTAGATTACCCAGAAATGGGACTACTTTTCAAAGTCCTTTCCCCTAACACCACAAAATGGCAGGCGAAGGAAGCCATTCCGTTGTAATCATGCACAGGAAGCGAAATGCCTTAGTTTGACCCTACAGAAACTTCTACGGCGTATTGCTGACAGGAGCTGGTCTTCTTTTAACTGTCAGAAGCTGAGGTGATGCAGCGTTCTAGTTCAGACCACGGCCACCGCACACCTCACAGAGCCCCTCGCACAAGAAATACCCGACGATTCAGTGAAAGTAATATTAAACGCAGGCGTCTACAGGACGTGACACTGGGGAGCAGTAAGTCAGTGCTGTCTGCATCCAGCTGTCCAGACGAGGGATGCTGCTCTGACTACCTGAGACAGTTCAGGGGGCGGGGGGGGTGGGGCGGGGCTGTGCTTTCAGAGGAGATTTCAAAGACGACCTGACTGTAGCCATACGCGCAGCGGACGACGACACAAGAAGGCTACCGGAGAACACATCCAACAATATGGACTCCACACACGCACACTTATCAGAACACGGAGCACCAACGCACGTGAACAGAACATTCAACAATACTGCCATGCTTTTTGATATGAATCCTGTGATGGCTCCAGCCGTTTGGATGAAACGGGACTAAGACCGAAACCATTCAGCTCCAACTTGTTTGAAAATAGAATCCTTCACCAGTCAATGTAAACAAATAAAACAGCGGCTCACTTTTCTTTTTTTTTTTTTCTGTCCACAAAGTTGGAATAAAACATGGTATAAGTCCTAATCTTTCAGGTTGGACAAAAACTTATCATCATCATCATTATCATCATCATCTATACATCTTAATGTACTGACAGTTACTGAATAGATATAACCAAGAAAAAAAACTCTTAGCACACAATTCCACACAGAGGAATGAAATATTTGTATATTTTTCAATATTATTGAATGATTATGATGTTAAGAATCATAGATTTTATTATAGACTAATATTTATTTCTTACATTCATTCTCTAACACTCTATTTATATTAACATGTATTAACAGGAAAACAATGTCATATATATGACATGTCAGATTCACAAGTAAAGCAATAGGTCATCCACAAGTAAAGCTTGATTCATATATATATGTTCTGGATAAGAGGCTGCAGGGTAGTTGCAGATATCTATTTACATAAATTAGGTAAACAAATGACAGGAATGTTGAGGGGATCGAACAATGTGAAAGGAATGCGTTCATGTATGAAAGAAAAGTGTGTGAGAATATACATATATATGTATGTATATGTATATATACATATATATATATATATACATATCTGTGTGTGTACATAGCTACTGTGCACTGTCTTCTATTTTCTATTACTATTGTTTAATCAAATTATTTTCATGATTTCATGCATTTCTATGAGTAATGGCACGCTGTTATCAACACACTTAAATGACCCTGGTTTCTGGTTGAACTCCAACACAACATTTTGCTTGCCTTTAGTGAAATAAGTCCAATAATTAGGCTCAAAACAACTGCAGTGAGGAGCTGTTGCCTCGGAGGTGTAATCTGTTTGTTTTTCTGCTGCTGCTTAGCGGATACACTACCAGAGACACACCAGTTGTCTTCTCAGACTGCTTTATGGCACATTAGCGTTTGGTGTTTAGGGCTGTTCCGTTTTCGGAATTGTGACTCGGCTTGATGCTTTCAAGTTAAGTCGACAGCGGCTGCAGCAGCTCTCACAGAGGTAACGTTTATGCATCTATCCAAATCAGGCTAAATGACTTCGCCTACAGAAATAAACCTCATCTCAGGAAGCGGCCATTGGACTTTTCCACCTTTTTGTCTTTAAAATGTGCAAATAAATTGAGGGAGGAGAATTTAAAAAGGCAAATGACTACAAATTCACTTGTGCACGATAACTACAACCACTTAGAACTATGCCTATTATACATTACAACAATGATCCTCTAATGTTTACTATTAGACATACTGCAGTATTATTCAAACAAACTGGATAGATAGGTTTTTATCCCGATTGACAGAAAAGATATCACAATTCTTTTTTTTGAAAGACTAATGATGGCGTTTCCCTAATGTGATGGGTGGAGATGGCGAAAAACAGAAAACCCGAGCGTGAGGATGAGAGAATGGAGAGAACGAGAGAAGGCAGATCACGGGGTCGATGAAGTAGAAAGCAGGAATGAAGAAGCGCTGACAGGTGAATGACGTTTCTACTGTCGGAACTATCATGATGACAGCCAGGGGGATGCAGGGAGCTAGCTAGGACAACAGTGTTGATTGTTGCTATGCTATGGCGGGCTATAATCCAGAGTTACAGCTTCTATCAGGGGGATGGGCCGCCTACAGGTCGATGAGCTGGTCCACCAGCAGCAGGGAGCGAGCCAAGTTGGGCAGACTGGATTCAGAGCCACCACTGTTACTGCGCGAGTGGCCTCCTGAAACTGGCCAGGGAGAGAGAGAGGGAGGGCAGGGGGCGAGACGAGTACAGGCAAACACAGGGGAGGAGAGGCAGAGGAGTGGGAGTCACAACAAGCAAACAAAGCAGTCAAAGAGGAGGGAAGAGGTCAAGAGAGAAAGAAGTCACCCATTTAAGGCTACAGCTTTTCAAACACGTTCTGAAAACAGGATAAGTACCTGATCATTTCGTTAGATTTCATTCCAACAAATGCTAATTGTAGAGAAGCCCCCAAAACCCACACAATTATTGGGTGTGTCTTAACTGTTCCTATCAGAGATTTTAAAGACCTACCTTGGGAATTCTTTCTGCCCGTGACGGGAATAGGATCAAACTCATCTTCTTCTGTGGCCGCCTCTGCGCTGGCCTGCTGCGGCTCAAAGTCCGAAATCAGGAGAGACGAGTCTGCAGGAAACAAAATAAATGTTGTTTGATGATGTGAGAAGATAAAAGGGAAAAGGGAAATTGTGGGCACCTAGAAGGATGATAACTTTCATTGTAGCATTTTTATGTTTCTTAACATGAACTATAAGCTATAATAAAAGCTGTGGGATTTCCTTCCTCCAGATGATAAAAATGCACATAAACCAATCATTTGTGCCAAGTCAGTAGACCAGTGAAGACCGACTGTGAGTCTTTTTTTTAACAGTGGTGGAATGCTCCTGATGCCACCCAGTGGTTGAAATGTGTAACTAGACACATAGTTTAGTCTTTCACAGGTCCAAGCGGACCACAAATAAAATCTAAACTGAGGAAGGATTTGGCACTTTGGTTTAATCTGCAGTCTGTCTACGTGTTCCCTGAGTGTGATCAGAGCTGCCTGATGGACAGATTTGAAAAGAAAGGGGGTCAGTCAATTTGACGATCAAACTCTGAGAAGGATGACCTCGTGCTAATGGCTCCCCACGGAAAACTACATGCTTCTAGTTTCAAGTAAACAGCATTGAATTAAGATGTCAATTCATGCCATGATGGAATGAGTGCAGGCCAAAGCAAATCCACTGTGACACATTCACCACTCTGGTCAACTGCTCTTGTCTCATCATTATTGTGCTGTTTTTCCTAATTGTGTAATTTCAGCTGCATTTCTTTGTCAGTGTCTGTTATCCATCAGTCATCGGTCTTACCATGGCATAGCTGACAGGAATAAAACAAAAAATGTCCAACAGATTGTCCTGTACAGTAAAACTTTGTTAATTTAGTCTTTGCTTCTTTTTCAGTGTTTGGTACTGGAGGTCCTCCTTTTGAGGCCGGTCTATTAGAGCCCAGGTTGGTAAAAGAAATCAGCTCCTCATAATTCTGACTGAGCTATTTCTGTAAGTCTCTTTTAACGTTACCTCCTTTAGACTGCACAGAGTCTCCAGACAAAATGCTGAAATCATCCAGAGCGGAGGTGGGAGCCGAGGAAGTGGCACTGCTGACTGCCACGGGAGCAGGAGGACCAGACATCAGAGAGCAGCCCAGGAGGGACTCCTCTGTGGTCAGAGGGTCTGCGACAGGTCAGGAAAAGCCAAACAGGCAGGTTTTACACACTAACATTGTTCACTATTATAGAACATACAGTTCAGTAAAACCTATCATACATCACAGTGAAAGAAAAGAAAACACAAAGCTGTAAGTCTTCCTGTATACCATAATCCATCTCACGACTTGCTGTGTGTTTTTTCTTTAAACTTATACTAGCTCAGATCAATGTCAACAAGCTGTCATTCATATTTGGCCACATAAGGGCAGCAGAGGCCAACTGCAGACAGAGCACCCTTAACTGAAACAGTAACTTAAACAATGAACTATTCCATTTGTAAATACTCCCGGGCAGCAGATAATATCTGTTGGCTCAAGTAAACCTCTCACGGGGTTCAATGACAGACTATTAATGTAAAACTCTAGCCAGTGATAGGAAAGTTTGCACATACCACAGGGGGTTTTCTACTGGCTCATACAGAGAGCAGTCTGAACACAGACAGACTTTCCACCCACACAGAAAAGAAAGCGTTCAAAACCCAAACACACACAAAACCGTGTACCTTTTGCAGACTCTTCGACGGAACCGCCAAAAGGATCAGACAATGAAAGCAGGTCGGGAAGCATAAGAGAGGACGTGTCAGGCGATTTGAGTCCTTCGATCAGCTTCTCTGTAGATCAAGCGAGAATGAGAGAAAGTGAGGGGTGATGTGTGTGTAAGTCGAGTAAAAATGCTGTTTCAACTGTGTTAGTGTTCACAGCCACATGGCTCCACACAGACTATGAACATCGATTGAAACTGACTGCTGAACATGTTCCTAAAAAAAACTTTTTCTATGTTTTTGTTAGACGGTAAAGGAAGTTTTCCATGGCTGGTGTGATGGCGTGTTTAGATGAAATAACACAAGCAATATTTTTTGCATAGGTGGATGGATGGCATATTTCTGTCCTCAGCATAAAAAAAGGATTATACACAGGTTTAGTTATACATGCTGTTTTAACCAGTGGAGAACATGCTATATTTACCTGGAGCATCTGACATTTCGAGGGTATTGAACGGATCTGGGACAGCCAGCAGAGAGGCTCCTGATTCCAGAATCGCAGATGGCCGTTCAACTGAAAAGCAGAAGTAGTGAAAGTGAGGAACAATTTGTGATGAACACAAGTGTTTGTAATAAAACTGTTCATCTTAACGCAGTTGATCTGGCTCCAAATAATCTAATTATGGTTGTTATGCTGTTTTTAAGATAAATTCACTCTCTCTGATTACTGCGGGTGGCCCTGTTGTCAAAGAGCCAGCCTGAGAGGGCACTTAGTGTTAATTCAGGTATTTTGTCCTCATTTGTCTATGCAGGAGGCTACGTGCTTTGCGTAAAAAAAGTTTTGCAGTTAGTTTAGCTTCATTAATCTGTTTTTCATTCATCTCAACTATGGCTCATTTTTTGGTTAATTAGATTAAAGTCTACTATTTGAAATAAATATGGAAACAAATTAGCCTCATAAAGGGAGTTGCGTTCAAAAAGGCCAGACAGCCATTGTTACTTGTGAACAATCCCCCACACTAGAATTGACTGCCATGTCTTTCCAAAGCTAAATAAAGCCATCAGATTAATGGATCAGGCATATTAAGAGGTTTACTTCACCAGTTTGAAAATTCCATTCAGCTCACACTCCTCACATGCTACGAGGTATCATACAATATCAGAACAGTGGTAAAGAATTATATAGGAAGGCTTTTTTTTCCTTCTTTTTATGTCAGGACACCAAAACTTAAAGGTGAAATTATGTGTAATCATTTTATATTTTGTTTTTAATAAAGTAGCTCGTCTTATTTGTGAGATATACAGTAATTGTTTGTATAGATGCTTCTTTAATATAGATTAAGTTTGGATTAATGGATTAAATCAATTGTTTCCAGTTTGTGTGTGCTGTGGTGACAATTGGGCATCTTATATAAAAAATACAATACACATCCTACACTGGCAGCCATGTTTGCTGATAAGCATGCGTTTTTATGTCTATATGGAATCAAAACCGATTGGGCAATTTTGGGGCGATCGCTTAATGTCAGTCCACAAACACAATATCCTGTTGAGAGTTTAGAGACTGCTTTAGCCCACTCCATCTCAACCTCTGCTGAAGCTCTGACCTCCAAGTTATTAGCGCAGACGTTGGGGACTGCTGATAAGATGTATGACTTTAGTTTGTAATGTTCAAATGCAACACACCAGTTTCTTGGGTGGTATTTTCCACAGCTGAGGCCAGTAGACCAGGTATGAGCTCCTCACAGGGTTTTGCATCAGTATCTGGTGGTAGGTCTGGCAAACAAAAAATACCGGTTACCTTTTTATTTTTTCTTTCAACGTCAAATTTAAAAATATGGTAACAGCATGGTTGACAATTCTTTAAAAATTCAAACAAATATTACCATTAGCTTTTTTGTCATCAGGTTTGAACTCCGCGGCGGCGAGGTTGGAAAAGTTGTCGTCATCAAATGGATTCCACGCCGACTGAGTGGGGGTGTCTGTGGGAGCAACAGTGGGGGCTTTGCTCTGGTCTGTTGGGTCACTAAGACTGAGCTGACCAGGATGGACGGCGCTTGGCTGAGATGTAAGCGATCTACAAGTGAAACAACAATACATACGGATCAGGAAAAAATACACAAAAACATCGTCCCGATTCCTTGCTCCGGTAAAATGTCACTTACGGACAGACGGCAGCCTCTCCATTGGTTCCTGGCGGCTGCTGTGAGGAGTCACCGCCCGGAACGGCGGCTACAGCGCTCGCTGCGTCACTCGCTGTGCGTTGGTGGCCTCGTTCCTCAGCCGCCTTTGGAGTGGCAGGAGGAGTCTGGTCAAAAGAGGCACGGGCTTAGAATCAAGCCAAAATGGCAAAAGACTGAACAAATTGTGTTCATGTGAAGGTTTAGAAAATAAAGCAGCACTGTTTTTAGCCAAAAAGAAACAAAAATGTTACAATGAACAGATGGAAACCAAGCGTGAGTCTACCAGGCTGAGCAGCTCAAACTTAGCAACATAAAAGGGAAAGTTCAATAAACACTGCTGATGGCTCTGTCTCTTCGGTGCTCACTAAAATCAGGGCTTCTTACTGTGTCAGCTGTCTTTTGGCTCATGTCAGCGGAGGCAGGCTGAGCATGTGCAGCTGGAGGTTGACTCATCTGCTGCGGAGCGGCTCCCGGCTGACCAGATGCCTGTTTAATGGGAGAGGACGGGGCCTCCGGCTGATAAGGCTGGTTAGCTTGCTTGCGACGCGCCGGGCGCTGAGGTGGTGCTGGGCTGGATGGGGTCTGTGCCCCCTGCTGGGGGGTGGAGCTGCCCGCAGAGGGAGGGGCAGCCTGCTGCTGGGCTGTTGGCTGTGCTTGTGGGGGTGCGTCGGCTTTGGCCGCTGGCGGGGCCGCTGATGCTGCCGTCTCCGCTCCAGCAGCTGCAGCTTGCTGCATAACCTGTCACACCAAAATATGTTACACACTCCGATGTCTGATTACCCACTCATCACCTAAATGCTGCAATGCATCAGTACAGAATGTGCTTCACATTTTTGTGGATGAAAAGTAGAAAATTCCCTCAGAAAGCCAGAATTCAAATACCTGTTTTTTCCATTTAAAACCAAGGGGAAAAATGCACTCCAGGTTTTACAAAAAATTTGCAAATAAATAACTGACATTACAAGAAATCTGTACCTGCTTTGGCGGAGTGGCAGACTGACTCGTAGTGTTTTGTGTCTGGATGAACGGCTGAGCTGACGCCTGTGCCTTCTGTGACTGCAGGGCTACAGCTGGCTGGGAGAGGTCTAAGCTGACTCCTGCAGGATGGTAAACAGGGCACAGACAACACAATCAGCAGCATGGATATGATTTACAAAAGCAGTTTTTACATGAAGCCACATAAACCACAGAATTTCTTTTCAAATATGTCCAAAATAATAATACAATCTGCTAAATACTAAAGTCTCATGGTGATTTATAGCAGGCACAGAAACAGATATCACCTGAATACGTGATGCAGAGTGAAAAACATTGTTAAAAATTCAGAATCCTTTCAGTTTAATCTGCATCTTTACTTCCATACTTGATCTGACCTTGCACTCATTCTGCTGTACTTTCTTTTTCCAGACACAGAAAGAAGAAAAATGACCGTGTTGGTACATACCCACTGGCTGAGCTGCACCACCAGGGAGATTAGCTCTCTTGCGAGGAGTGAGAGCAGCCGGTTGGATGGGTAGGATGCCAGCAGCAGGTTGGGTGTGCACCGCTTTAGGTCTCTGGCGTGGGGTGATGGAGGTTTCAGTGGTGGGAATAGGATCTGTCAATCTGAGAGAAAAGGATTAAAGATTATTAATTACAGTGATCAGTGTAATTCTGGCCGTAGCCGGTAACCCGAAAGACATTTCAACATGATTGGAAGCATGCGTTCTGTGCTTGCCTGGGCTTTGCCTGGCTCTTCTTTGCTGCTGCAGCCTCACTTGCTTTGACTGGCTCGGGAAGTTTTGAAGGAATTGGAGAATTCTGGTTTAGGAGGAAAATAATTAATTTAGACAAAGATACCTGTGAATAATGTCAGGATGAAACAACTGATGTTGAAAAGTAATCCTATCGCCGGTCACTTTCTAAAAGAATACCGCCATGATTACAGGACATTTCTGCTGCATGCATCTATGGAGCAGAGCACACTCTAACTGAGGTGTCGGTGTAGGTCAAGCAGAAAGACTTTAGCAGGGAGAGAGTCAAATAGAAACTGAATATTTTAGAAGCCACTTAAGTTAAGAGACTGACCTTCACATTCTGAACAGAACAGGTCCTCTGGGCAAGTTTGAAAGCAAAGAAAGACACCTGGTAGATGTCAGGCCTCTTGTCTGGGTCAGGCTCCAGCATATATCCTGAAAAACGGTCATTAAGAGCAGGTCTGAACATCTTGCATAAAGAAACACGAACAAATAATAAACTTCATGAGCGGAAGTGAATTTGAAATAGATGAAAAGAACGTTTAATATTCAACGTGTACTGACGAATTAGGCAGTGCAGGTCGTAAGAGTAACGGGAATTGTCTGGAATGGTGAAACTGCCATCACAGATGGCCACCTGGCTTTCACCAAAGGGAAGAGTGAAGAAGCACAACTTGTACAGCAAACAGCCCAGTGCCTGGAGAGGACAACCACATGCACACCCCATCAAAGAGCAGAAGGAAAGAGGATTACCACTCACAAGAAACACCTTCCCCCATATAAAGATGAAATTAGATTACGATGCTGTGTCATAAGGTGACAGATACTCAGCTCGTCTTCAGGCTTTGAATTATTGTCTCTTCAAGAGGTTTATTTTATGAAAGGCTGTAATGTTTCAGCTGTGATCATGCATCACTGTCCTTGTTGTGTTGCATCACTAACCCAGACGTCGGCCTTGGTGGTGATAATCTTGTTGTTGTACAGGTTCACCATTTCTGGAGCACGATATGATAAAGTGGTGTACCTAAAAGAGGATTGAGAAGAAGAAAAATACGAAGAATGTTGCTGAAACAAAGATAAAAAACTAAACACTGTTACATGCTTAGAAAAGTGTCTGATAGCAGTTATTACATAGTCATTTAAGAAACAAATCCTACCTTGTAAAACACACACATTCAGTTTCCCATAATATTTTAACCAGTAAAGTCAAGTTTAAATGTTTAAAAAATAATGGCTGTAATTCAAACATAAAGGTGAGGAAAAGAGGCACCAACTTTTTGATCTCTTCCTCCACTACAGCCACTCCTTCAGTCTGAGGGCTCTGGAACTTGTTTGTGGCGCTGCCAAAGTCACACAGCACATAATGCCCCTTGTCGTGCAACAGGATGTTTTCCACCTGGAGACGCACAAGAAACAGCTCTTACACACAGGCTAAGCTGCTTTGTTTGGGGACTGTGTGACGCCTAACACAAACAGAACCAATGTACCTCTACTATTTGGCACAGACATTAAACCCCCCCATTCTGCTTCCATGCTGCTCTAACACAAATGCTTCATTTTTTTTTTTACATTCCTTTGTTAAAAACCAAGAAATATACATTGTATGAAGTCAAGTTTCTTTATGCATTAAAACCTTAATTGATGCACGTGAGCAGTTCTCTATGCAGAAAGTGAAGGTTTTCCAGGAAACAACTTACATTCTACTCTACCTACTGCCAGACCAATGCATTATTAAACACAGCTTCCTCCCACATACCAATCATGATTCTTCAAAAGATGATCTACAGTGGACTTTACCGCATAATAGGTTTAAAAAGCGAAGGCAGACACAGCAGATTGTGGCTGTAAAGAAAAACTGATTTCACAGCTCTGCAAATGATCAGAGAGACACTCGAGTTTGTACAAACAAGAATCACAGTAATCCTCTTAAATAGCAGCACAATATTTTTTGCCAGCGTGCAAAAAAAAAAAATGGAGGAAAAGCAGGTCGATGCGATTTTAGACGAGGCGTAAGAGGGCAAAGAATGTCACCTTTAGGTCTCTGTGGATGATGGGCGCCTTGCGCTGATGTAAGCGAGACACAGCGTCACATGTGTCACAGAAGATCTGCAGCACCTCCAACTCTGTGAAGCCAGTCTGCAACCTCTGGTTCATCAGGTTGACCACCTGGCCTCCTAAAAATGGTATTCAAGCATACGAAAACTAATTAGCTTCCGACGTAGAAACAGCAGATCCACAGACATTCAAATAGTAAAAGCACAACCTGGGTTCAGTATTGTTTTAATATTAAAAGCATGTGGTTGGAGTGCCATTCACCTTCACTTTCAGCACTCACCCTTGCAGTAGTCCATTAGTATGAGAACCTCCCATACATCCCTTGAGCCCATAGCTGTGACACTTGAGTCCAGATACCCGACAATATTCTTGTGGCCGACAAGATCTTTCTGCAAGAACATGCACACACACTAATCATTAACACGCCTATACACACTAAGCTTCTGCCAAACAGGAAAATGTAAATAAGCTGCTACAAACAAGCCACATCCTGCGTTGTGCATTCCTGTCTTTCTTTGAAACTAGACCTAACATTTACAATTATTGCAGAAAAATCAGACGAAGAGAAACGGTAGGAATTTCTCAATTTCCTGAAAAAAATCATTCGATCTGGTCAGTTGCAGTATGAGGCCATGTCCTGCGGAGGGAGCTACGATGGGGAGCAAGTTCAAAATCAGGAATCTATTAGGTAATGAAAAAATGTCAAGTTCTGTGGCTGAGGTGAAGCCTTGCCCTTCTGTCTGTGTGCGTGTGTGGGTTGAAGAGAGGAAGCAAAACTAAGCGCAGATGGAATGAAAAGAGTCTGAAGTTAGAAGCATAAAACTAGGCCGCCAACAACACACACAGTAGTGTTAAATGTTTTCTGAATGATACAATCTGCCTTGTTTGGAATCTGAACATCCATTGCTTCCTTCCTTCCTGCTTGTTCCGTCACACAGGGAGGGAAACGACTTTTCCAAGACTCTAAACTTAGCCGAGACGGAAAGGCTTCAAAATATATAAACAGTCATATATAGATATATATACATATATGTGTTTATATTTTCTATTTATCACAAGGATGTGGCATGTGTTTATAATAAATTTGAGGCAGAAATTATCAAACATGTTATTTTACATTGCTAAACATACCGTCTTGAACAATACTGTGTCAAAAGCCAAAAGAGTCACAATTAGAGCATCAAATTCAGTGTTTTTCCAACGCAGTGCCAACAGACACTTCATCAGAGCTGCATTTTTCTTTAAAAATTCATGTTGATACGAGACATGCCATGTAAGACAACACTATAAGAACACAGAAGAACACAGAATCTGATTAAAACATTTAGTGCAACAATCTAAACATCCCAACTGCAGGCTGCAGTTGGAGTCTGGACAGAAGGAGATATTTCGGGTATGTCATTTTCTTCCAAAATACTTTTGTTGTGCAGCTTCCTTCATATGCGGCTTCACCCAGCCGGCTGAACCACAGGAGCGCAGACTCTGAACCGGCAGAGAAATGCTGACTCTCCATAACTCACCATTATTTGAATCTCTCTTTTGCAGACCTGCAGGTCATGCTCGTTGTTGACATACATCCTCTTCAACGCACAACGCACCCCCTGGTTTGTTTTTACGAGGAACACGATTGCAAAACCACCTGCAGGAATAAAAAAAATAAAAGAGGAGCCGTCAGTCAGACAGGACCAGTCGCATAACATTTTAAAACGAAACAATCAGACACCGGCGAGCCTCTAAAACGGCACTGCTATTGCAAGCTTTTTCTGCGGCACTGTGAGTTTTGCCAACTTAGCGGACAAGCTATGTTTTGGTCCCCGTCATTACTTCAACAACTGTTGCAGTCTGTCGCTGCAGCCTTCCATCAATCCGGAGGATCAGGACCACATGGTGCTGCCTCATAGCGTTATCTATTAGTCATGTCACTGCTGCGGGGTTTACGTAGAGGCCTACATCGGGGCCCGACCATCTGGTATTGCTCAGACCACAAACTGTAACTGTGACAAAGTGGGCTCTTTCAGACGGCCTGAACTTGGCTCACGGTACTGATATTGGACAGCAACGGGGCCCTGTGCAAAGTAAGCTTTGATGCACAATTTTGAGTCGACAAGTGCGTTCTAATTGCTCTGGTGTGCAACGTGGTCTTAGCCTAAATAGACCCAGGCCACTTAGAGGTTTTTGCCCAGCGTGCAATCTGACACAAATGATTATGGGCAGAAATGCTACAGTCACTTCTGTGGCAGGTGCAGAACAGCGCGCCGTCGGGGATGCCTCGGCTCGATCTGCACAGCTGGATTTTCTTGTTCAAGTAAAATGCTGAGCCACATTTCTGAACATGAAATCATTCCAAAGGTATCTTGTCTTTAGTTCGAATGCAGCCTTCATCCTGTTACAGTTTGGCCTCTGCTCCTGCGTCATTTCTATCCGTAAGGGTGAGTCTTGATCATTTTGCTACCACTACTTGTTATAGAAAATGATGGTATCAACTGTAAACATTAATTACAAAAGGATAAGGCAACAGCCTGGCGCCAGGAAGTCCCAATCTCCTTGAATCACATTTCTGGGGCATGATGGCAGGCCAGAAAACGGTGTTGTTAGTGAGGGCTTGGTTGAAGGAAAGTGGTGGGCCTGTGAGTTGCACTGATGTAAAGCTACCACATGCTCTAAAGGGAAGGGGGGTGGGGGTGGGGGGGGTAAGGCTGCACCTCTGTGCTGTCAGTTTGGCTGGATTGAGCATGAGGGGCACACATCAGGCGGACACGCATGAAGGGAGAGACCAGGGCAGAGCAATGGCATCGTGTGTGTGTGTGTGTGTGTGTGTGAGCCTCTCTCACCTTCGGCGATGATCTCCTCCACGGTGACCTGGTGCCGCCCGACGCTGAACGCTCGGCCAATGAAATTCCCGCCTGCATGGCTGGACCCGGAGCTGCTGCCTCCTCCTCCAGAACCAGGCCCGGAGCTGACCAACTCCCGGCGCGAATCAAAGAACTTCCTCATCTTGTCCAAATGACAAGGAGGAGAGAAAATATATATATATACTCGGCTCGAGTCTCTCACACGGCGGTGAGATGCCGTTTGCTGTGGTGATATTTAATGTAAACCTAACGAGTTTGAGTCTGTGCGGTGTGTAGGTTGCCTCTGCCACTTACGTGGACGTTGAGATAACCCCTGATTTAGGTGGAAAATGTCTCCATTTGCTTGCGAACACAAGCCAGTCGGTGATGGTTAGAGCGGTTATGTAAGTGATTTACACTCGCCGGGAGGTTAAAGCATCTCCGGAGAAAGTGTGTCTGTAACTAGCCGTCCAGCTGTTTGTGGTCGGCTGCGGCGGCTGCTGATGAAAAATAAAAAAATAAAAAACCAGGTCCATCTCCATCTCTTCCAGCCATTATCGAGCTAGCTCAGTGCTAGCTACTTACGCGCTATGACATTTCGTGTAAGGTTATCCTCTGAAGATGATGGATTCTTGAGCGATGTAACCGACGTAGAACTTGCGAGTTAGTTTTACCTGATAATCTGTTTCCATCCTCAATAGAGGGGATCGACCGTTGTTTGCCTCATAGCTAGCAGTCCGTGTGGCTATTTAATTGCACCCATTTACGATAGAACTGTGATTTTAGTCAGCTAACGTTCTCGCGCGATGCAGCCCAAACAGGCGTCGAGTCGTCAGAATGCTAAAGTCTCTTTCTGCTGCAAAAAGAAAAATGTCACCACGGAATCTGACATCCACCAAAAACATTCGAGCGAGGTTTCAACCCAGCTGTGTAATCTCTGCAACCACAGCAATCTTTGGCTGCCAGCGAAATCGCAACATCCTAGCTGTTGCTGTTGACGCACGGACGGAATTCTGGGTGATGTAGTTCTACGTTGCCCTCCTCCCATTTTTGGTGAGGTCAGATGTGACGTTCACATCACGTCGCTTAATTCGTTTATGCGTGCATGAAACGGCTATATGAATTTGGTGTCGTGATTCTCATGGTTGCTTTCTTCGCCATGCTTGACAGAATAAAAAAGATTCCAAGCTTAATCTTGCCTTTCATTTCGGAAGTGTCTAGGTTTTATATCAGTAGACATTCAGTGTCTCATTAAGGTTTGAATGTGTCATCTATTAATTTATTGGTTTTAATTTAGCCTGCCAGATTTGGGAAATGTGTCCAGTTTAAGTATTTATTCGTGAGTTTGTCTTTTTTCCTTTATCACAATGAAGTACAACATGGAAGTGAGGATGCATGCACTTCTGGGTAATGTGGTAAAAACAACAGTTTGTATAAAATAATATGCTTATCTTTTATCAGCTGGAATTTCCAACAGTTTTGACATCAGACATAACTATGAAAAATGTTTTTGCTATCAATATTTTAGAAACCACTCTCTCTAAATAATTATATTTGATATTATATTTTACTATTTAAGGAAATAAAGATACCGTAATTCTAAGATAAACAGCTCCTATGTGAAAATAAATCAGCACTTTGCTTTGATACAATATTTTTCACAGTACATCTTTTCACTTGACCTTTTCTCTTGCATACAAATTTTTATTTTGATAGTGGTATGTTAATAGTTATGACGTTGCATTTTTTCATTCAACTTCCACATACACATCAGTTTATGTTAAACTCAAACACATCTAACTTTAGAGATGTAAATTCACAAAAGAAATTAAAAAGAAATCAGAATCTTCACATATGTTTTACTTCTGAAAGATTAGCTCCCTAAGGGGCCTTTAAATAACCAGTCCTGCAACTAATTTGTTGCCATTTTACTCTATTTATTTTCAAATGTTTTGCTGTTCGTTAAAGCTAACTTTTTTTTTTGCTTTGGTCAAACTTTTGTGACACTTTGACAGCTTTGAATGCAAGTTTTCTCAATTTCCCAGTCAGCCTTGTGTTCCCTGAACGCACCTTCATTTAGGCAAGCACTCTGCCGTGCACGAGAAAAGGAGGGTCCTGAAAATACAAGCATCCTAGAACCAGAAGAAGTGGGTGGGACCTAGGTGCAGCCGTAGGTAGAAGCAACGGTGAGTCGGCGCTGGAACTTTACTCTGTCCTTTTGCTTTCAGACTCGGTAGAAAGTCGTCGGTTAAGGTAAGGGGAGGCTTTATTCCGCCCTTTATCGTGTTTTGGTGTGCTTGTTGGAGTGGAGCCCATACGTTTCTTTCCGTAGGGTGTGTCCGCTAACTTTAACCCGAGTTAACTGTCAAGAGACCTGCTTCCTGAAGTGCTTTCGTTGCGGCTCAGACCTTTTTGCGTCTATATATTACAATTCCGCGGTTTTGCTAAACTAGGTTAAGCTGTTATAAAGTCTCGTTACTCTTTTATTACTATTGCCTAATCGTCAGTAAACTTGCTGACGTTACAGGTTTATGATCCAATCATTTGAAAGCAGGAATACGGATCACGATAGTTCAAGTTTAAATAACAAAAGTTACTCCGTTTCAACGCCTTCGTAAACGTTCGTCGTGAAAATGATATTTACCCAAAACACATTAGCATGACTTTGAATACACATAGTCTGTATAGCCTCAAACTATTTGCCTTGCAAATAACAAGCAGTTTGTGGCCATGAAACATATGAAACGCGTCTCACGCAAACAGCACAGAAGGTGTCACGTGGCCAACGAAGTGTGTGTAGAGACCACACACTCTTTGTGTACATCACAATCCATTCAGGTGTGGCAATTTTCAGAAATCTGACCTGTGTGTAAAAAAAAAAAACCTTTGGAAACTTGGAGCAGGGGTTCTGCTTTTGTCTTAATTTTTAGTCTTCTCATCTTCTAAATTGCCCAGTTGAGGCTTTCCATGTTGTAATTAGCTGAATGGTTTTTGAGGGATGGCTCTAATGGTCCCATCGGTGGGGCGGTAGCTCCCTGCAGACGGGGATAGCAGTGCCAGTTGTACCTTGTTTTGCTTCTTCTCAGTGCAGTAATTAAGGCTGATTTGCTCCTGGAACACCAGCAAGAGAGACGCAAGAGAGCCAAAGGACAAATGAGTGTGATGGAAGCCCTCTTTGAGATAATGATGTAGATCAAATATTGATGGAAGGTTAAAGAGGGCTACACTGAAATGCGAATCGGTTTACAGCCTCCGTTGATCCTTTTCTTCTTACTATATTATACACTAATCCAAGCGAGCATTAATTATTTCTTCTCTCCCGTTCTATAGAGCTCCACTTTGGTACTACATTCTCCTCCTACAATGGCAGCAGTAAGTTAATCCGGCGGCACCTGTTCCCCGTATGGACTGAAAGCAGTGATATGTCCCACATCCTTTTCATTTATTTGCATGATTAGTAGAGATTTACTGGGCTGGAAACTGGGATAGGTTAGATTTAATCATAGTTAGAGGGCTAAGTTGTGATGTTTGGCTGTGTTTGCGGTCAGTGATTTGGAGAAAAAAAAAAGGATGGATCTTGTTTTCATTTTTTATGTAATTGATCGACAGATTGGAAACCGTGGAACAGTGACAGAGGCGGCTGGTTTTGATGCAGACGCTGATGTCCAGAAGCTCAGAGGAGCCATGAAGGGAGTCGGTGAGTGACCCACCATGCCGTCACCCTCAAACCACCGCTGTATAAACTTAGACTGGCATTTCTGTATCCCGCTCTGGGCACTGTTGGGCTCCTCCATCATCCACAGGAAAGTTTGAAAAGTAGTTTCCCTGCAGCTCAGCGGTCATGTTGCCATGGCAGCTCTTAAGTTTCCGTTTTCCCTGTCTATTCATTTCTGAGACATTGTACTTCGCCTTCCGCTCCACTTCTGATATGGATACAAAATGAGTTTCAGAGCTGCTGCTGATGTTCATAGCAAACCGATCCCATCAGGGGTCCTGCTGCTCTGCGGCCCACTGGCAGGTATCGCTCACAGAGGCGCCTTCTGACCAGCTTTCCAACACACAGCAGAGACATTTTTCTCCCTGTCTGTAAAGTTTTATTGAAGAATGTTGATCCTGTTAGTTTGCTGACCTAATCAGCTTCGCCTGACTCCAGCCTGCACTTCTTCCCAAACAGATGGTCTCTATGCCAACGGCAACAAACAGCTGTGTGTTGGGAGGGTCTGTTTCTCTGTCTCACACTTTCCAGCTGGACTGTTGCTTTTGTGCAGAGTTCTAAGTTCATGAATACATAATCCCTTTTATTTCAAATGAAGTGTATACGAATATTCCTTTCAGGCACGGATGAGGCAGCCATCATCGAGGTCCTGGCTCATCGTACCATTGCGCAGAGGCAGCGCATCAAAGAGGCCTACAAGCAGGCTGTGGGGAAGGTGAGAAGTTTGACTGGGCAGAGCTCAAAGGCGGCCAACGGTCTGCTTGGTAATGACTAGGATTGCGAGAGAAGCAAAGGAAATGATGAAATCTCTGAATTTACTCCTCTGTGAGCTCTCATCATATCACCACAGGCGCAGTAAGTTAACAATTGGCCATCTAACAGAGACTACAGTGTAAATGACCAGCTATAAAAACAGACCAAAGTAACAAAGAGAGGCTCCATAATCTCTCGGAAAAAGGAAGGTTCTCATCTCTGATAAATACACACTGAATCCACAGAAATGTGTTTCCCACTCTCAGTTCCCTTGTTTCATTATTCAGGGGTTCAATATATTAACTAAAAGGGAAGTCTGGCATATCTCTGTGTTGACCTAACAAGATAATAATTATCTCCCCGCATAGCGTCAGTTTAGGGATCCATAAAGTGCTCTGAGAGGGCATTGAGGGAGCTGCTGGGGAAAAAAAAGCAAAGGTTGTGAGGCAGAAAGAGTGAGTCACTTGCACACCCACGTGTGGTCACGCAGGCAGGATGTGTAGAACTGCTCCTCTGTTCCACCAGACTGTTTCCCAAAACCACACCCTCTAGCGGGGAAGCGAGGGAAGCTGGAATGTGGGACGGCTGGTCTCCTGAAGCCACGTTAACTGAATTTGACATCAAAGAAATTTGCCTTTGCTCATAGACGGTCCTCTTAATGAGTTTATTGGAGAACTTGGTGCGATTGTCCTCTCCTTTCTGGGTCTGATCTGTCCCCAGGACCTGGCCGATGACCTGTCCTCGGAGCTGACTGGCAACTTCGAGAGTGTCATCCTGGGTCTGCTGATGCTGCCGCCCGTCTATGATGCCTATGAGCTGAGAAATGCAATGAAGGTCAGACTTCCCCTTTCCACACTTTACGCCATGTATCAGTTTACATAATCCATTACCCCTTCAGCTCGAAAATAACGCCAATATAGAACAAGCCCATACATGTTTGACTTTGGCTTTGTGCCATAAAGAACCCTCAATGTTCACAAACGTTTGAAGACACTTCCCTGTTGAGATGGCTTACCGTTAAATTGGGGTTTATATTCATGTTTTTATTGGGGTCAGTGCTAATCTCACCTTAAATAAAGAACTGAATTTAGCCATCAACAGATCGTCCGTTAAATTGAACCTCTTTTTGTTTTACAATAAGGAAGATGATGTAGTTTTATAGCTGCACCTATTTCCCTTTATTCCGCGTGTGACGTGCTGTTTTGTCCCAGGGGGCTGGTACTGAGGAGGCTTGCCTCATCGACATTCTGGCCTCAAGGTCCAACGATGAAATACAAGCCATCAATGCAGTCTACAAAAAAGGTAACTGTGTGGCCTCTGTAAATAGAATTTCTTTGTATCTACTGTTGCCTACAGCCTGTGTATGACATGCGATATTGTGACTAAGCCTCACTATTTAAGAGCAATGGACTTCATTTATTATTCATTAAAGCAGCTCTCTGTGAAAGCCTTCAGTTGGTTGGAAGTGATGCCATTCACATCCCAAACATTGAAGCCGTTTAAATTTTTTGTATTTAGCTGCATTTTGAGGAAAGTTTTGTTTTAAGTCTTTGATCATACCTAACTATAGACATATTATACACTAGAAAAGTGAAAGGATAAAACACCTTTTGCACCCAACAGAAAACGGGAAAAGCTTGGAAGACGCTGTGGTGGGGGACACATCTGGAATGTTCCAAAGAGTTTTGGTCTCTTTACTCACGGTGAGCAACAATCAACCTTCAGATTCTCCCCGTTTGATCAGTGTATTTATTTTCTGGGTTGTGGTGTGTAGAAATGTCAGGAGAGGCCGTATATTGGATTAGGGACGGCAGCAGGCCGTAAAGTCATTCTGACAAACCGTAGATCACAGTTAAACGTACAACCATTTCACTTCATTAGCACTGATGGAGAGTGTCCTAATACTGGTGTTAAATGCCATTTATGGGAGACCGAACTATGAATATATGTCCACTATATGTCCCCTTACTCATGAGGGTTTTATCACAGATGAAGTGATGAGGGTAGTTACACGGGAATGCTGTTTTTGTCGTCAGCCTCAGGGAAGTAAAGAGGAGAAGCTGCAGCAGCACCCAGAACACTGTGGTGAACTTTGAGCAGTAAGAAGTCCAGTTGCTGTTTCTTTAGGGAAGAGGAAGGGTTAGTCACCAGTTATTTGTGCCTCTCCTCAGCCGTTGTGTTACTTGTGTGTGATTTCTTTTTGTATTGCAGGCGGGACGAGATGAAAGCGACACGGTGGACGAGGCCCAGGCCGTTAAAGATGCCAAGGTAAAGCTTCATGTTTGGAGGAAGGGGTGTGCCAAACCTCCACATGCTGTTGGAGTGACGGCTGTGTTTTTGAATGCCTGGAACTGCAGGATATCTATGAGGCCGGAGAGGCTCGATGGGGCACCGATGAGGTCAAATTCCTCACAGTGCTGTGTGTGAGGAACCGAAAGCATCTGCTGAGAGGTGAGCCCATTAAAAAGTTTGAGACTCGTGTCATGGGAAGTTACTGACCCCTTGTGGCTTTTTTATGGTAAAAAAGAGAAAGCAAATAAACCCTGCTGCCCACATTAAACAGCTGTCATGTCCTCAGTTCATCTCCACATTCATCATAACCTTTATTCTTCCAGTATTCGAGGAGTATAAGAAGATTTCAGGGAGAGAAATTGAGGACAGCATCAAGAGGGAGATGTCCGGTTGCCTGGAAGATGTCTTTCTAGCCATTGGTTTGTTTCTTTTTTGCAATTTCTATCAGTTCGGCTTTGCTTAAAATACACCTTCAGAATTATACATGTCAGATTTTATAGAAAACTAAAAAAAAAAGCTCATTAGACTTTGTTTTTCATCCAAATGTAACACTAGCCGCATTTATCTAAAACATATTTTCACGAGCATCTTGAGTGGGTGACAGTTTGAACTCCAGGACTTCTGACAACAGAGGTGTGCACATACAATTTAGTTCCACATTATTTAGACTTTGTGATGAGCAGTTTTTTTCATTCTCTTGTCTTCTGGAGTGGTGAACCTCTGCGCTGCGCCTCCCTGGTGTGCTGGCCTTTCAATACTGTTCACACTGAGCTCAGATTTTTATTTAAAAAAACATTTTTTAAGAGGTGAACTTTTTAAAAAGGTCATTTACTGTGTTTTTCTTTTTATGCATAGTAACACAATATAATATAAAGTTATCTCTATGTTTTTCTGTTCTGCAGTGAAGTGCATGAGGGACAAGACGGCTTTTTTTGCAGAACGATTATACAAATCAATGAAGGTAAAAAGGCCCATCAAGTAAAATATTTCTGAATAAACCTGCATTATCATGGTATTTCCAGCTTTTTTTTTAATGTTGTAGCTTCATTTTTTCCATACAAACCACAAATTATCAAGCGCTGTTCTGAACAGTTTTGCTGCCTTGTTTTTGACTGGTTAATTACTCCTTGATTTATTTCTTGATTTATTTCTTTCCCATCAGGGGCTGGGCACCACAGATAGTGTCCTCATCAGAATAATGGTCTCCAGGGCTGAAATTGACATGCTGGACATTAAGGCACAGTTCCTGAAGATCTATGGGAAGACTCTGTACTCTTTTATTAAGGTGAGGGGGGGTAGGGCGAAGCTGTGCTCAGCAATAGCTCTGCACTACATCAACTGTCATCTAAAAAGGATAACTGCAGATTTTCCGTGAAATTAGAATGTGATGGGGCTTCGGACCCTTTATGCTTTCAGCTTTTGTAATGGGACTGTTTGCTCTAATTTTGCTTTTGTTTCCTATTTTCATTCCCATTATTAGTTCTTTTCTGACGTCTCACTGATTTTTCTCTCACTGCTCAGGGAGACACATCTGGTGACTACCGCAAGGTCCTGCTGGAGCTGTGTGGGGGCGAGTAGAGGAGCAATCCGAACAACATCCAGACCCGTCTGTGTTCTGCGAAACACACCATGATAGCTTCTCTTTTTAAATGTTCTCTTCCTAGCCTTTCCCTTTTTTCTTAATTAACACAGTGCCTTGTTTTACAGTTTGTAATACCAATTAAACCAAAGACCAGTGACCTTTTACACATGTCTGCCTTTTTGTTATTGATCTTATGTCAGGGATTAAATAATGGCAGAGGAGATCTCCAGACACGTCTCACATCTTTGAAAAGTAAAAAGATGAATGTTAACGTCCTCCCGCTGCCTCTCTATTCCATTTGTATAATTGGCTGCTCCTCTTCACGTGTCAACCTTTTATCATTTGACTCAATTACATTAACAGCTCGGTTTGGTTGGCAGCAAAGTGCGCTCTCATTAAGTTAAAGAGAATGTGTCATAGCTCTTGGAAAGCTCAAGTTCCACCGCAGTTGTACTCACGGTGACCACCAGGCGGCAGCATAAGAGTTCTCCATCTTCCCCTCTAAGTGGCAGCTCTGTTTTCAACAGTGCAGGACAATCTTCACGGATCTTTTTGACTCAACTGTTGTTCTGCTAAAGGACATAACTCATCAGCTTTTATCTCTCTGTAAAGTCAAATTTACAGCCTTTCCATTGATTAACCTTGAATTTCTTAAACTCATCCAAAATCTTGTCACAATTGTTTTTCCACTAATTCTACTCTATTTTTCAAAGAGTTCTCTCAAAAGGTATTTATCACTTCCTTAGAACTTCTGTATAAAATTCTGCACAGTCATGTCATTTAGCTGAGGCTATAATATTTCACAATTTGATAAACAAACCAAACACTGATGCTAAGATTAAAGAAATCAATCTGTTTAGTATTTTGGACATTTTTTGCAGCTTTAAGATTACAGCTGGCAGGATTTTCAGTGAAGCATGTTGAGAAATTTGCGTCAAAGTCAAAAGTTTTTTAAAATTTTTATCTCACTGAATATTTGGTGTGCCAAATCCTCAAAATGACTTTTGATGAGTGACTGCATTCGTCATTGTTTTAAGATCCTCACATTTCTTCAATCTGCCCAAAAAATCTCACGTCACCCCTCTGTTCATTGAACTCCACTGGTTACCTCTGGCTGCCCGTATCAAATTCAAGTCCCTGATGCTAGCCTACAAAGTGCTTAAGGGTATGGCTCCCATCTACTTGAATCCCCTTGCAAAGGCTTATGTCACAACTCGATCACTCCGGTCATCAATGGATTGTCGTCTAGCAGTGCCTTCACCACGCTTAAGACAATCCAGACTGTTTGCATGTGTCGTTCCAAGATGGTGGAACGACCTACCAAGCTCCACAAGAACAGCAGAGTCCCTGTCTGTTTTCAAGAAACTCTTGAAGACCCACCTCTTCAAAGAGCATCTCCTATCCTAACCCTAACCCGTACCTCTACCCCCCCACAGCTCCTTCTGTAGCCCCTCTACCTCTATCTCTATCTCACCACTGACTCTGATCAGTGTTTCTGTTCTATATAGTTTATTGTCATTGTGATGAGAAATGTAATATTGTGTCTACTCTGTAAGTCGCTTTGGATAAAAGCGTCTGCCAAATGCATAAACACAAACATAACATAAACACATTTGAGTGAAGTGTTCTGGATGATGTGCCCTACTGAACCACAAGAAATGCATACAATTTAGCCTTCGCGGCAAAATAATGAGAAGAAACATAATCAGTGAAACCTCATTAGATCTATTGTTCATGATATTACAATTCAGAGTAACATATTCCATTCATGTCTTTGTCATTCGGTGACCATCTGGTGAAAGTATCGGTTATGATTTGATGAAAATTCCAGCAAGGCAGAGTGATTATCTCAGAGGTGCACAGCTTTTGTGAGAGGTTTTAGTCCCCATATAGTAGCAATCCTAGTTGCTGTAACATATATTTGAAAACATTTTGATGGGAAAATCTTTGCCTTTCTCCATAATGAGCATGAACGTATGCACAAAGTGAAACACTATGAAACAGTTGGCAGCATTCCATATGTAACCAGCAGTACAGAAGGTACATATTTGCCAGATTGTTGTTCCTGTCTCTCTAATTGAACAAAAGTTTCAATTAATTTAGTTTGACCATATTGGAAGGAGCCACTTGACACCATTAATCTTTGTTAAAATAGCAACTGCCAAAATAACATTGAACTTCATTTGCAAAACATGAATCTTTAAAAAATAGAAACAGCAGACAGGAACTAACACACCTAATTCAAAGTTTGTGCTCAACGTGAGGCTGCATATTTCCTTATTTTCCACAGTTGTTTTGACGAAACTAGCAATCCTGAATAAGAATGGACCGTTTTTTAAATCTCACCATAGCAAACAGAAATACTGTGCACAGCAAAGTCCTATAACGGCAAGATGTCTTAAAGCATAACTTATCCCTCTGACTGTTGACATGTGGGTGGGAAGCTGAGACAGAAGATCCTTAACACCGATGTGGGAACATTACCACAATTATTCACCGCCAAGTTGAAAAGTAAGCAGCGGTGGCTCCAACCCGGATGGGGCTTCGCCGTTACCTCAGAGGTGGAAACGTGGATCTGTGGAGCGTCTTTTATGAGGCTGTGTCTTAGATTAAGTTAAGGAAGACATTGATATTAAAGGAGCTTTGTGCAGTTATCATTATGTTGCATGTAATCCAATGTATAATTTAATATATAAATTTCCTTGTCTCAATATTATTAAATGGCCTTTTCAGTTTAATAATTTTCATCACCCTTCTTCGCAACCCCAAAGAAAAATTAAATTGCTGCTGCATTAATATTACTTATATATATGTTATCATAATAGGGAGCTGATGAATACACATCAGTGGGGAAATATTCAGTGAACTGATGTGTAGCAAAGAGAAAGCAGACTGAAAGGCAGCTAATGGTCAACCAACTGGACATTGTAGTTATTGTCAAAACATCAGGAAGGTAGAAGTTTCATTTCACAAAGGATTTCTGGGGGGAGAGTAGTCTGAGCCACAGCTGCTGCTGCAGGTTTCTTTAAAAGTATTGAACTGGTCTGTTTACAGAGAGCAAGAGTAGAAATTAGCTCCCAATCCCTGGACAGTTTCTGAGATACACAGTAAGACCTGACCGCAGACACATGGAGTCGCTCACCGTCACACACAGGCACTGATGTTTCACATCTACTGTCTTCTGTATCAGTTTAAAGACTGTGTGTCACTACCACACAGCTACTGATTTGAAGTTCCTCTTTACACACCACCACCACATACTATAAATTCCATAATGGTGTGAGAACTCTTAGAGAGGATGTGCGAGGGAGAGGGTCTTCAGAGAGAGGGGGGCTGTAGGCATTCTCACAATAATGCAGGTCTGATAAGTCAGAGGAAGGTACGGTCAGATCAGCCAGAACAGCCAGAACAGCCCACTGACCATCAGGACTGCACAGACTCAAACACAAAAGAAAAAAAAAGGAAAGCCAATGGAAAAACTCCTGTCATATTTTTTTCATAATCAGAATTCTATACTCATCACTGAAGTAATCAGACCGTGATCATTTTTTCTCAGCAACTGATCCCCATATAGTACCTGGAGGGGTGAATTCCTGAAGCAGGAAATAGATTTCATAAATCCCTACAACTGCTTTTTGAATTAGTCTTTTCTTAGCTTTGTAAACATGTCAGTGCTCTAATTTCACAAAGTTCTACAGGTATAGGGCACACCATCCACCAGGACAGGGTATCTGATAAGAATTGCTCTCTTATATTACCTCCAGCCACTAGAGTTGTCTGCTTCCTTTTGATCCTGTTTGATGAAAAAAAATCAGAAGAAGAAAATTCAGAAGAAGAAAGGGAGATGAAAGTATTGTCTTTGAATTTAAAAAGTAACCAGCTAAACTCCTCATTTGCAAGTCAGCTTTGTACCAGAATCCGATTTTCTGCTTAATAGTCTGATATGCAGCCTTCAAATTGTGTATCCTTTATCCTGGAGGATGTATCAGGGTCAGAGATACTAAACCATACACTTCATCCCACACTGAAAGTGGTGAATAAAAATTAATTCAAATATAATTTCCATCACCAACTTCATTCTTTTGAAGGAGTTTGGAATTATCATGCTTACATATGTAATCATGATGGTTAAAATGTTCAATAATTCATGCAATAAGCAAGTTAGATCTTTACAAATGTTAAGTCTAGTATGAAAGATTAGGTAGTCCTGGTGGAGATTACACAAGTTTTGGTATTTACCTGATTTTTCTTTGGCTACTCGGTTCTGTCAAGGGATCTGTCATCATTGGCGTTTCCCATCACCTGAGATAATATTCTGCCTTTTTGGATGCTAAATAATTGTATCTCTCTGCTGGTCCTGCCAGCAAAATTTGTCTGCCGACATTGTGTCTGAGAATAGAATTGTGATTTATTATTGGTGACATAACAGAGAAGATGTGAACACACAGTCAAACAAAACGTTGTTTTGAATAGTACTATATAGAGATGGATAATGGCTTTCAGGGGTATTTTCAGTCTTTTAGCTAATTTAATATTTTGTATAGCAACATGGGGAAACCTTTTAAGATAATCCTGCAGCTGTCCCTGAAGCTGTTTGCCAAAATGTTGCAGAATCAATGGTCCACCTTTTTTCATAGCCCTGTTCTCTCATCAGCAAAGTTTCAACCTTTAAAAAGGTTGTATGAGCTTTTTGGTGGGTGACTGACAGCTGTACAGCTCCTTAAAACATTTTCTTTTAAAGATTGACTGCTGCTGGAAGGGTCACACCACGTGTGAGCCTGCTGTAGGTCGGAGTTTAGTAATTGGCTGTTGATCTTTCAGAGTGTTTCGACATGACCTCTCTTGGTGTCTGAGTGGGATGTCAAGTGCAGAATTTTACCAGCACACACAAAGGCCTATTCAGAGTCAGGAGAAGTCAATCTTAGCATATATGCCATGACTTGAGTCATGTCAGAGACAAAGGCGGAATTTCTCATTGAGAAACAGAATCCATTTTGGAAAATCTTGCAAAATCTCCTCATGACCTTTTGGCTCTACATTTTAAGTATCTTTTGTAAAAAATTTTGAAAAAGCCTACATTTATTCAAAGCTCCTGCTTTATGAAAATGAATCTGACTCTGCAAATAAACCATCCTGGCTGGCACTTCCGCAGTGATAGGAATCCCCTAAAATCCTAAACTTTCTGTGTGAGCATAAATTCACAGGATTTTCTGAACAGTGCAGCTCCTCATTTTGATCATGTAGGATTTTCTGAGCAGCAAATGAGGCCTGTGCATGTTGTGCTTTGATATTCCCCACACCAATCTGAGGACTCCTGTAGATTTTATCTGGATAATCCACATTAAGTCTTTTCCAATGGAGAGCCTGCTTAAGGTAAACATTGATCTATACTAAGATAATAAGTTGTATAATGTCCATTTGACACAGTCTTATTTAAGTCTATGAATGCCCAGAGGAATGTGGAGTGTAAATTTTCAAAAGAAAGACATATTTGATATCTTAAAACCGGAACTAAAATCAGCAGATTTAATGCACAGGCTTGATTTTGGGTTTAACAAAACAATTCACAATTTTTGGAAACAAAAACTAATTTGTCTATTTGCATGAATTATCGATGACATCATCCATATTTGAAATATAGCCCCGTCATATGTATTGGAGGTTGATGGCAAACATTGGCAAACGTGCCTGTGCTAATATTTGGTAATGGTTTTCACTCTTTTTTTAAGAAACACACATTTGCATACTGGCATCTCAAGTTTTGCAACCACTTTTCAAGAACACAAAGAGACAAGACTAATCAGATGTTACAGATTGTTATGCTTGTGGCGGTCTGCTGGCAGTCTGTATGTGAACAACCTTAAGAAGCCATTCACGCCAGACATTGTAGTCCAACACTGCCTGCAGGAATCCGAGAGAAAATGAAGGGATCCACTGTTAGTGCTTCATGTTTTTGTTGTTTCAGGATTTTTCCTTGGTTTTCCAAACAAGATACGACAGAGACAGACTCAGCACTACAGTCCTGATGGTAGAGGACTTAAATGTCCTGTTTAAAAGGGTAACCCACATTTAATTACAATTACACCTGTTAGAATTGGGCTATAGTTACTCACTTTAGCATTGTATGCTATAACATAATCCATGTAAATGACTGATTGTCTCATTCCTTTTAGAACTAGACTCTTGTGTTAAACTCTCTGGCTGTGCCCACAGATTCTCCTTCTCTCTGTTACACTAGATACATGTCTTCAGGGTCAACATCCACACACACGCTTTCTCCTCACACTCCACTGAAATCTGCATGAATTAGGAGCTGGCCTGTTCATGTCAGAGCTAACTGACCAATAACACCGCGTCCAGGCGTCCTCCTGCACACAGATGATAAATGTCCATCGCATGCGGAAATCGGGGCTGTTGCCAGCTGAGATCCTCCGGGAGCTTTGTCCAGTGCTGATATACTTTGCTTGTGACCAATAATTGTCATATCTGTACTCTTGATCTACTCTGGTTTATTCTCAGGCTTCCAACTAAAGAATCGGGCTAACACACCTATTCATGTGAAAGCAGCATGAGAAGTAAACTAGGTTTTCACCTGGTGGTTCCTGATTTAACAGCAGCTGTTTTCAACAAAACAGGTCAACCGGCCAATTGGCAGCATCTTACTCCTGTTCCAATAGAAATCTCAATAAAGAAAATGCGGGCATGAAAGGGCATTGACGTCAGGAAAATGGATTTTTCACAGAATTAAGAAACAATATGAAATAATATCTCAGATTTAGCAATGATGGAAAACCCATCACATTATCCACTTTTCAAAGACATGTAATTGCTTGCGCGCTGTAGAGCACAGAGTTCAGATTTCTGATTATCATAGTGAGGTTACACAACCACAAACTGTCTTTTTTATGAAACACTTTGAGAAACACTTAAGTTTTATTTGGTTAAACTCCGATTCAAGCTAAAGAAGACCTTTGACAAAAAGGCGGTACATATCTCCAACCACCGAGAACTGCACACTGGACATATTTACGTCAACAACACATTAATGTATCTAAAAGGTATTTAGCTTCACACTAATTTTCAGTATTTTCTCTCTTTAGCTTTGTGGCCACACCGTGTTTGTTTGTCTAAACAAAAAGAAACCTCTCTCAGTCGATGTTTTCTGATGCAGTACCGTCCTTCAAACCATTTCAGTCTTTATGACATCCAGCTGTACCTTTCTATATAAACTTAGCGATAACAAAAGCCAATTCTATGGTCGCCATAATGTACTGTGTGTCTTACGTATGCTGTATCTCTTATGTAATGCCTCTTCAATTGTTGTATTCTAACAGCCTGAATTGTTCGCACAAAAGATCAAGTCTCAGTGACATGGTCTTTTGTGTAATTAGTCTGTCACCAGAAAAGTCTGAGGCACAAAGCGTCATCCTTCCTCTGACGTTCTGGCCATGGCTTAAACTGGGGTTTTAAGTAAAGTGCAAATAGGAAACAGAAAGAGGTACAGAGTCTTCAGCTTTTCTTGTATCATTCAGTCCCTACCATTTAGGCGGTTCGAACTCTTTACAGCAAAAAAAAAAGTTTTATATCTGCACTTCTCTTTGTCTTTTGAAAGCAGAGATGGTGAATCGCTGCACTTTAAAACCTTTAATGGATAAAAGTTGTGTGAACAGTTGAATAACTGTGAGCGCTTACCAGAAGTTCAGGGCATGACACTCTAAATGGAGATGTTGTTAAATGCCACGGTGAGATGAAAAAGAAAAAAAGAAAGATGAACAGGCTTTATTGGTACTTGCAATTACAGGTTTGGAAGGGAACGAAGAGCGCCTATGACAGAGGCTAAATTTAGCTGTCAGTTCCATTCACTGCTCAAAAAGAACTTTATCTACTACTGAGTTACAAATGCAGTGAAATTTAGTTGGATCTCAATTCATTATACATAAATAATTGGATAGATGAAAAATGGTGACCATCTGTTTCTGCCCAGAGCATCTAAGGTGCGGAAAAGACTTGAAAAGGATTAAATCACACAAACTGAAGAGCAAAAAAACAAAAAAAAATGACAGTAATGGGAAAACACAGCAGGCTGGAAAAAACCCAACCTAGATGAAACAACAGGAGAAAAACACAGAAGCAACACAATTCAAAGCTGAACAATGCAACTCCAAACACACAAAAACAACCTCTGACATGTTGGTTTAGGCTGTGCTGTGTGGCTCTTTTTCTTTTTCCTTTTAAATGTTGTGGGGGGGGGGGGGGAGGGGTTTGATTGTGTGGTCGTGTCAGGACCCCCTTTTTAATAACTAAATGCAAACAGCTAACATCACGCTGTTCGAACAGAAAAAAGCACAACGTGACAAAAAAGTGCCAAAGTGACCGCATTAACAAATGTGGAGGCAGCAGATTCATTGAGCCTCTCTCAGATCCAGTCCTGCGAAGATTGATAATAGTCTTATCCATCCGTCCATCTCTCAATATTTACGAGTAACTAATCAGTTCCAGATCAAACGTCATCTCCAAGTCTAACCCAGGCATCCATTTTTTTGGGAACCTGCCATCTTATTGGCTTGCTGTCATTTCCACAGACATCTCATACACCCCTCTCCCTCCACTCTCCGTGTCTCTCTCCTTCGTTCTCTCTGCTTGAACCAGTTGCAGCCTCAGCTCTCTCACTGTGGAGAAAACACAACATCAAGCTCCAGTCCTCTTGCTCTTAACACATCCTTCTACTGAGATCCCCAGCACAGGTGAGATACTGGCTATTTCTCATGCTTTCATGACAGAGAGAAGTGCAGGAAAGCCGAGGCAGGGCAGAATTAAATTGAACTTTTGGATTTGTTATTCTCTTGTTGAAGTAAAATGTCCTTAATCCCTTTGCTCCCCCAGATGGGGAGGCAGACTGCTCATGAATTTCAAGGTTCACAACTAGCATGTCAAGCAGGCAATTGTTAACATTATTATGAGATTTCTTTAAAATGTTTGTTTCTGTTTTTCTAAAATCTAAAAATGTACATAAATGTATATAAATATAGATAAGGCTGTTTTCAATTATGAAACAAGAACAAATTTATGCTCAGAAAATAAAGAAACATAAGGGTAGAATGTGCACTGATCAGTTATAAGCACATTAAATCACATGTGAGGGTATAAGCTATTTCAGGTTTTAGATTAGAAATACTGACATTTTTAACGTGTTGTTAACCAGAATAAATTGCTGGCAGCACTTCTTAAATAAGTGGAGGAAGACATTTGTGGCTGCAGCCTGTGTCAGGAACATCCATGTTAAATGACTTAAATCATAGAGCTCTTGAGGTGAACGTTTTATTCAAAAGTGTACACTGCTGTAAGTGTGAGCATGGACCCAAAGCACAGGGAGGTTGTGCGGCACACAGAGCACTCTGCAGAGTTCTGCAGCAGACAGATGTTTCACACTGTAAGGAAACTCCTCTGTAGGCACAAATGGGCAAGTCTGAGCGTATGTCTTACAAAAGAGTCTAACGGACTGAACGGTTCTGCAGAGTGTCAGTCCATCGTCATAGATTTTGGACGTCAGCAGTATGTCGCCCTTTAATCATTTTGGACTTTTCATTACGGAAATGCCTTGGAACAACATTCTGATATGACGGTGAAATGATGGGAGAAATTTTGAGTTGTTAATCTGCTGAACGTCCTGCTCAGCCAACAGCTCGACCCATAAACAAATTTAGATTCTACAGTTATGCAACGATTGACAGTTAAAGTACTGTAACTTACTTTAAAAACATTCCCTTTAAATTACTTTCTAAATGATAATAATAATGATGATGGTAATAATAATAATGCTTATGGGATTTGACATTTAAAAAAAATACTAAATGTTTGTTCAGAACATTTGATCTCATCTTTTGTGCTAGAAAAAAACAACACATCCAGATTATTAGTAACTGGCCTTGGACTTTTCATTATTCCATCAATAGCATAATTAATGCCATGAAAGAGGAGGTTCAGTATATGTTCGGAGATGAACTGTCACACATCGGTGGCAATACGTAAAAGAACATTTCTGAAAGGATGAGACTCTAATGAAACAGGAGAGAGCAACCTGAAAACTACATTGAACATAGTGTTTTCAGTGAATTCTTCATTCAGCAGTCTTTGTGAATTATTGAAAACTGCAGCTAAATGAATTTTGCACCTCTGCACTGCACAAATTATTCTAATGAGCAGCATAAAACAACAAGAGAGGCAGTCTATCACTGCCCATAAAGCAGCTGTAAATTCTGCATTGTGGAAAACTGTGACGATGTGCGAATCGCTGGACAGCACATTAGTAAAAACAAGCTGAGTTCTATCACGAATGACTTGTCCTTGATTTTTCAGGGCTGTTGTTGTTGGTGGTGATTCAACATAAATATGGGGGGAAAAAACACTTAAAAAAATTATTAGAATTACATTTCCACTAAGTGAGGGTTAATTTATTTAAATACAAACATACGTATTTCTTGTGTATTCTTAATCTCATCTCTGTACTGATAATATCAGTTTATCCTTTTAGCATTCAAACAAAATTAAACTACCTATTCTCCTAAAAGTCAGAAAGGTTAATTTATGCCAGCATTTTTACGATGCTGCCTCTTTAAATCTCATCAGCCTCCTTTGTCTTGGCTCATTTTAGCTCCACAAAGGGTCGAGTCTTTTTCTTTTAAGGGAATGCTCAAGTATGCATGTGTGCAACCGTCCATAGAACACTTACAAGGGCAAACCCTGCCTGTAGTTTAAACATTTGCTTGCTTTGCACAATTGTACAATGCTGTCCTGAAAGGCAAAACATAAGTATGGACATTAGTAATATATTTGACAACGTTTATATGATTTTTAAAAAGGTTTTCTTCAGGTGAAATCACAGACATTACATCAGCAAGCTGGCTTTAATACAAGAATGCACTGAAGGACTTCTGTAATGGAGAGATGTACTTAGGAATGTAACTGTTGTTTAAATATGCCTCTCTAACCTTCTCAGCAGGTTGCCAAACGAGGGACAATCAGTTGAAAGGCCTCCGAGAAAAAGATTAAAGTCATGAAATGCAGGAATGCTTTATAAAATGTATCTGAATTTGGTTTTAGTGGAGAGCTTTTGGAACAGGTTTATTGGCGTCAAAGTCAACTGATTCCCTCTTATGAGGTAGCTGCTCTGAATTACAATTGTCTGAAAGCAGACATTTTCCAAAGGATGCTTTGTAACTGATTTACTACAAAAAACACTGTGTAAATGGGTTGTTGTTTGTGAAAGCATTTTCCCATGAACTGATTTCACCACAATCTAATTTTCGTATTTAGGAGATTCTGACCTCGTTAGTAATATCGTGTTTAATGCCATGAACCTGTTTTTCTGTATGTTGTGCAGAGCAGCTATTGCCAGGCTGAGCTCTGCTCCGATGGATAATCACAGTGTCTCCACGGGAAGCTCCCAGCAATCCCTGCCTGCAGAACAGGCAGACGGGCGTGTTTATGAGCTCCCCGTTCAGAGCAACTCCACCAACCGCAGCTCCCTGTTTGCAGACGTGGCTTTGCTGCAGACTTTCAAGCCTCTCATCATCCCCTGCTATGTGCTGGTGGTGGTGGTGGGAGTCTGTGGGAACTACCTCCTCCTCTACGTCATCTGCCGAACCCGAAAAATGCACAACGTCACCAACTTCTTCATCGGGAACCTGGCCTTCTCCGACATGCTCATGTGCGTGACGTGTGTCCCCTTTACCCTGGCCTATGCCTTCAACCCGCACGGTTGGGTTTTCGGGCGCTCCATGTGCTACCTGGTGTTCCTCATCCAACCTGTCACCGTCTATGTTTCCGTCTTCACGCTCACAGCCATTGCTGTAGACAGGTGGGTGGATCTATCTGTTCAATTCTTTTTATTTAGCTGCTTCTGCCTAGAGTGATTCATTTCATAAACATGACATTGTTAGTTTTGATCAAAACGCCAAACTGGTAAGACAGTCTATTTGAATTTAAGGTTGAATACTGTGGAAACTCTCCATATTTCAAGCCCAGTTAAGTTAGACAGTCAAGAACTAATCAAAGATGTAACCTTTACTGATTATGTGTATTCATTAGAAAATAAGGCAGAATGATTACTGAGTGCACACGCAAATGATGGTATGATTTCAAATAGCAGGCATTTAATCCACAAAATGGCTCAGTGCATAACATGTTTCAACCAACAAGTGGCTGATAAAAGTAAGAAAAATGCCACAGATACAGTACAGGTGCATTAATCAAAGTCTTGCAAACACACCATGAAAAATCCAATTTTCCAGATTTTTTACCCACGCACAGAATTAAAAGAAACAGGTGTGGGCTTCAAAGACACGTCTCCCATTAGACCTGGTGATTCTGCAGATGGGCTCACTGCTCACCAGACCGAAAATTAATTCATCTACTGTAAAGCCTCCCTTTCCGACTTCTGCACTCTCTTTGGTAATTTCTGTTCTTTCAGAGCACATTAGCTCCACATCAAATGAGCCTTTAGGCATCAGCTGAAAAGTCCCATTGCCGACACCACGAGGCTGTTCTCTGTTGCACACCTGTGATCAGTCTTTAAAGTTGGAAATATAAATGATTTCCCTGCTTTTCCTCTGTGGCTGTGCGGGCCGCAGACTCTGCTCCGTGCTAATCCCATTGTCCTATTGTAAAGCACGTCTCAGTTCAGGGAACGCAGACAAACAGCTCTCCGGCTAATCATCTTGTTTAATGTGTTTACATCAGGGAACTGCGTGCACGTGGGACCAGAATTTTCGGTGTGATTGGGTTGTGGGAAGTTCACGGTGGCCTTTGTTCATGTTTATGTAACGTCCTCTTTACGGAAACCCTTCTTCTTCTTCTGCAGATATTACGCCACCGTCCACCCCCTGAAGAAGCGGACCTCGGTGGGGACCTGCGTCTCCGTCCTCACTGGGATCTGGCTGCTGTCCTGCGGCCTGGTGGCCCCGGCCGTGACCCACACCTACCACGTCGAATTCAAAGAGGAGGGCTTCACCATCTGCGAGGAGTTCTGGCTGGGCCAGGAGAAGGAACGGCGCGCCTACGCGTACAGCACGTTGCTGGTCACCTATGTCCTCCCGCTGTCGGCTGTCTTCGTCTCTTATCTCTGCATCACCGTCAAACTGAAGAAGTGCGTCGCCCCCGGCAACAGGACACAGGACAAGGCGAGCGCCCATCAGGCCCGGAAGAGGAAGATCTTTCGTTTGGTCGCCCTGCTGGTGTCGGCCTTCGGCCTGTGCTGGCTTCCTATCCACGTGTTCAATGTGCTGAGGGACATCGACATCCGCCTGATCAACAAGCGCTACTTTTTGCTCATCCAGCTTCTGTGCCACCTGTGTGCCATGAGCTCTTCGTGCTGCAACCCCTTCCTGTACGCGTGGCTGCACGACCGCTTCCGCGCCGAGCTGAGAAAGATGTGGAAGTGCCATCCGCGCATTGGAGTACCCGCCAGCAACTGTGCCGCTGGGGTGGTCTTATAAAGAAGGACAGAGCTCTACTTATATGTGCGGAATTATACCGCAGAGAGGAAGTTTACAACTAAAACCAGTAAAGCTTCTTCTCACGGTAAGATTGAATCTGCCAAGAAAAATTTAAGGGGGCCTGAGTTTAGATGGATCCATGGTGTGGAGACCATGGATTTTATGGAGAAATTGGTAAAGGGTCCTGTGATAACAGAACAAATTAAAGTGATAACAATTAGGGTTGTGGCATCAGTTAACAAAAGGGTCACAGGTTGACTATAATCAGCATTTGTCATCACAAATGTAACTTTGATCGATAGTTTTAGATCTTTTACACAAAAACTGATCGCACAGGCACAGGGAGAAATGTACTATTCAAATCAATAAAAGCTCATCTTTAGGGAATCATATCCTCCAGGTAATGAATTATTGGAGGCTGTATTTAGATTTTTCTGTGTGTTATCTAAAGTATGGCTACAGATAAAGACCAAATGGTTTGCTCAGGGCACGGGAGGCGTGACCATCACATTTATCATAATGTAAATACAGATATCCTCACTGTAATAAAGTGTGAGATATGAATTGTTAGGGAAAAAAAGAACTAAAGGAATTCACATTTTTCTGCATAGAAAAAAAAGAAGTGGCTTGTTTAGACAGTTAATGGTCAGACCTGAAGACTTGAGGTCATAGATAGCCTATTGAGTTCATAGTCTCTTACCTTGATTTCTTGACTCCACCACTGATTTTGATGACAAAGTACATTAGTCCCGATACTAGTGGCAGATCAGTTTATCTCGGCTAAGACCAAGACCTTGAACATCAAAGGCTGAATTCTTTGGAATATTGTTTGCATGAATTTTCAGAAAGGATTACATCTGTTTGCTGCTACCTTTAATCCAAATCTATAGAGAGAAGACCAGACAAGGTCGTGTGAGATGAAAAAAAAGCTGTGTGTATACAGGATATGAATAGAACAATAAACCGTCAATTCAAATATGGAAATGGTCACTGAGAATATGATTGTTTCCACAGGGCCTCTCATGTCAGACATGATAATAATGAACTATGTGCGGCCCAGTAAAATAACGTTCATGAAGTCGCCCTGAGGGCTTTCATTTTCTGTGAGCGTAGAGATGATGAATATCCTAAAACATCAGCAGCCTTTTTTTTTTTTTGATAGCAGAGCTTGTAAATGATTGTTTGGGGAAAAAATGAATAAGGACATCGTGGTGCAGTTGTTGGTTCGGTGGTGCTGTGTATTTATTCTCTGGTTTCTGTTTGTTTTTTTCTTGCTTGTATAAAACATCCAAAAGAGCTAAAAATAATCATACAGTTTGAAGTCTTGAAAAACTCAGACATATATTATCACACTAACGACCAGGTTTACTATTAGCCTTTTTTGTCTGGATGCAAAAAAATGCCACCCACCAAGTAGTAAAAATTCAGCAGAGTGGAGACCTCTGAACAGATTGGACCAAACTACAAAATATATACATTATATATATATATATTTGTCTTACTATGCTTGTTAGAAAAGACTCAGTCATAAGCAGATCTGGATGACTTATCCAGGCCTGTAACTGTCATCTGGTTTTGAATCGTGTTTCCAGTTTGTTGTATGTAAAGATGTTGGTGTTGCATGTGTTGTATAGTGTGCAAAACTGTGAATAAAACCACAGATCTGAAATGACAAGATCAGCCTCAAATCAGGGCGAGTGGGCTATGAATGAAAATAGAATTAGTTTAGGTTGAATGTGGAGAGTTAGGCGGCACAGCTGAATTGACTAATTATAAACTAAGGATGGAAAGTGACTCTGAGCAGCAGGAGCAAAGTGTGCTCATTTGTGGATCTCTTAAATCCCCTTGGCACGTTTGGGCCACGCTGCCAGTTTAGTTGTTGTTGCACAGCTTCAATTTCACAGCAGTAAAATTGCACTGTAAATTAAAAAGCTGTTTATCTTTTTTTATGCTTTAAAACTTCTTATTTTAAAAGAGAGAAAAAAAATTGTTTGAATTCATTTTTGCCTGAGCCATTTTCGTTTCCTCTGTGATGCAGTCAGCTAAACTAAAATAAGTTCTGCTATACATTTGCAGCAAATTTCTCCACAATGTAATATCCTGATGGCTGTGAAAAAGAAATCCTAAAGACAAATTTAATAAATAATTGAATACACTAATTAGTTCTTTATTCTCAGTATATTAAGTATATGAGATTTGGTGCATTGTTTTTTTCCAACAAAGCTTCTATTCAATGACAATAGAATTCCGAACAACCAAATGCCGATGTCAGTGAACCCACTACTAAATCACCATTAAACTCATTTTAGTTTATGTGGAAAAAGCTCTGGTGAAGAGGATACCAGCACATCAATAGCTAGTGCAGTCAGTTTTTTAATTGAACAGAAAAAAACAAAAAAAACAAGTTAGAAATCTGTCAAAAAATAAATTATACATAAGAAAATATGTGAATCCTTTGTGGAAAAAAAAGAAAGTTCAAGCATCAGGTGAAGAAAGCTTCTGCTGAGTCAGAGCAAAGTCTCTGACTTCCTGTGGGCTGCGGATGTACGACTCAATCTCGCTGTCAGAGATTTCCTCATCTCCGGTCACGTGCAGCTCAGGCTGCTCCGCTCTCCTCCTCTTGGCGTGGAGGACGCACGGCGGAGCAAACAGCATCCTCTTCCCCCAGTTGGCTGCTGGATCTTGGCTCTGCGGGTCACTCTGCGCTGACAGAGAGTCCGGGTTGGCGTCCCCTCCTCCGCCGTGCTCCGCCCTCTCTGCACTCGGAGCACACGCTTCCACCGCAGAAGCATCGGGACTCTGACCTCCCCGTTCAGAGGTTTCGGGGTTAGCCGTCTCCCCAGTGGGAGTATTTAAACCCTCCGCCTCCAGAGCGTCTGCGTGGGTTCTCAGAGCCCTCCTTAGCAGAGCGTACCTGTACTCCAGAATATCGCCCACTTGCAGGAGAACGTTTTCCGGCGTCACCCTCTCTGAGACCCATGGGATTTCTTTGCCCAGCTTACACAGCACCTGCTTTAACTCGGCCACTCTGGTGAGAGCGGGCCTGTGCCGCTGCACTTTGGCCATCTGGCAGAATTTATCCAGAGACAGTTTGATGCGATGCTTGTTGGGGTTCAACGACTGCCAGGCTAGATAAATTGCAGCCATCATGATCGGCAGCGGCTGCCTGCCGGTCACGATCCAGGAGTCTGCTGCCAGCTCCACCAGCGCCACGGCTCGCTTGGTCAAATCCTCCGAGCTCTCCGCCATTTCCTCCGGAACATGAAGGGAGCTTATCTTGTACCTGTAAAACAGAGGGAAAGAAAGTTTTTATTTGTTTGTTTAGATATAGAATTTCTCCAATGAGCCAGATCCAAATAAATCTGATTGAAGTTCAGAGCAGGCTGCTACAAATCCGCAGTCGGAGCGACATCCGGAGGACTCACTCCTGACAGTGGCTTTCGATGACGTCGGTGACATTGAAGATGGGAGCTGTGATGTTGAGGACCTTGAGCATCTCCTGATAAAGGGCGCCCACCACCATCTGGTCGACGCTGAGCAGGCAGCCGATGGTTCCCAGGGTGACGGGCCAGTTCTGCTGTCTGCAGCTCAGGAGCACGCAGCAACCTGCCAGAACCTCTTTCCTCTGGAGACTCACTTTGATGAAGTTCTCATGCTCATAGGCCTGCTTGAAATAGGTCAGCGCCAGATCCTCAATTTCACCGCGAACCCTGAGAAGCCGAGCTAATTCTTTCACACGCTCCAAGCCTTCAGAGGGATGATAGGGACACCAGAAAAGGTGCATGTAAGGTTATTAACATCTCAGAAGAGGGAAGAATAAAGACGACTCTCGTTGGAGGGGATGTTTTACCTTTAATCAGGTTCGCACACAGTCTTTTCTTCACGGCTGTAGTTCTGAGGTAGCTGACCTCTGTTAGATGGAACATGATGTAAACAAACACAATCAATACCACATTTTATAAATGTGTGAAAAGCATTTTTCCCCCTGAGGTTAAATGTGATTTACAGAGTGCTAATTCAACATCATAATGGTCTGACCTACCTATACCCCCGTACGGTTCGTTGGCCAGAGTCCCCTCAGACACCACGGAGCCGCAGTCCACACACACCAGCTGAGCCTGGGAGTACAGGTCATCGTCAACAATGTTGGAGGAGCCGCAGCCCGGGCAACTCAGGCCGGCACGAGACATGTCCATCACGGTCCGAGCCGCCGTCCACAAGTCGAGGACAAAGGTTTAATACGGCTGCGACGGTATGCGGACACACCGGCGACAGCAGCCGAGCCCGGTATCACCAAGACGTCAACAAACTGCAGACGGCGCTTTTGAGTGCGCGTAGAAAGTTGTCCGGGCGGGTACATCTGAATCTGAAAGGTTCCGCTGGACGCATGCGTTCGAAGCCCGCGCGATCCAGCGTGTGCTTGAAGGTCTCGTGAGCTCATGTTTTGAATTCTTCTCCAGTAAAGCAAAGTTGACATTTGAAGGTAGTAAATGAAAATTCTTTAATGAGACTCGAATACTTTTTTCAAAAGGTATTTTAAGCATTTTAAAAGCATTCTTAGCTTAAGGAAGCACTAAATGAGGCGATATATTCGAAAACCCACATATTCAATGGTAGTTTTCTCACACCTATATTCTTCATCCGAGAAAAAATGAAAGACATTTTATTCTTAAAAATATTGCAAAAAATATTTTCTTAATGTTCAGATTCCCCCCTAAATGTGTTGAAAATGTTAAAGACATGACATTACTGGGAAAATCAAGAACACATTTGCTCTCGCCTGTAAAAGAAGTAACTCAATCTCAAAGATTTCTTCTTCATTTTTATTTATTTAGCATTTAACAATTAAAAAAAATATACAGTTTAGATTGTCATTTTAATTTTGCAGATTTAATAAAGCAGTTAAAGCAGTAACCTCAGAATAGTGCAATATCTCAGTGTTTACTCATTACATGTGGGAACAAATTAAAGTGCTTTTTGGAGTTACAGAATCATGTAAACAGCTATCATTAGTAGAAAAATCTAACAAGTGCAGAATGTGGCAGTAGAAAAATATTCATCAAGTAGAAAAAATGCATTTCAGTTTTGCCATGAATACAGTGAATAACAATGTCATGAGTACATATATGTACATAGACACAAGATGAGTTCCTAAATGCTATAGATTTAATCAAAAGTGAGAATCATCCAAAAAGGTTATAGTTATACAAGTTTTTTATCCTTACTCTTTAATTTGCTGATGTGTCAAGCTTGGATTTTTTGCAGCTCCAGAATTTTTTATCAAATATACCCGCTCACTAACAAGTCTGATAGTGGAGAAATGCAAGTGAATAAAGTGAGCACAATGGGATCTGAACTTAAAAGTAGCAATAATATTTAGGCAGCTTTCTTCAGAGAGTTCAGTGACATGAGGATGCTCGGCTGCTCCTCAATGACCCGCACCAGTAGGTTGTCGATGTACTGTTCCAGCTCCGATATCTTTTTATCTCGCTCAGAGAGCTGGTTCTCCTGTTTCAGCACCAGAGAGATCAGTTCTTCCCGAGTCAGCTGGGAGTATGGCCCTGTAATCCCATTATTATTAACCTGTAGGAGGACATACAAGCATGTGTATAACGAGATCAAGAATTCAACCCACGCCAGACTCTGATAACCACAGCAAAGAGACAACTCAATTAGATCCTAAAAACTTTAAACCCAAATCCAAAGTTGAGGTGGAATAAAATGAGAAAGAAAACTAAGAGATACCTTTGTTTTATCCTGTAATCCACTGAGAATGTCTGCGGATTTGTGATCTTTTTCCCCTTTCATTACTAAGGCAGACTGCTGTTCAGGGGCATTCAGGGGTTTGACAGGTTGAAGCCTGAAATGATCCAAGATGAAATAAGGACACAGAATATTAAAGCACAATTTAATTCTAGACCCATGTCATTTTCTGTAACATTCAAATCAAACTGCCGCTGATCAGGCCAAAAATATTTGAAGCTCTTACACCTATTCCAGATTTAATAGAACATAAACAATGACATTTTATGACAATAAAACATAGAAAATATCATTCATTAAAAAGATTTACATTAGAAATGTGCACTATCATTTATAATGTGTGGAGCTCGTGCTACAGGATGTATAGTCGAACAGAAGTATCGCTTCCTGGTTGGGACCAAAATGAGAACTAGAACAGTTCCTAGTAGGAAACAAACTAAGAACTAACTAATAGTTCCTGGAGTTGAAGTCAATGTTTTTTTTGGCTTCAGCTTAGGGATTTAATCTTACCTGCGTAAACTTGGAGGAGGCCCCTCTTCTCTTACACACACCTGTGGGTCATTCTTTGGTACATTTGTGACTGAAGTGCCCACAACATGGCCTTTATCATTAGTTTGGCTGATTAAAGTTCTCACTGTGTTGTCATTTGGAGGAGGTAGGGGAGCGTGGGCTATTTTTGAGGATTTGATTTTGGAAGCGTCTTTGTCTGCATACATGGCTGCTGGCCACTGGACTGGACCGGTATCTTCAGGGACCGAGGTTTCATCTTCATCGTCATCATCTTCAAATGGATTGAAGCTATGAGGATTCTGGACCTGCTTTTTCTCCGAGCCACCTCCGTGGGATTTCCCAGAAGCCGTCTTTGGTTCCGATGATGGCTCTTGGGCCGCTGAAGGTCTGGACGGTGCAGGTCGTTTGCCGTGTTTGGTTGTCGTTACTTTGGTGGTGCCGTTTTGCCCTGGCCTCTGAGTTTTCTTTGGGTCTGGAGTAGACGTATTCTGCAGAGTTCGCACCGAGCGCTGCGGAAGGACGCTGACAGTTTTGACATCTTTGGCTTTCTGGTTGACCTGTGGCAGTCTTTCTGCCGACAAATCCTGCTCCTTTAGCCTTGGTCCCTCGGCTGGATTCTTTCCAGGGGGCAGAGGGGCTGGTCTCTTCTCTCGATGATTAGTAACCGGGTCCTTTTCATTAGTGGAAGTGGCTCTGTTCCCAGCTAATGATACAGACAACTGAGATCTGAAAGTCAGACACAGAGTACATGACATGTGGGCATACCAACTCAAATATCTGCACAAGCACAAAAAGTATTTAAAAAAAACTAAATAAAAAAAAGTTATTAAGAACAGCAAAATGAAATGAAAATCTTGAGCCAAATCCTGTGTCATAGAATAATCAGAGAACACAAGATGTCCTCATCTTTGAATAAAACATGTGGATAGTAAATACATTTGCTGGGATCGATTTGCTTACAACAACAATAGTAATAAGGGGTAAAGGTCTCAAATACAAAGCAAATCTAACCCCAAGTTGTGTGTAAATCTACCTTTACTGTCAAAAGCACAGTAACGATCCAGAGCGTATCATTTTCCCTGATACCCGACACAGTGAGGTAAGCCTGTGCAATGAACCCGGTCCTCCATTTAGCAAGCTCCCAGCAACAATCAAACATGCACACACACAAAGACCTATGCAATTTTCATTCTGGTGTCAGTTTTCTGTGTCACATAAAGGGCGACTACAGAAGAGACCTGATGAGATGGATTTTAAAAAAGAATATAAATAGCATCCAGATAACGCAGTGCGCTTATTTAAATGGCCCTTCATATCATTTCCATCAAGAAATTCAAATTTTGCTCCATCACTTCCTTCTTGGGCCTGTGGCTGATAACTGCACTAAGTTCATTTAAAGCCATTTAAAGCACACCTTCTACAGACCTTTCATTACTTCAAATGTCATTTAGTACACTGAATTAAAAAAACAACAACTCTAAACCACAGATGCATGTTTTTATGCTGAATTCTGTCAAATGCCTTTTGAAGGCGGATTGGAATGTTGCCTCACAATAAGTGTTATAAAAATAGCTTCATTTGTCTTGAAAGGTCACACTGTGAGAAAAAACTGCCTCAATGAAGGTACATTTTGTATTAAGATAGACAGAGAGGAAGCATGGTTTTTGGTGAATTTAAGTAATTAAAGTCCATTTTCCTTTTTGTGCTTCCATTTAGAAAAAACACATTACATCAATTATCTCTGCGGTGTGCGTGATTTGAACCAACCTTTGCTGAACAGGTTCCTCTTCAGCTGTGTGGCTGAGAGGTACAGAAGGACAGTCGGACTCGTCCTCCGGGGATTCAAACGGGTTTTCGTCAAAAGGGTTAGTAGATGGGATACATTTGATCCCTGCATCCCTCTCCATATTTGATCCCTTTTCCTTTTCCATCTGCTCTTCTGCCTCCCTTAAAATGTCTTTCCCTTGCTTCCTTCCTTCCTTTCCCTTCTCATTCTCAGCTATCTTTTCTCCTCTCACCTTATCTTCTCCCTCAATCCTCTTTTCTTCTGGACTTTTTGTTGCCATAGATATTCTCCCTGTTGTACATTTTTCCTCACTAGCTGTCTCCTGGTCCTCCTGTCTCCTCTTAATCTCCTTCTTCCGAATAATTTCCTGCTCTTCCTTATCAATTCTCTCTTCTTCCTCTTTTCTTCTCCTCACTAGTTTAATTTTCTCCTCTTCCAGTCTCTCAAATTCCTCCCTTTCTTTCCTAGCCCTTTCATGTGTCATTGCCTCTTCTTTTCTAATCCTGTCCTCTTCCACCATTTTCTCTTGAATCTTTCTTCTCTCTTCCTCCTCTTGAATCAGCTTTTCTCTCGCCAGCCTTTCCACCTCCTCTTGCCTCCTCAGCATCTCCTCTTTTTGTTTAATTTCTTCCTCTTTCCTAATCCTTTCCTCTTCCTCAACCCTTCTTCTCTCCTCTTCCTCTTTCTTCAGCCTCTCCAGCTCTTCTCGTTGTTTCCTTTCTTTCTCCTTCACTTTTCTCATTTCTTCCTCTTTCCTAATCCTTTCCTCTTCAACCCTTCTTCTCTCCTCTTCCTCCTTCCTCAGCCTCTCCAGCTCTTCTTGTTGTTT